GAAGTTCGTCGAATGGAAGTCCCTCGTCGAGAAGTCGTCTGGGTACAAAGTGAAGAAGTTGCGCACCGACAACGGAGGTGAATATACATCCACTGAGTTCGAAAGCTATCTAAAGAAGGACGGCATCGAGCATCAGTACACCATTCCCAAGACGCCAGAGCAAAACGGAGTATCTCAACGGATGAATCGGACACTAGTGGAAACGGTTCGGTCGATGTTTGCTGACTCAAGACTACCGCATAGGTTTTGGGCTGAAGCTCTATCTACAGCAGCGTACTTGATCAAACGAAGTCCTACGAGGACCCTCGACGGCAAGAAAATATTTCAAGCCAGGTACGGGAAGAAACCCAACGTCAACCACTTGCGAGTGTTTGGGTGTTCTGCATACATCCATGTCCCGAAAGATGAGAGGAAGAAACTGGATCCCAAGGCAAAGAAGTGCACCTTCTTGGGGTACGGTACCAAGGGCTATCGTCTCTACGACTGGACGACATCGCGTATCATTCACAGTCGTGACGTTGTCTTCAATGGATTGTCAAGGGGATATGAGGGTGCGAAAGAGAAACGACTTGTTCAAGTAGAAAATTTCACAGAAGAACCAAAAGCACCAGAACCAAAAGAAGACTCTGACAAGGTCGAGTCTGATGACAACTCAAAAGAACCCGAAGGGGGCCAAGAGGACCCAAGAGAACTGGAGACGGATGACAGAAAGGGAAGAGGACCCAAGAGAACTGGAGAGGGATGACAGAGAACACGAAGAGGAAGACTCCACAGATGCTCCAGCTCCTCGAAGAACATCCACCAGAAAAACCCGGAGACCCGACTACTATGGCAGTCACGTCTATGCAGCTACTGACTCACAGAAAGAGTGCACAAATAGTGAAAGAAGCTCTAAATTGTTCAGAGAAGGAACAACGGCAAGCTGACATGCAGGAGGAGATGGATTCCATCTACACCAATGGCGTATGGGATCTGGTGGAGCTACCCACAAACAGAACACCGGTTGGGAGCAAGTGGGTATTCAAGAAGAAAACCAAGGCAGACGGATCAATTGAGCAATACAAAGCGCGGTTAGTTGCTCTTGGTTTTTCCCAGAAGCAAGGTCTGGACTATGATGAAACCTTCAGCCCAGTCATCAGATTCGAATCGTTTCGTAGCCTGGTTGCAGTTGCAGTTCAGAAACGTCTCAAGCTTCATCAGCTGGACATCACTGCAGCGTTTCTTAATGAACGCCTGGAGGAGGAGGTGTTCATGAAGAAACCGGAAGGTTTTGTGGTGGAAGGGAAAGAACACCTGGTCTGCAAGTTGAAACAGAGCCTTGTACGGCTTGAAGCAATCTCCCAGGTGTTGGAACTCTACGCTGGACGCGCACCTGAAGGGTATGGGGTATGTTCAATATACCAATGACCCATGCATCTACACTCTGGCAGGAGAAACAATCATCGGAGTCTACGTTGACGACTTCGTAATCGCAGGAGAGAGCTCAGAAAGAATCGAGCAAGTGAAAACTTCGCTGTCCGAGAAGTTCGACATAAAAGATCTCGGTGAGCTACACTACTTCCTTGGAGTACAAGTCATTCAGGATCACAAAAGGGGCACAGTCTGGATGAGTCAACCAACCTTCGCTGAATCTGTTCTCCAGAAGTACCATATGAGTGAAGCCAAGTCTGTCAAGACTCCAGTCAGTGTCAACTCCAAGCTGTTGAAAGCATCAGGGGAGTGTGAGCTCGTGATCAAGTCAGCAGTTGGAAGCCTACTCTATATGGACCAGATCACGTCCCGACATTGTATTCGCGATCAACAATGTTGCTCGTTTTTGCTCCAAACCGACCAAACAGCACTGGATGGCGGTGAAACGAATTTTCAGATACCTCAGAGGGACTACTCACCTTGGCCTGCTTTATTCCAAAGGAGATGAAACAGCTGCTCTGACGGGCTACTCAGAAGCAGATTGGGGAGGTGATTGCAATGACTACAAGTCTACCACTGGATACTTGTTCCAGATTGGAGGAACTGCAGTAACATGGAAAAGTAAAAAAGCAAAAATTTGCGTTGCTCTATCTCCCGCAGAGGCTGAGTATATAGCACTCTCGAGCGCAGCCCAGGAAGCCGTCTGGATGCGAGAACTCAGCGCTGATCTGAAGAATCCGCAACCTCAACCAACCCTGATATTGGAGGACAATCAGTGTGCTATATCAATAGCCAAAAATCCTCAGTTTCATGGGAGAACGAAGCACTTCAACATCAAATATCACTTTATTCGAGAGCAAGTTAGTATTGGCAAGATTTGCCTCCAGTATTGTCCAACTGAAGACATGTTAGCAGATTTGTTTACCAAAGGAATTGGAGCTGAGAAAATCGAAAGGCTCAGAAGATTATGTTGAATGTGCAATCAAGTGTCGAGTGAGGAGGAGTGTGGAAATATGCACTCTCCATAGTCTGCACATGTGCACAACACTCAACACGTGGTCCCTACACGTGTCAGAACTCTGGAACATTCTAGAACTCTGGAAAATTCCTTTGTGTGTATATAAACTCAATTCTCATCACTCTTAGTTAGTCAGGCATTTATTGAGCTCTCCTAGTGACTGTCAATCTTGCGCTGTGTCCGGCTGCGTGGTTAACACGGATACGCTCAGGAAGACCATGAATATGTGCAGCTTCAACAAAGGCTGATAGAACAGTGGATGCATGATTATTATCAGCACACTTTAAATATGTGATAATTCGCGAGTACCTATCAATTGCTCCATGCGTCACAAGCTTCCATCTTATCAGCTTATGATGGCCATCTAAATGCCACAGAGAATTAGGACCATTATACATTGTATACCCGTCTCCTTACTGCAATGCTGCGCCTAATCGCTGTGTTCTCCGGATCAGTTCTGTGAATAGAACCACGAAGATGTGCTCGCTGTACTATAATTCCACGACTTGCTAGATGACCTGCCATTAGGGCACTCACCATCATTTGGGTGACCTTGATTTATGGTCTGCACAACTTGATCGAGTGCAGCATCAGTGATGTTGGAGTATGTGCATGCGTGATCAATGCCTGCATCATCCGATCTTAGATAAATGGTGGCTCTGCTGATTCCCATCATCTTTGCGATGTCAGTGAAGGTAAATCGAAGTCCTCGCAGGTATTCTATGTATGTCACGTCAATATCAAGTAGTGGTCTTCCAACACCCCTAAAATAAGTGAGAAAAATCATAGGGTCTGTCTCTAATAGCTACGTAGTGAAGCTTACCGTCTTTCATGTTCATCAGTAGAGAGTGCTTGCACAATGGCCTGTTCAATGGATGACTGCAACTCCGCCGTTTTGTTATCAGTGAGGGATTGGCACTTAAGGGGGAGCAGCCTTGAGGATGTGCGCATGCACATAAACGGTTACCCGCCATCCCACAGACCTAGCTACGTATATCTATCCGACGATTTAGCTATATCCATGCAACGGTTTAGCTATATCCACGAAACGATTTAGCTATATCTATCCGACGATTTAGCTATATTATAGATCCAACGATTTAGCTATATCCATCCAACGATTTAGGTATGTATCCAACGATTTACGTAGCTAAATGCTGCGAAAAGGGGTAGTCTGGTGAACGCGAATTTTGAGACAAATGGCGCCCCATAATGCTGGCCTACGTAGCAAGGAGAGGGACTGCAGAAGGCCCATTGTTCAAGTTCGAAGATGGCCGCCTTTTGACGAAGGATAGGTTTGTCAAAGGGGTCAGGGAAGCTCTGTCACAAGCTGGAGTATACGCCAGTCAATATTCAGTGCACAGCTTCAGTATTGGAGCTGCAACAATGGCTGGGAGGAAAGGCCTCTCTTCCGAGAAATGGGAGAGTTCGGCCTACTTAGACAGTTGCGAGAAGAATTGACGACCGTCTCTTATCTGATTAGTGGTAGGTGAGTGGGGTGGTGCATCTGAATTAGTTTGGATGAAGTTTGGGCAGGTAATTCCATGGTAGGAATTAATTAATTCATCAGGGTCATCAATTCAATTAATGCCGCACATGCGACTATGTCAATAGTGTGCAAAGGTGTGGCCAGTGGCCAATATCAAAATCATAATGGTCGTCAATAAGACCTCTAGGCATTAGTGTACCTGTGCTGGTATCCTTGCACTGACGAAAGTGTTTAATACGTTAGGATTAAACGTAGTTAACAATGAGTCTCAGTTGCGCTGTGCCTCCGCAAGTGTTATTTCGGACGCATGCGCAGTCCGTGACCTCCCGTTCAGGCAAAAAGCCTCAAGCAGGCGACGGCGTGGAACAGCAGTTTTCCCACCCACCCACCCTATTTCCTTGGTTTCTCCCAATGTGACAAGTCAGGAGCCGGGCAAATAATTCCATGATAGGAATTATCCGTTAATTAATTCATCAGGGTCATGAATTCAATTAATGCCGCACATGCGCACCACATCAATGCTGCGCAAAGGTGCGCCTCAGCTCCTTGCACCACCCAATATCAAAATCCTAAGTTTGCCGATAAGACCTCTAGGTGTTGGCGTAGTTGTGCTTGTATCACTGACGAAAGTGTTAAATGTGGTGCACTGGAATGATGCAATAACGCACTCGTTGCCTAATGCACCCGCAGCTCGTGCATTAGGCAACCGAGTACGCTATTGCATCATTCTCGTGCAGATGGTCTCTCTGACTCTTCTGCCTGCTTCCTGGTCCTTGTGTTCATAGTTACGTGTGTTATAAATATTACACTATTTCGGATTATTGCACATGCGCATTAACACACATCATGCACTTTATTGCACGTTTTTGCTGCCAGTAATGTAGCTGCTATGTAGAGCTGTGATATCAGTACTTTAAGTACAGCACCTGAACACAAAGAAGGGAAAGACAGAGCCAAAAACAAGTCATTGCTAAGGTGCTTGCAAGACCCTGCACTTTAGATATAAGGTCCTGTTAATTAACACACAATATGTACCGACAACTTGAGAATGCACGAAAACATTCACAAACCGGATATACTTACTGCAGGGTAGAGTTAGAAACACTTTACCGAGCACACTTTGGCTTGGGAACCTCTGACTAAAACCACCAGCATGAATAATGAGTACCTTCCCTGTAAAACAAATTTTTTTGTTAAAACCCATACATGGTAGTATATACCCAAATCACTAAGTACAGTAGTACTTAGTATATAGGGTGACACAGGTTGTCCTGCATTATGTCCATACATTTGCGATTTGAGATTTGTACGTTTCACTTTCAGTCTTAATCAGATCCCACTTCTGACATAGCAGTCTGATCCTTATGGTCAAAAAGAGCATGTACCTAAGAAATGGGTTAAATCGCATAATCGGTAGTTGATTTATTCAAGAAAGTCAGTTCTCAAATTCTTCTTCTTGTTGTACAATTTAGACAAGAATATCTCAAAAACAAGGAAAGATATGGAGATGAAACTTTGCACAGAGATTGAAAACCATGACAGGTCGTGCAAGAGCAGTTTTATTTCTTTTTTAAACAATTTTTACCAATGAAAAGCACTGAAGTGCAAACCCTCAGCGCAAACCGTTCAAACATTCTGTCTTTCATTGCCTGTGAAGTAGGTCATATCCTTTGTGAGACGAACAAACACTCGACACACACACACACACACACACAGACCCAACTACAGTACCCTTGCTGCGCATGCGCGCTGAGGGTAATAAAGTGTGCTAACTAGGTAAAGCTAATACCCACACTGATAAAACTTTGTACACATGTGCAGCCCATCATTAGTATCAAAATGTAAACATTAAAAGTTTGTAAACAACAACAACCAGCCTCAGGCAATAAGAACTTGTAAATGGTGTTTGTGCCTATAACTTGCTTATTTCGGGTCCTCTAACAATGAAACTGGGTACACTGATTTATTATAATAAGAGTTCATCAAAACATTATTACATTTTGGCTTGTTCACTTGGTTTTGACGCCATAACTTTTGAATAGCAGCACTTTTACAAAAATCGCCATTTTAAAAATGAAGCCAGTGTAGCGCTGAACTCATTGGTGTCGTTTTTTTGGCCTGTTTGTTGCGCGTGGTGGCAGAAAACACGGTAACAGATGGACAAACAGACCAAGTACTATAACCCTCGCTGGGCGCCGACGGTTAAATATAGGGAGGAAAATTTACACAAGCAAGAAATGAAGTTGTAACCGTCATCCATGGTACTACTACATCGCATGCACTAGGTCATCCCTGTCTTGTCTGCTTTTTTTTATTTTTTATGGCATCCCTATTTTCCACACTTTTTAATTCGAAGAACTTTTTATTCACTTGTCTGGTATACAAAGCACAGGGGTGAAAATATAGATGACCTGAAGAAGAATAGGTAGCCTCGTACACACAAGGGGGTTTGGTATGCATACATGTGCATGTACTAAATACACCAACACTGCACACAACTCTGATGACATCTTTGCAGGTATGCTAACTCGACAATACTTTAGTGTGCGTAGAACTCACATAGGGTGCTCATTTTTCATGCATTAGGACCAAAACACATAATGTCCCAAGTCGTGAATTCATGACTGCCTGGAGGACATGCGCAGAGAAAGACTTTGCACAAGAAGCCTCCTCACATAGTGCAAACTAAAGTTGAAATTATTTGTGTACGATAAGTAAACTTTCAAAAAATGCCGTGTATATTCCGACAACAACAACCTTGCCCTTGCCACTGGTTGGGGGGAAGATGTGAGAGCGGGCTAAGAGAATGGCCGTTTGTTGGCAGCACAAAATGTGAGCACCCAAATACATTCACAAGAGGACTTTGCTGAAGGTGCTCACCCGACATTTCTGGCGTGAAGTGTACTTACTTTTTTTACTTTGCATTTGATGGGTACTGTACTTTGTGCTTGAAATTTCTTTATCTTGTATTGTGTCTGATGCGTGTTGTATGCCATGCTATCTAAATTAAACTCACATTGACTAAGACTATGTTGACCAAAATTATTAGCAAGGTACTCTAAGCAGTGTAGGGTTGAGCCACCACTTCCAACTTTTACTCCAGGAGGATCACTGATCACAATGTATCTGAAAATCAAAGATAAAATCACATAATACTGTATTACCTGTTTTTTTTAATTTAATAACTGCACTGTGACTTTTTTCCCGCAATTCTAATTTACTAATATCATGCATATAAATGTGCATGTGGAATAATAACCACAGTGTAGCAGAAAAATACGCAAAAATAATTTTTAGACTGTCATTTTAACAGTAAACTAGGTTAAAGGTGTGAAGCTTTGGCGACATGGAGAAAGCCAAGCGAAAAATACATAAGTCCCAGTACATAGAGCCATAGCACATTGGTTTGAGGTTTGCTTTCGTGTTAAATTGCATGAAGATTTGAACCCATACCAGCGGAGGGCAGCTCTATATTTCATTAGCTGTATTTCAATGACTTGTTTGCCTTGCCTTTCTACCTAGTTTGCAGCCATACTTCAGATGGAGCTTTATAAGTTGTTACTTGAGCATTGTCTTAGCTTACCAACCTGTTGGCCCAGCAATGTTATGGTGCATGCAAAGTGAAATATACCACACAAAAGATGCTTTTTACATGATATTATTCACCAAGCCTTACAATGCGACATGCGTGAAGCTGCCTTACATTGTCTGTCCTTTGAGAAACTTGTATGCCACCTTTGTGCATAACGATTCTCACAATTTCCAAATCTGTGCTATATCTTTTAATATGGGTGTAACAGAGCCACGTTCTCTACAGAGTGTTCTGGCATCAGGCTCCCCTACACCTTAATACTTTCAAACAAAGATACTACAATAATAGCCCCCACACTTTTTGGCGAGCAGGTGTGAGCAGTTCAATTCTTCACGTGTATTCAAACTGACGTTAAATATTTCCCTCGTATTTATGATCACGTAGAATATTACAGTATGCGCAGTGCCCGTGCAGTGGCTGACACACAGAATGAAAAGCACTAAAGTGATAACCCTCAGCAAGCACACGGATGTCTGCATTGTGCATGCGCAGGTCGGTACCGCTAATTGATGGGATGGGCTAAATTGTAATGTTTTACTCGTGTCATGGTCTCTAGTGTTAGATAGCGTTTTAGGCATAGGTAGACTCGACACAGGTAGACTCGACACACGCCCTCCGTGGTAACTTGCATGTGAAGAAGGCATGGTGTAGAGAATATAATGCTGTGGGTGGCATGTTGTGGGTTTTGGCTTCCTGCAATCAAGGGAGGTGACTGTCCCTTCCAAAGCATCATACAACTGTGGCGTTCACCTGAACATGGCTGATATCGCGACAGAAAGGTGTTAGGCCCCCGTCCACCATCAAGGTCACGATAAAGGCAAAAACAAATCAGTTCAGAAAAGTATCTTCCTCGGACAAACAGATATGCCCAGTCGAAGCACTGCTAGGGTATACAGCAAGAAGGGGAAAACACCAAGGCATACTATTCAGGTTTGAAGAGGGGCAACTGCTTATGAAACTATCTCTCATAACTAGTGTCAGAGAAGGTCCTGTCCCTGACTGGTGTCAGTGAGAAGCACTACTCAGGCCACAGCTTTAGCTGCCAAATGGCTGGTCACAGTGGTCAGAAAGGTTTGTCGTCAGAAAATAATGAATCAGACTCTTGAACGGCGGGAAAGCTCAAAGTTCCTTTTTTGTTAGACTCCCTGAAGAAGAGTTGTCTGCAGTCCGTAAAATTATTAGTACAAATTACTGTGTGTCTTTGGCGAAAGAATTGTGGAACAGTAATCCAAGTACAAATCCAAGTATAAAGAAGAATCATATTAGGAGAATGTTGAACATTGTTGAGAGAGTGGGAGCGATCCAATTGGGGTAGGGCTGAGCACATGAGCCTGTGTTGTCAGCCTGGTTTAGAAAGTGGTGACATTGTGGAATGTAGAAAGTTGCACATGCTGAGAAAGGTCGATTTGTTCGGTCCTGGCACATGTAGGTAGTGCCGACCAGTAGCGTGCCTCCCTTGTTGGAGTACTACGCTGTGCGCCTTGGGTGTCGCACCCGGCATCGGCACAAGCATCGTTTTCCGCTTTCTTCGGTTGTCTCAAAGGCTAGACGCCCCCTCCTGGAAGACCGTTTCCGTGCTCGACGTTGGGACAAACTCTTCGGCTTTTTCAAATGCGCGCTAGACACGTTGGGTTCTGCTGGCTCTGTCTCTCGATAGTCGCTTCTCTTGAGCTAGTCGCTTTCGGCTGTGCGACGACTCTCACGTGGTTAGCGGCAGCGAGTATTCCCCGGTGTCTGGTGGTCTGGTGTAGAGCGTTGACTTAGCTCTGCGGTAGCATATTGAGGATCTCTCAGCATCCACAACTGTGTACATGACATGTCAATTATGCAGGGCCATAAATACTGTTTATGCTTGTAACAGTAACCATAAAACATATTCATGACTGGTTTTACTCCATGAGGAAAAGCGTAATGACCAGCAGGCGGCTCTTGTTAATCTACCACACATTGATCTTGCTTAGTAGGTACCCTGGGCATACAGTAACTGTCATCGGGTGAGGCACAAGAACGAGGCTATTAACATGACACAGTTATAAGACAAGGAAAGACAGCGAGTCTTAGCTAGTTATAAGCAAAACAGGGAGGTATACACATAGAAACTGCCATCAGCTGGCAAATACGTATTGCTTCCCACCAATTGGCAATTAACAATATTAAGTGGATGCTTAATCCGTTGTGTTGTTACGTGCTGTGTGTTTACGTATGAGAGAGTTAAAAGGCTGCGAAACCCACTGACCATATATATGCATATTCTGCATATCATACAGCAAACAGCTTACTTGACGAAGGATGGGACTTCATGCCTTTGTTTCTTCAGACTGATTTGATAGTCAAATATGCTCTTCTGAGAATCATCTCTTGCAGTAATCACAACGACATCCCAAAACTCAGGTCTATAGTTGGGAATAAGGGCATAAGGTGTCTCACTAGCTTGCTGACTACTACACCTGTAGAAAACACGTTAAGGCATCGTGGGACACGTTACTTACATTCTGATGCCTCCAAAGTGAACAAAGAAGTTTTTGTAAACAATCACATTGTCACATTGGCTTGTTAACATTCTTTGTAACAAACTTTGTAGACATCAATCACCAACATCAAAATCAACAATACATGTTTGTAAACAACAACAAATAGCCTCAGGCACTTTTCTTTAAATTTACTTCTTCACTCCTCAAACTCTCCAATGGTAGCCACATAGAGATGAAACTTGGTACGTATGCCTTATATATCATTTCCGTGACGATTACATGTTTCCATGACGACCGCATTTTGTTTGAAAAAGCCTCAGGAAATTTTCTTTAAAACTACTTCTTCACTCCTCAAACTTGCTAATTGTAGCACGCATGGAGGTGAAACTTGGTGCGCATGGTTCTGTTTCCTGACATCACAACACATAGCCTCGCCTTTTTAAATTCTTTCCTCCCAAACTGCTACGTAGCGCATGGAGGTGAACTGGGCCATGTGTATTGCATCGTTTCCATGACGATCACAACAAAACAAATAGTAGCCTCAGGCACTTTTCTTTAAAATTACTTCTTCACTCCTCAAACTGGCTAACTGTAGCACGCATGGAGGTGAAACTTGGTGCGCATGTGTATTACATTGTTTCCATGATGACCACAACAACAAATAATAGCCTCAGGCCCTCCTCCTCAAACTGCTATGTAGCACGCATGGGGTAAACTTGGTGCGCTGTGATTACATGTTTCCATGACCAACACAAATAGCCTCAGGCAGTTTTCTTTAAAATTACTTCTTCACTCCTCAAACTTGCTAACGGCAGCACACATGGAGATGAAACATGGTATGCATATCATTTCCATGACGACAACAGGCATTTTATAGGGGCTTGCCCCCTTCCACAGAGGTAATACGTAGTAGTATTTAAAAATGAGTGGAGACAAGTAAATTAAAAATCCTGCGAATTTAAAAAAGAGGCATATAGGGATGGTATAAAAAGAAAGGGAGACAAGATAGGGATGGATACATGAAGCATGGTTAATGAACAGATTTGAGTACACTGACACCCCCAACCCCATCACACAATCCCTATATTGTTGCCTAGGTGAAGTATGAACCGTTCACCATTACAATACTCAGAACTTACAATACACTACTGAGTAACCAACACCCTTATAGAGTCCAAGTGGAGTTTAATTAAAGGGAATGTGGCAGTATAAATGTTACTAAAACAACAGGGACAAGGTGAAAGCTTTTAGTAACCTTTAGCCCTTATAAGAGTAGCACACCAGGCAACAATAATATAGGGATTGTGTGATGGGGTTGGGGGTGTCAGCGTACTCAAATCTGTTCATTAACCATGCTTCATGTATCCCATCCCTATCTTGTCTCCCTTTCTTTTAACCATCCCTATATGCCTCTTTTTTAAATTCGCAGGATTTTAATTCACTTGTTAGTAGTAGTGTGTGGAGAGATACGGCTGCACATTGCATTAATACACTAGCTGGATCACCCACAGTGTATATACTATAAAAAAAATTATACTACTGCTGGGGCTATGGCAAGAATGCAAAGGGTGCTTTGAAAAAAGTAAATCCACTGAAAATTTTCACCAAACACGAAGTATTAGGGCCAAGTATGATGGACATGTGCAAGGGTAAAGAGGTCAAAGTGGTTTATTCCAGCACAAATTTTTAGCTGGATACGATTTACTTCTGTCCAGCATCATTCAACAACTGCTCGTATTTCGAGAACTTTTCACGAGTACAGTCCACAAGGGTCATCTGTAGAAGCTGAACCCTCCTGTGAAGGATGAGCATGAAAACTGAACAGCTCACGCTATATAAAAGAGAAATAAAACAGGACTTCAGAATGGCTACAATTAACACACATATAACCATAAGGGCTTACTTGGGACCTACAAAAACACGTGAGCTGATGCACGACTACAACAGGCAGAGACGGTAGGGGACACAGGCGGTATAAGTTATCAAAAGGTATCAAAATAATCTGCGGCATATTAAAAAAAAAAACATACAAAAGGTAGCTATATGCATTGCTAGATCTGTTGCATGACAACCTAACATAACGCTGTCTACATAATAACTAGATAGCGCATCCACTTACTTCCAAATCCCTAGGCTGATACGGAGTGTAATCAGTGTCAGGCAGGCAGTGTCAAAAATAGTACGCACGCGCAGTCGATGAGGTCGGGAGTTGGTTTATAATAATATATACAGGTCGGTTCTACAGTGACGGCCCTCCCGACGAGAAAAAAACTTGCAGCGGATGAGCGTAGAGGTCGAGGACTGACGGCAAGTGTAGCGGCCCGGTGCCTGCGCCAAACACCACCGCTGCTCCCGGTATTGCGGCCCTCCTAGTAAAATGTGGACCGACCTCCTAGTAAAGCGATTCGACCTTCTAGTGAAATAGACCGACCTCTTCGCGAAGTTGAGCGACCTCTACTAGTAAAGTAGACAGACCTCTTAGTAAAATGGACCGACCTCTTAGAAATGTAGACCGACCTCTAATAGTACAGTGGACCGACCTATGGCGTGTAAACAGTCAAAAATAGTACGCTAGACCGACCTCCTCACTGACTGCGCACTATGTGCCTCTACCGTAGGTCGTGAACTTTGATCCCTCGAATACAAGCACACCCATCGGCGTAATTACCCGGTTCTGAAACAATGCAGTTTTCCCTCTCTGCCGATGTAGTCACCCCGTCCCCACTTGAGGTGAGTCTGGGATAGTTTGTACAGTTTTGTACTATCGCTGAAGTTAGTTTGGGATGTAAATGCTTTTGTCTAGGAAGGCAGCATGATCATAAAGCTCAGCAGGGACAACTAGGGGAGTCCCTATAGGCCCTTGCGCAGGGATTGGGACAAATAAATACAAGTAAATATAAAAAATTCTGCTAATTAAAAAAGTGTGGAATATAGGGATGGCGTAAAAAGCAAGGAGACAAGACAGGGATGACCTGGGCATGTGATGCAGTAGTACAATGGGATGATTGGCATCTGACATTTCTTGCTCATGTAAATTTTACTCCACACAGGCCCTATATTGTCGCCACTTTTACTCATGACATGAGTTTTGAATAGTGTAGTGTGAAGACTTCCCTACAGAATTCGTTTGCCAGTCTTGTAATTTATGTTTCGATGAACTCTCATCGTTTTAAATCAGTGTACCAAGGTTCGTTGTTAGAGGAACCACAATATGCAAGTTTTAGGCACAAACATCGTTTTATTGCCTGAGGCTGTTGTGTTGTTGTTGTAATTTCTGTTTCGATGAACTCTCACCATGGTACATCAGTGTCCAAGTTTCATTGTTAGAGGACCCACAATAAGCAAGTTATAGGCACAAACATCATTTACAAGTATTTATTGCCTGTTGTTGTTTACTAACTTGTTTCGATGAACTCTCATCGTTTTAAATCAGTGTACCAATTTCGATTGTTAGAGGTCCCACCATAAGCAAGTTATAGGCAATAATATAGTTTACAAGTTTTTATTGCCTGAGGCTGTTTGTTGTTGTTTGCAAACTTGTAACTTCTGTTTCAATTAACTCTCACCATGGTACATCAGTGTCCCAAGTGTCATTGTTAGAGGACCCACAATAAGTAAGTTATAGGCACAAACATCATTTACAAGTATTCATTGCTTGAGGCTGTTTGTTGTTGTTTACTAACTTGTAATATCTGTTTCGAGAACTCTCATCGTTGTAGAGTCAGGTGGACAATTTTCGTTGTGAGCGACTCCACCATAGCAAGTTATAGGCACCAACACATGTTACTACTGGCACATGTACATCATGGGCCTGAGGCTGGGTTTTTGTTGTGTTTGTGTACAGTTGTACAAGGCTTTAATGTTTACATTTTGATACTATGATGGGCTGCGACATGGTACAAATTGGTAATCAGTGGTGGGTATTAGAGCTTTACCTAGTGTGGGCAGCACTTTATTTGGCTCTGATCATGAATGGTCTGCCTGGTGGCTTTGTTGTTGTTTTCTTGTAAACAAAATTGTTTACGAAAAAATGAAAATGCTCTTGCACGCCCGGTCACGGATTCCAATCTTTGTGCAAAGTTCATATCCATATCTTAAGTGGTTTTTGAGATACGCGTGTCTAAACTGAACAGCAACAACAACAACAACAACAAGTAGAGGAAGAATTTTAACTGACTTTCTTGAATAAATCAAGTGCCGATTATGCTATTCCTTGGATACATGCTCTTTGTGACGATACAAATTAGTCTGATGTGTCAAAAGTTGGATCTGATTGAAATAGAAAGTGAAACATGAAAATCTCAAATGTATGGGCATAACCCTATATACTGAGTACTACCGTACTTAGAGATAAGTTAGTGCATAGCTGGTTTAAATCGAGCAATCTTATTGGTCCACACGAGGTATATACTTGATTTACCTGGGACGCTCCGTAGTCACTAAGTACGGTAGTACTTAAGATTGCTCGATTTAAACCAGCTATGCACTAACTTATCTCTAAGTACGGTAGTACTCAGTATATAGGGTTATGCCCATACATTTGAGATTTTCATGTTTCACTTTCTACCAACTATAGGGATTGGCATGGTATATACCTAGCATCATAGATGTATGGGGCTATGATGACCACAACAACAAATAGCCTCAGGCACTTTTCTTAAAATTACTTATTCGCTCCTCAAACTCGCTAACGGTACCACACATGGAGATGGAACTTGGTACGCATGTGTGCAACATCGTTTCCATGACGACCACAACAACAAATAGCCTCAGGCACTTTTCTTTAAAATTACTTCTTCATTCCTCAAACTTGCTAACTATACCACGCATTGAGGTGAAACTTGGTGCGCATGTGTATTACATCGTTTCCATGACAACTACTACAACAAATAGCCTCAAGCACCTTTCTTTAAAATTACTTCTTCACTCCTCAAACTTGCTAACTGTAGCATGCATGGAAGTGAAACTTGGTCCGCGTGTGTATTACATCGTTTCTATGACGACCACAACAAAAAATATCCTCAGGCACTTCTCTTTAAAATTACTTCTTCACTCCTCAAACTTGCTAACGGCAGCACACATGGAGATGAAACATGGTATGCATATCATTTCCGTGACGACAACAGGCATTTTTTCTCTATTAAACTTTTTATAGGGGCTTGCCCCCTTCCACAGAGATAATACGTAGTAGTATATAAAAATGAGTGGAGACAAGTAAATTTTATAAAAAAAGAGGCATATCGGGATGGTATAAAAAGAAAGGGAGGGATGGGATACATGAAGCATGGTTAATGAACAGATTTGAGTACGCTGACACCCCCAACCCCATCACACAATCCCTATATTGTTGTACGTAAGCGCCTGTACGCTAGCAGTAGACAAATCCGCTCACGCACAGCACCCGTTTCCAGGGGACTGAAACTCGAATGAACGTGAAGACGCAATTGGTAACAGACTCGAGCGAGGTTTCAGTCACTAGCGGCGAGCCAAAAACGGTAGGCAGAAGCTACAGCACCCGCTCGTCGTCCGCTTCGCGGAAAAGGGCTCCCCCACTCCACGCGCACGTATACGCGGGCGTGACATACCGCTAGCGCTCAGCGTACAGGCGCTTACGTACAGCTAGGCCCAGACTTCTTGTCTCTCTGTGCATACTGTTGAAACTAAAAAAGAATTATTGTAGATGATAAAGCTACATGTTTCTGTTGATTATGTACGTGATCTTGTCATTTTCATGTGAAAATTTTACATGAAAAACAAGGTTTACTACGGAGTGTCTCAGGTATACTACGGGAAATCATGTACCTTGTGTGGACCAATCAGATTGCTTGATTTAAACCAGCTATGCTCTAATTACACCTTGCCCCCCAAAGAAAACTCTCATACCCAGGTGCCCAGGGTTGTAGCGTAGGAATTGCTCTATAGACCACCTACATGTATTATAATTACACACCAAGTGCTCTTGTAAATGTACTTGTGTGCAGGAGCGCCCACTTAATCCTTCCCAAGTGTGCAAAGCTCTGACTGATTTTGAAGGACAAGAGGAAGGGGTAAGCTGATGATGTACTAGGTACCATACATTGGTTAAACAGTCGGATGATCTTTGACCTATAGTACTGATACGTGCATTTTAGCCGATGCAAATGCAGGTTGGTTGTCAGATATATTGACTGAGACGAGATCTGGCCATAAATGTTAATGTAGGTCATACTCCTCATTGTCAAAATTATTTTCTAAAATCCTGTCTCTGAGACAGACCTGTAGTACACCATTATACCCATGTAGTCTGACAACGCTTTCAACAGAACAGAGCGCAAAACACACTACGTGTTAATCATGATCTCTCCTATGTTGTAATTTATCGTTGCCCAAGTCCTCCTCTTGACAACCTGAACACATACATTTTCCACATGAACTGAGTGTGTTTGCAAGAGTCTCTGGCCTGTGGGACTCTATAATGAGAGAAAATTTTTATGGAAACAGCAACAATGCAGTTTCAACTACTTGCACCAACATGTCAGCCTATATTTACATAGTTTGTCAAAATTTATCTACTGAAAGAATGATGCCCATCTTTAGATCTTTAATTCTGTTGAAAAACCGTTTTGCACAACAAAAACTGGTAGCAATTAGTCTATATAAGAAAATGAAAGGCACTAGAGTGCAAACCCTCGGCGAACTGCGCATGCGCGGTACCGCTAATTGATGGGCTGGGCTATTTGTAGTATGCGTTTACTCTTGGTCTCCCGCTAGAGTAGCTCGCGGAGAGTCTGACATGGGCTAGCTACAGTAGTAGATATCATGCGGGAGTCGATACACACCCTTCGTTGTGACTTCTTGTGCCTCCAAGGTACACAGAGCAAGCGGACCTGGTCGAGGTAAGCCTGTGCTAATTTGCATTTTGGCTTGTTCACTTGCCTTTCACGCCATAACTTTTGAACGCAGAAGTTGTATCAAAATCCCTTTTTTAAAATGAGGCCAGTGTAGTGATGAACCTGTTCGTGTCGCTATTTCGTTGTCTCGTTGCGCGTAGTCGCAGAAAACGTGGTAACAGATGAACGGACAGACACACTCACTCACACACACACACACTCACGAACCAACCCTCGCTGTGCATGCGCGCCGAGGGTTTATAAAGTGGCATAAGGCAAGAACAAAGTTGCAGCATTCAGGACATTTGTGTGGCTCCAAAGTGTGCAGTAATACAACACCCATACGGAAATGCAGAATGGACGACCAGCAAAAACCTGTAGGTTAGCATTTTCTTGTTTGCCGCAATCCAACACATATTTTCCAGAAAATATGGGGTGGTTGACGGGTAAGCCCCTCGTGTGTATACACAACATAAAAAAGTAGCCATATACACATTCTGGTCATGGGGCTTCTTAAGAGTGTGCAAGGAAGACATCACTTATCACAAAGATTGAATGTTTATTAAAAGCTATTGTCATTGTTGAATTGACACGCATGTGCTAAACTTAACCAACCGCCCATTCCCAAAAAAAATTTATTCAGAGATAAAACTTCATAAACTGAAAGAAATTGTGCTAAGGCTTTTCTTTTACAACATCTTCTGCTGCTCCTTGGGGCTGTGTCCAGGGGGCGTGCTTTGTCTGGCCCCTAGAAACTCTAATATGCATCGCATACGAATGCAAAATTGCAACAGTTTACGTGTATTTAGAGTTCCGTAAACCCATGACGGTATGGCAGTTTTACCAGACTCTCTCTCCAAGCTGTGACACTACTAGTTGTAAATGTCCCTGTCCATTATGACAAATATATACAGCTTCAAACACTTTTGCTTTTTACAGGATCTTTCATTTCAGAGAGGTGAAGAAATTGTCATCATTGAACCGTCTGAGGTTAGTAGACCCCTATTGCTTTTAAAAATGTGTACCTCACTGAGACGCACGTTTTAATGTCTTGTACGCAAACACTGCTCCCTTTTTTGCTGAAGAAAACCATAAAACTGATATCCGCATATTTCCTTAGCTTATCCATATTGCACAATTACACACTATTTGTTGTAATAGTACTTGCCAGGCCTTAGAATGTGCGGATGGATCGTGAATTTGGAAACTAAACCATCACGGTTGATGCAGTAAAAAAGCTCTTGAGCACCAAGTGGTTGGATACGAGGCAGCACCTCCATGACAAAACAAGGAATATATAACTAGATAATTATGCGCTGTTTTCAGTGTGTTATAGCTATGCACTGCCAATGCACCTGTTATTACCCTCGGCGCTGCATGCGCAGCGAGGGTACGGTAGTTGGGTCTGTCTGTCTGTCTGTCTGTCTGTGTCTGTCTGTCTGTTATTCTACATCTCACTTCTCGAGTGTTTGTTCGTCTCACAAAGGATATGACATCTACTTAACAGGCAATGAAGGTCAGAAATTTCGAACGGTTTTCTCTGAAACTGCTCCGTTGCAAAGCTAGAGCACGAAAAAGCCAATATGCAAATACACAACGGACGGGATAGCTTACCACGGTCTGATCGATCCGCATGCTCTGCGTACCTCGGAGGCACCAGGAGATGCAACGCAGGGCGTGTATCGCCTCTCGCATGCTATGCTATCTAGTAGTGTGGTTAGTCCGTGTCAGACTCCGCACGAGCTGGAAAGAGACCATAAGTAACAAAACTAAACCCAGCCCATCAATTAGTGGTACGGCACATGCGTTTACTTACGCGTGCGCGTCACAATGCGCCGAGGGTTTGCACTTATCGTTGTTGTTAGTAAATGTGAATGGCGGCAAATTTCCTTATTAACCCTCGGCGCACATGCGCAGCGAGGGTTACAGTACTTGGTCTGTTTGTGTCTGTCTGTTTGTCTGTCCGTCTGTCCGTGAGAGTTCTCGCACTACAGGCTACTAGGCAGCCAATGAGGGGCACAAACGGCTTTTGAGCAACGAGAACATTGATAGTAATATAGCGATTTTCCTGAAATGACTGCGTTCCGGAGATATGGCGTGAGAACAAGCGAAAAAGCCAACGTGCCATCGATCGCGCACGCGCCATCGCCGGCAGGCTACGCTGCATCATGTCAGGAGCACGCGCATATGCCACGTGGTTGCATAGGATCCGACAGCCGGACAAGCATGAGTGTCTCTCCTCTGTCACTTTTGATCTCTGTTCTCTTTGTTTCCAATGGATAAGAAGCTGAGAAAGGTATGTCCGCAATATGGCATAGCAGTTCACGTGAGACGAGCAGTTTGTGGATGCAGCCATGCCTTCCATCTAAACGTTAAAAAGCAGTATGTCGCAAGCATTGAAACACAGAAGAGCAGATACATTGAATAAAGCAAATGTGAGAGCCTCTGAAACACCTGAGCAATTGCTGTAACCGCCAAGCTAAAACTCTCTGATGCAACTGGCCTGTGTTGCAGGGAGACTCTACTGGCTCCGTCGACAACGCATGGCCCAGCATACAGCAACGCTACAACGGGCGTGTTTTGCGCCAAGGGTTTGCACTTTAGTGCTTTTCATTTTACACTTAGTAGAAGGAATGTGAACTAATGGTGATGAAAGGGTAGTTAAATTATTTTGCTATGCATAGTAATTATACAATAATGTGACGTTAATACATCCCTACTAATCCTTGAGAAAGAAACAAGAAAAGGGTGTGTATGACATCTTTTGATTACTCTTGTTTTCAGGCCTTGTACTGGTACAGAGCAAAAAACTCAAGTGGGCAAGAGGGCCTTGTTCCAAGAACATATTTGGAAGTAGTTTCTGATGAAGGTATGTGATATTGCTAAGGTGTTTTTCTAAAAGTAGTGGCCAGAGCTATAGCTCTTTAGATTTATTGTTGGGGGACTGTCAGTCCCCTAGCAATGGTCCCAATAACGGCATGCCTACTTTTTGCAGGTCAAAGTGTCCCCAGGCCCCAAATTTTTAAATCGATACAAAGTACACACATGACATGTTAACTTTTATCTTAGGGAAGGAGCCATGTAATGATGAAAGCGACAGTGACTATCTTACAATGAAAGGTGCCACTGAGGAACAACATAATATTGGACAACCCAACGATCCTGCCCTATTGGTAAATTTTATACCTGTATTACAGTACTTTTGTTAGTCAGTCGGTCAGTCAATCTGTCGGTCTGTTCCCACATTTTCTGCCACAGTGCACAACAAAACAGCCAGGTAATGATTCAAAGCTACAGATTTACTTGGTTGAAGTACTGCGTTCAAATGTTTTTCGTGAAAAGCAAGTGAACATTAACACCGGCTAACCTCAACTAGCTTCCACCTTTTTGTGCACTATGGAGGCATAAGTTATGACACAGTTATGACAGAGGGATTGAATTTTTGGTGCCTTCATTGAAATAAACGGAAAGCAAAACCAGCGAAACAAAAAGAGATACCCATGATGTGTTGACCCAGGAGGCTTCCGAGGCAAGCCAGAGTGCTGACAGCTGAAGCACTCATTCCCCCAAAGGTCTCCATGGCTACAGAAATGAAGGAGACACCAACAGCTTGACAGGCATCCGCATGTGCAGCCAATTTCCTTGCCTCACAAACCAAAAGTGCATGATCTTGGACGATGGCGGCACTTGGATGTTGGGTTGTTGCGTGGTCAAGATAACGGTTACATCTAAAGCGACTGGGCAGCCTCTTCCAACTGGGAAGGTACACGTCAGCTGGGTGGGTGGCTCAGAGAACTCAGGATCAAGGATGACAATTCCTTCGAGGCGCAAGGGCTGCAGACTGAGCTGCTGAAAAATTGCATCGCAAAGGGCGTTGTGTCGAGTAAATTCTGTCCCTATTGCCACCTCATCCAACATGGTTTTTATAGGGGTCAGCAGGGCACTGGGCACCATCTTCAAACATCTGGAGTCCCAGCCAGTATCCAAGCCACAAACGGAAATCACAGTCCAACAGGTGAAGTCTCATGGCTGACCACGTTAAACGACCACGAAGGCTCATGGCTGACCACGTTAAACGACCACGAAGGCTCATGGCTGACCACGTGGGGGATGGAGGACGATAAGGCAAGAGCTTTAGACCGGACACTAAGGGCACTCTCCAAGAGGAAGGAGAAGCAGACCTCATCGATTTAGAGGGAGAGAGAGTGACTTCGAATTGGAACATTGACACTTTCAATGGAGACCCATTCTGGCCTGATAGCAGCCCCCGCCAAGGCACTGATGGTGTATTGGACAGATGTATTTAGCTGGGTGACCCAGAATATAGGAGATGATGCTGTTGAAAAGAGCCAATAAAGGCTGCTGGGGCATATAAGGTTGGCATATCTTATGTTAATACCCCCAGGGAGAAGGGTGGGATGTTTTGATCCAGGCCCAGTTCGATAGAGGGCTACCGGCTAGATCCGAGACAGCTTCCCTTATTAACTCGTCAAACTTCTCCAGGGCTCTTTAAATTACGTCTGGGGGCAGGTACGGAGCAGGTGTGCAACTTAGGCAAGAGCGAAGAAGAGCAGCCTCCATCTGTGAATTTTCGAAATTGCCTAGCTTGTGGAGAGAATCTTTTACTTTCTGGATCCTCCACTAAGACGAACTCCAGACGATATTGTGGGGGACCTCAGATTCGATGATAGACAGGGTGGCAGCCAGATCGCCAAGTGATCTGCACAAGGTACCATCATCTAGGTACAATGCATTGATCCGAAGATCAGGAACTTCATGCTTGATTCGATCGACGGACAATTGGCTGCAGGGCCAAGGTGAACCCCAATGTACCCGGGGGTCACCCTGCTGAACCCCACAGGAGCTAAGGATGGTGTGATCAGAGTGGTGGAGAATTGGTTGGGCTCCATAACAACATTCCCATCCAAGTTGAGATGGAGGGGGTGTGTAGCCTTACTTAACGAAATAGGCAAAACGATAAACGGAGTTAAAGGTATTGAAGAAGTCGACGAGGAGGATGAAATGATTTGGGGGGGGGATAGTATCAGTGTTGATTATCCAGAGTATATGAAAATATTGTGGTGATCTTCCGACTGTGTTCGTCAGATATGCTGTGAAAAGAAGCTAAAATGCCAACATGCAAATCGCACTGTGCTTACCTCAACCTGATCCGCTCGCTCTGTGTACCTTGGAGGCACAAGAAGCCACAACTAAGGGTATGTATCGCTTCTTGCATGCTATCTACTAACGTAGCTAGCCCATGTCAAAACTCTCCGCCAGCTAGCATGGAGACCACCATTAAACGCATACTTGACCCAACCCATCAATTACAGCATATGCAGTGTGCCGAGGGTTTGCACTTCAGTGCTTTTACTGTAGTCCGATCCCATTGTCGCATCAGCCTGGTGTATATAGAGCAATCGTTGATCAGCTCTAAGCGGGGTCTAGACTCCTTTCAGGCAGCAGCAGTCCTTGGGTACTTAGTCGTCCTTATTGCAATCAGAACCATTCTAAACTGTCTCTCAGAGTCTTCAACAGCATTGACTAACACTTGCACTGCATATGGCTTGTGTGAACTCTCGCACTGTAATATCACAAAAACATACTTTCATGATATCAGAAAATATTTCCGACGTGAGGCTCAGCCTGGAGGTTTAAAAGATACTCGAGGCATTATTTATAGTTTCCAGAGCCTCGGATGGTCACTGGGTGCATGGTGAGAGTTGGTACCATTAGCACCCACTGCCCCAGTTCCCAAGGCCGGGCACCACCAACTCTTATATTTACATGTCTGCGTATACGTAATATGAAAAAGAAACTAGGGGGCAAAGGCCCTGGGATCCTGCCATTCCAAGCACAGCAAAGACACTACTACAGTGTGTGGTTTCCATGACTTGTCATGTAACTAAATGTGGCACGCTAAACATGAGAAATGCTTAAAAGTATGTGCAAAGGCCCTGGGTTTGAACACTATCCAATAGCCTTCCTTGTTAGTGTTCCGTATTCCTGAAGTGCTGTTTTGAATGTTGGCCTGCGTGTTCGTTAAGTGCAGTGGTAGGTTGAAGTGAAGGGTGTCATGGGATTAACTAGCAGCAGGAGAGTTGGTCTCTGCTCTAATGTTGGTGTTTTTAGCTTCCCTTTGTGTATCACGTGAGCTTCGAACACCATCTAAATCCTGTGCCCTGTTCTCTCCATAACAAGTTGCTCATCCATGCCAGACTCATACAGGTAGCTGTTGTAGCCTGAAAGGAGTGTACCATTTATACCAGCCTGTTTTGAACAGTCGAGCAACTGTATATATTGCTGAGGGCGTGGTAACCCAATGGCTTTTAAGAATCCCAACACACCCAAGTAGGGTTTGGAAATAAAGGAATCTGCTGGCCTGTCAGTAGGTGTAAGCTTTGTTATAAAAGCCGAACAAGACAATGTTTAGGATTGGTGGCATTGACGTGATTGACTACAACTTTGGGCTTAACCCTTCCCCTTCTCTGAGACAGATAGGCTCAGCAACGTTTTTCTAGCACGGCTCTGACTGAATTTGGTGGTGTTCTTTCCCACTACAGAGTGCAAAATAGTGGCCGTTGTAAACACCATGGTGTCCAGTAAACTCTGATCTCCCAGAACCCCTTCTCCTAACACAGTTCTTCCTCCTCTGTTAGGACCTCAGCTTGCTTGGTGTTCAATCCTTTCCTTGCGATCTCTTTACCTCTGCGTTCAAAGAGGCCACGAGCAGGATCTTAGAAAAAGTCAATAGATAGCTGTCCGTTCCATCTAAAATTATTTGAACCCGAAATATTTATTCTGAGGGAGTAATATTTTAAAGAAATATTTACAGAGAATTAAAAAGCTCCCTGAGATATAGTTGGATAGCACATCAAAAATACTTTGGCATATAAATAGGAGTGGGCGTAGCACATTAGCTAGATTTGCCACTTGATAGCTCCCACCTGATTTACTCCATTGTGATACTGGTCAATTGTTGTAAAATGCCGAAATTGTTGTTAACAGCAACAAAACGATTTAAAAACATTGCTGTCTGGGATGCCTCTATCCCTTCAAATGTCACTAAACACTTAATATTTTGCTCACTTCATATTGAGCTACTAGCGGGAGACCACAACAACACATAGCCCAGCCCATTAATTAGTGTCACCATTCTTGCATATAGATACGATGTTTCTAGTGGATCAAGGGTTTGCACTTTAGTTCTTTTCATTTTGCTAGGAGATGATGCGAATTCACGAGAAAGAAAAGAAAAAGAGATTACCAGCTGGAACACTTGTTATTGGGACATGCCAATTTTCTGGAGAGAGCCCTGAGGTCAGTATTCGCCATGTAGCTACGATGTAGCCTCCCCCACGTATGTATTTAGAAGCCCAAGGCCGTTGCTCTCCAATGTCTAACATGCATGTATATAAGCACACAATGTGTACATCTTAGTAGAGACATCATATTCAGAAATCTGTGCAGAAAGCATAATCAGGTTATACTATCCCGGTTTGCCAGTGCCTCTTTATGTGCTGTTAATCTAAAGCCACTAAAAAGTACAGCTAAAACATAAAATATATTAGTGGTGTAGGTTTTCTGGTTCAGACATGATTCGACAGTTTATATGTCCTGTTCTTGTTCTGTTTCTTCGTCTAGGCTACGTCGAAAAACCGACTTATTAACCCTGACACAGTTTACCACTACAGTTTAGAGCTGGAATATAGTGATAAAAGAAGGCCAATAAACTGAATTTCCACTGGCTAACCAAAACAGTAATGTTACTGAAACCTACTGGGGCAGATTTACCCACAGGTTACAGTACTGTATATAAATGGTACATACTTAGGTACCTGTTTTTTGAAATGACTAGTAGGTACATGGTTCATTTCAACCAGCCCTGAATCCTGCCTGCATTTAGCATGGTTCAGCCCCAATGAGTTTACCATCCAAAGCACTATGTACTGCAGCTGTGGATAGCTGGATTGCTTTCACAGGGAGCTTTCTGAAGGAAGGGGCTTGGAAGAGAGCGTGAAAAAGTGTAACTACTAAAGCAGCTTTGATTCTAGAGACTGGTATTGTATAGAATTGTTATATACGTATTCAAGCCGGTGTAGCCTAATTTAACAACTCTGTTCTGTTCTTTGCAGTTGCTCCACTTTTTTGTTGTTTTCACAGGATATGCCATTCAAGGTTTATGAGGAAATGTCACTGTTATATCCAAAGCAAGTAAGGTAGTATATACATGATCAGAGAGTGCATGAGGTTTATTTTGCTCGTGAATTATCCATCATCGAATTATTAGAGCTAAATGTCTACCTAATGCAATTTTTCACCAACATGTGAACTGCTACATACTCAGGGGAGCCATTATTTTACTGTTATCGCTTTAGGATCTCTGTTGGTACTATGCACAAAAGACTGACTACCCAGAGGTGAAGGGTACAATTCCAATTACTCACGTCAGACTTGTGTATATGTCAGATGATGGTGAGTGGATCCTTGTTTGCTTTCATTTTATTAACCCTCGGCATGCAAGTGCAGCAAGGGTTACGGTACTTTGTGAGTGTGCCCTTCTGTACAAAGTAGCAATATCATTGCTACACTGTCTTTGTTTTTAAAAACACTGCATTCAAAAGTGACGGTGTTAAAGCAAGCCCTCATGCAGCGAAAAAGCCTAATTTGGAAATTTGCCATAATGTATATACATGTACCCCCGACGCGAAATATGCATGAAACACATGAAAAATCCAACTGCTCGCTTCTCTCACTATAAATGTGTTATTATACATCTGTATGTGTGTCTGTGTCTGTTACTGGTATTGTGGCACCAGGCTATGAGCTGGCCAAACCAGCAGCTTCAGTGCACAGTTTGATCATTATGGTGTGAAACAGCCAGTTATGCAATGTATCGTCTCATGTGCCAGCTCAAACACACGTGAGGGAACACAAAGTTACTTGGATTAAAAGGACCTAGCCTAGCATTGATACTCACTGATTCTGCTAGTCACCCATGTAACAATAGACCATGTGATGCCAAGAGAAAAAAGATGCGGAGCTCTGCTGTTTCGGGCTTGTTGGCCCTCATCAGCAAAGCATACCGCAACTTCTCTCTCTGGCATCACGAGTTTATAAAGGCAAAGTTGAGCGCAGCACTTGTGGTTTTGAACTAATGAGATTCATCCCCACAAGGCTTTGCTCAGGCGCAGCACTTGTGGTTCTGAACTAATGAGATTCATCCCCACAAGGCGTTGCCAGTACCGAGCCAAAACCCGAATTCAGAATGCTGACATTGTGGATTGGGCCGCGGCAATGAAGCCAGCAAGCACCCATATCCTGCCAACGCATACACATGTAACAATAGACCATGTGATGCCAAGAGAAAAAAGATGCGGAGCTCTGCTGTTTCGGGCTTGTTGCCATGTTAGAACTAGAAACAGTGAGCACAATGGCTTGGCCGCACCCATCAATTTCCATGCTTTATATAAACATAAGTACTGTATGTACATTGCTGCTCCTCTTTTTCTAGCATCTGTATTTTTTGACAAAGGTTTGTACTTCAGTACTTTTCATCATTCTTTTTTGCAGATGATGAAGGTGACACCATCTACAAGTATGCAAGTTTAATTAACTACTGTATTTTAATGTACTAGACTTGCCAATGACCTTTAAACTCATTAACCCTCGGCGCACATGCGCAGCAAGGGTTGTAGTACTTGGTTTGTCATTCCGTCTGTCTGTCTGTCTGTCCGTCTGTCTGTTACCTCGTTTTCTCCCGCTACGCACAGCATAATGGCCAAAAAGCGCTACCAACGGGTTCAGTGCCACACTGACTTTAAATGGTGATTTTGGTAAAAATGCTGCCTAAGTGCTCTGTGCATCTTGAAAGAACAAGAAGTCACAATGAAGGGCGTGTATCGACTCCCACATGCTATCTACTACTGTAGCTAGTCCGTGTCAGACTCTCAGCGAGCTATAGCGGGAGACCACGAGTAAACGCATACTAATAGCCCAGCCCATCAATTAGTGGTACCGCGCATGCGCAATTCGCCAAGTGTTTGCACTATTAATTAGTGCTTTTCATTAATCCCCGGCACGCATGCGCAGTGAGGGTTACAGTACTTTGTCTGTACGCCTGTCTGTCTGTCTGTCAGTCTGTTACCACGTTCAAATGAGGGTTTGCACTGCAGTGCTTTTTCATTATGTCCAGTAATAATACAGATACTCCACTGTGTTTGCATGTGAGGTCGATACTATAAGCCCATAGCACCAACACTGCATATTTAAGTGCGCCCCCAATGACTAAAAGTTATGGTTGTGGAATAAATGCGTTACAGTGGTCAAAATAGTGAGGCTTTTTGGCAAATCGACCACCCACCTTTTATTCACGTTACACACAAAGCAGCAGTTAACCCTATGCCACGGGCTTACGATAGACCCTTCACTCATGTATTTTGCATTAACCCTTGCAAGCAGAACTCTGTGTCTTGCAACCATTTTAATCACCTTTTATGTTTGTGTTATAGTGCACCTGCTAATCCTGCACATGACCGGTTATATGACGGTAAGTTTCAAATATTATTGCTCTTTGATCAGTCCTTTTTATTGCGTATCATGCAACTTGTTGTGCTGTGTGTGTTGGTCAGAATTTCTGCCTCAGTAAGTCAGACTTCAGTTTCTGCTCGCACACACTGCAAAGCACAATAAACAACCTAGATGGTTGTATAATTATAATGTCAGTTTTGTTCTATCAATATGTCTTTCAGCACCTTTCATCCTGTTGAATGCTACTTCCTCCCTACACGTAATGGGTATTCACAATGCATGTACAGTACATACACGTATACATTGCCACTCTTTTTGTGGGGGTGAAAACAATTTGCAATCATAATTTTAGTGGAGTACTGCAGTGAGCTATCATGTCCAATTTCATAATGCCCAAGAAGCAAAGCTTTAACACTTGACATCCCTAAATTACAATATATCCTAGCTTCAGCTCAAGAAAACAAGAGTATGAGTGCTTATAGATACTTTGGACAGTGGAAAGCATTCAATTAACTATGCATCAATCCATGAACTCTAACCCTCTAAGTGGTGTACTCTTACCAGCTTGTGTGTCAAAAGCCTGGTGGTTGTATTATGCTTTTGAGAATGGTACAGGTATCAGTTATGGTTTTGTAGGCCTTAGAGCTACACATATTAAGCTCGGGAGTTTGGTCACTGGGTGTGTGGAGAGAGTTGGTATCATAAGAGATGTCATCCCCCACTCCAGTTCTCAAGGATGGTCACCTAGTGACTGGCTCTTGTGTACATGTCTGTGTTTATGTGCTTGTGTGTGTTACAGAATTTGTTGGTTATTTTGTATGGAAAAAAGGGGGTTGGGATTGGCTTTTGCTGCAACCCTTGGTGCGCATGCGCAGTGAGGGTTACGGTAGTGTGTCTGTCTGTCTGTCTGTCTGTCGGTCTGTCTATCTGTCTGTCAAGTCAGTCAGTCTGTTACCTTACATCTCACTCCTCGAGCCATTAATCACTCCACAAACGATACCACGTATTCAGCGTCGGATAGAGGTCGAAAAATGTGGGGTTTTCTCTGAAACTGCTGCGTTCAGGAGTTACGGTGTGAAACATGAGCGAAAACGGAAATATGCTGCTTAGACAGGCTTAGCTCGAGCGGTCCACTTGCTCTGTGTATCTTGAAGGCACAAGAAGTCACACATGTATCGATTCCCGCATGTTCTTTACTGCTGTAGCTTGCCCATGTCAGGCTCTCTGCGAGCTACTAGCATGGAGACTACAAGCAAACGCATACTAATAGCCCAGCCCATCAATTAGCGGTACCGCGCATGCGCAGTTCGCCGAGGTTTTTTTTCACTTCAGTGGTTTTTCATGTTCATAGAAGTAGGCAAAATCACTAAGTACGGTAGTACTTAGTATATTGGGATGGATATGGTACCTGAAGTATGGGGCTATGATAGGGAGTTTTGTTCATCTTCTCCTTATCCTTCTTCAGATTCAACACCCATAACTCAAAAAAACATATAGTAATTTAAGAATGTATGCCATCACCCCAAGAGACTGGTGACACTTTATTTGTTTGTAAACAACATGCGAATGTGGCATATAGGGATGGATGGTTAACGAACAGATTTGAGCATGCTCACCCCCGACTCCATCATACAATCCCTATATTGTTGCCTAGGTGGACATTCACTATTAAGCTTGAAAATTTGAGTAACCAACACAGGTATAGAGTCCAAATGGAGTTTAACACCAGGCAACAAATCTAGGGATTTTACATATGATGGGGTCGGGGGTGTCAGCATGCTCAAATCTGTTCGTTAACTATGCTTCATGTATGCCATGCCTCCATTTCTTTTTATACCATCCCTACTTTTTAATCTGCTGGATTTTTATTTCACTTCTTTAATAAAAGGTGTTCTACAACTTGCCCCCTTTTCCCTGTCATAGAATTGAACTATACTTTACCTTACTTCTTACCACCACCAAAACAATGTAGTGCCCTGTGTTGTTACGTGCCGCACTGTACATTTCTTTTTTATACAGATATGAATGACTTCTTTAGACAATCAGGGTGGTTTTCTCACCCTGGATTACCCCATGGAAAAGTTGCTCTACAGCATGTCATAGCAAAGAAGGCTGGTCTTTCATTTGAAAAGTTTATGGCTATGGAGCAGGCTGTTTATCTCTTTGATTACAGGCATGGGGAAAAGGTATGTATGAACCCACCAGTAAGTACATCTTTACACTGTGTGGTAGTGAGTTTACTTGTGGCATTTTTTTGAAACCCATCAAAAGTGATACATACCTGTGTGTTATTCACTTGTTCTTGGGGTACTGCAATACCTTTTTACTGGTCTTTGTAGTACTGCTAGGCTGGAATAGCTCAACTAGGGCTTAGCATTAAGGGCACACAGGCACCAAATTTACTCCAGTGACTACCATAATTTTGTTTAATGATTCTTGTGGCACCATGAAGCCTGTGTATGCAGAGAGATACATATCACACGTATACATAGATAACGTGGACCAGCTGCAATGTGAAGTTTGCTGGTCCCTTATTCTTATCCTGTTTATCCTTGCATTCCATATCACTAAGTACAGTGTATAGGGATGACACAGGTTGCCCTGCATTATACCCATACATTTGAGATTTGTACGTTTTACTTTCAGCAGATCCCACTTCTGACGTATATATCAGTCTGATTCGTATGGTCAAACAAAGCTTGTAACCGAGACATGCCTTCAATCGTATATATATATAATTGATTTGTTCAGTTTGTAAAATTCTTCGTCTTTGTTCCTGTTGTTCACTTTAGACAAGCGTATCTCAAAAACCAGGTAAGATTAAACTTTGCACAGAGATCAGAATCCATGACCTGGTGTGCAAGAGCGTTTTATTACAATTTGTTTACATTTAAACAACAAATAACAACAAAAACATTATGATAGAGACCAATAATGTGTGCTAACTTGGTAAGGCTAATATACCCAGAGTGTACACATATGCAACCCAATATAGGGATGCCATAAAAAGGAAGGAGACAGGGATGATCTAGTGCATGTGATGCAGTAGTACAATAGATGATACATCTTCAAACTGACATTTCTTGCGCATTTAAACTTTCCTTCCCACAAGCCCTATATTGTCGCCACTCTTACTCATGAAATGAGTTTTGTTTAGTGAATGATGTAGTGTGAAGACTGGCAAAGGGATTCTGTATGGAAAGCCGCATTGTAAAACTGGTTAGTTGAGCGAACATTGAAGTCTTGGACTTTAAAATAGGGTGATGATCCAAAACTAGGACCTATTAGCTACCAGTCTTATGTGCATAGGAAACGAGTTATAGCTGCAAAATCATACGATAGAGATCACTCGTGATTTGCGGCAATATAAGGCTTGTGTAGAGGAAAATTTACACACAATGTCAGTTTGAAGATGTATCATCCATGTACTACTGCATCGCATGCATTAGGTCATCCCTGCCTTGTCTCCTTGCTTTTATGGCATCCCTACATTTTACACATTTTAATTTGGAGAATTTTTTATTTACTTGTAAACCCTTTTGTAAACCCTGGTCCTAAGTTTTCTTACCTGTAGGTTTGTTAACGTTAGTTTGATGGTGTTTTCACTAGCCAATGGTCAATCAAAAAGATCTCTGTGATTGACCATTGGCTGGTGAAAATACTAACGTTGACTACGTATGTCTCTTAACCCGGCCACACAGGCATCTGCAGGAATGTAGGTTTGTTAAAACTGAATGTTTCAGAATGTCTCCATTCTGCCACATGTATATGTGGCCTAGGAGCTTTCTTTTGACCGTGTTTATTTGTCTAGGTATATGTTGGTTCTGCCAGTAACCTGAATGATGAAATATGCAAGCACTTTGAGAATTTTGGGAAGAAAAGAGCAGATATTACTAACATTGACGATGAGCTCTGTCATCACACTGAGAGTTCTGAATGGGAAATACAAGTGTGGTGTCCTCAGTCAAAAGATCTAGAGTATGAATGTGCTAAAAAGGTTATTGAACTCAATGCTTTGACATCGAAAGAAACTCAGAGGGGGCTTACTGAAAAACTCAGTTTTTCCTCTATGCAAAGTTTTGACAAACTTTGGAATTGGTTTTCTCCCAACTAACATACTGTGTTTTACAGTTGTATTTCAACTTTTTAGCTCATTTTTGGAATATTTCCAACCTAGTTTTTATTCCTCAGTTTGTATTATAGCATCCCAGGCTGTGTAAAATGCAAAATATCTGTGGCTATATTGCAGTTGATAAAGACACCTGATGCCAGGTTGGCGATAGTGCTGAATAATTATATGGAGTATTACCATGCGCACATAAACCATACCCATAAACATTGGGGGCCTTGAGCCTAACAATTTGTTAACTTGCTCTTCTGTATCATCCCCATAATCTAATCAGTCCTATTCAGCGCCATGGCGGTGGAGAAACCAAAATTATGTGTCCCCGAGTTTAGTTAGTGTGTAGGACAGTAGAGTGAGTTGGATCTGTAAGTTATCTATCAATTTATGGCTATTTCACCTGCTCATGATTCCTCCACTTGATTCACAACCGGATTCTTACAACACATGACGTGGTGGCTAAAGGTGCTATGTAAGTGGCCAGCAGTCTTATGGAGCCAGCCCCATCTCTAAGACTGGGGCAGTTAACCAGATCCTTTTAGAGAGAGGACTAAGTGGCGACATTTGCGATAACCACCGACAGTATTACTTAGAGGGACATCAGAGTTCGATTATCCCAGCATAATTTTTTCGCCTTTCCTTCATGAGAATAGTACCTCATATGAGTTAGTGGGCACAAGAAGGCGTTCATTTTACATGAAGTTGTCTGGAGATGATACAGAAACACAGTTCACGACCTGTATTCAATAAAGTCTGGAAAAGGTGTAAAGGTCAATGGACTACCATGTCTGTTGGTCAATATTAACTTCATAACGCGAGAAAATTTGTGCTTCTGAACAGTCTTCTTTTATTAACCCTCGGTGCGCATACGTAGCGTGGGTTACAGTAGTTGTCGGTCCGCGCAACCCATCTCACTTAACGAGCCATCAATCTTTCCACAAACAATACCACGTATCACTAAGTACAGTAGTACTTAGTATATTATAGGGATGACACAGGTTGTCCTGCATTATGCCCAGGAGATGAAGTGGTTGAAGTAAGGTTGATGAAGATGATCAATGTCACAGCGATGGCAAGGTTTGTAACCAAAAGCTGGCCTAGTTAGTTCCCGAAACAGTGCTTGCAGAAGGACAGTCCCCTGACGACCATGATCCAACGCCATGTCCGCCATGTCCCAGAGCTTTAGCCATGTTCATAGTATCTGATACGGCGCACCCATAACCAAGTTTTGCTCATGTGTGTTTGATACATTAAGTACATTTTTCTCACTGAAATTTACACCAGGTCACCCATGTGTAGCATAATAGTACAGTAGAACCTCCAGTGTGAATTTTTGTCCATTGTTCGATCTGTATTTGTCCCACTCAAAGGTTCTGAGCGGAGTGATTTCATGTGCACAAAAAGATGTGAACTAAAGTGTGTGCGTTCACCTTCACGGTAGGAAATCCGCTGTAATTCTGCTATACTACGCGTACGGCCGATTCCGGAGTTTCAACACACAGTGTGTTTCTGAAAAAGCATGTAGGTTCTAATGATGCGGCCTACGTTTGTGCCCAACACACGCTTGGTTAATTCATTTTTGGGTAACCTGGTAGAAACTGCTCTTGACTCCAAGCATGGATATGGAGCCATTTTAGGAGGCCACCAACTGCTACGCATTTAATGACATAAAATCCCATTGAAAACCATTATCATAATTACGCCTACAGCACCAACAGGGCAGAAGAAAGTCATGATTTACAAAAGATGTTAGTGTGTTTGCATATTAAACCTTGAGTGTGTGATGATAAATTATTATCTATCTGGGAGGAAGTGGAGGAATTTCACTATTTGCTTGTGATTCATACCGAGGACCTTTGGTTTTGTCAGTTCTTGGGATAACTGGTGGTCTGCGACTGGAAGGTTTATTGGTGATATCTGGTGGCTTAGAGGTCACCTTCGGTTTTGTGCTAACCTGTGGTTTTGCACTAATGACAGGTTTATCAGCAAGTGATGGCTTAGTGCTAATTACTGGCCTGGCACTAATTGCCGGCTTGGTGGGTGGACGAGGCTTAGCAGTCACATGTGTTTGGGGGGGAAGTCTGTAACTTGAGGATTTAGGCTCATGGTTAGTTGGAGCCCCGTGATTCCAAGCACATTCTGGTGCCTGTGCACCAATCTCCCCCACATGCGCTGGTCTAATTCTTGTAGTTGGATTTGGCCTGCTACTAGTGTCAGGAGTGCTATGGGGTCTTTGCAGGGATGTGACAGAATTTTTTGAAGCTGCAGCTTTCTCTCTTGCTCCTCTCGAAGGGATAGGAGGCGCGTCGTCCTCTGTAGGTATGCTAGGACTATGACGTCTTAACTCACTTGCACTTTGACTAGCACCAGAAGCATTAGGATGCCTGACAGGTACTGGAGGACAGCATAATTCAATGGATGAATGTCTCACAACTGGCACCTGATGTCGCCTAGGTGGAGGTTTTGGAACAGTAACCTCAGAGGGAAGAGGCAAAGGACTATTCAGGTCCCTTCGTGGGGGTTTTGAATCTCTAGCACTAGTATTCCTGAATGGAATGGGTGGAGGAGACTCGAACGACGACGATGTAGGACGGGGTTGTAATTCATGGGATTTGGGTGGTGGGACCTGGTGAAAGTTCTCCTGTGACAAACTCCTCTCGCGGTCAAATGGTCGTTTTGGACGTGCACGTGGTGCAACTGGTGGTGCTGCTGGGTTAGCGTGTTGGTGTGCAGTTGGTGATATGGAACTGCGTGCAAGCTGTGGCGAACCTTTCCGCATTCTCTCGGCATCTCGCGGAGGTATCCCAGGTATATCTTCAGCCCCAACCCTGGTGTATGATTCCCTGTTAGACAGGTCAGTCACACTTCCTTGAGGGGAGTGTGAGGGAGAGGGCTGGAAACTAAGGTATTCTTGAACCTTGAGCCCCTCAGGTTGGCACTGCATCATTGCCACCTCACTTCCAATATTGTGCCGGCGTGGAGGTAGAGTCATGTTTGTTACACGAGTAAAAACCGGAGGCAACTCTTCTTCATCACTGTTGCTTGCGGAACCAACGCCAGCTAAATCAAAGCTGACTTCTTCATAGTTTTCCATTGGATCAGGGCTACTAACACTTCCATTTGGTTGATCAACTGGACCATAGAGTTCTTGCCGTTTTTCATGTAATTTCTCCATCAGGGCTGGATCATTCATGATACCCTTCATTGGGTTTTGCTTCGATACTCGATGAGGTGAGGTACTGCTTTCGACAGAGAAGGTTGAGTTTCAGCGTGTTTCTGTGTGGGTAAAGGACATGGGGATTTCTTTTTCCCAATTTCTCCGTTTCTAGTATTAGATTGCACATTGTGCTTAGATGGTTCGTAATTTTTCCCTCTGCGAGGGGCAATTTTCCCTGCTTCAATACGGGAATATATTATAGAAGGGGAAGAAGATAATGAGTCGTGATGTTGCCGTGGTTGAGGTTTCCAAACAGGAGGCGGATTGCGATTCAGTTCCTCTTCGTCATATTCCATCTCCTCATACATTCCTTGAGGTACATCCTGTAGGTCATGTGGGACACTCTGACCACTAGGAGAAAGTATAAAGTACATGGAATCTTTAACTTCGTTCATTCCATAGTTGGGAATATCCATTTCAGTGGGACGCTGAGGTTTGGGTGGCGGGATGGGTGCTCGCCCTGATTGCACACTGGTGGTAGGTGCTGGGTTAAAGGTTTTGGAGGGTAAAGGTGAGCGGATTTGAGGACGTATCTGAAGGTCTTTCCTGGGAGGCAAGGCTGTAGTAGTGCAGTCAGCATTGAGCCCTGTATCCAATTTTGTTGAATAATCTTCAATTTCATCAACTAAGGGTAAACAACAGTAGAACAAGGGATGACATACAGTTCATAGGACAGCATGTACAGAAGTTTTTACTGAATGCTGAGTGTTTGATTTGTATATGTATGCTTACGCCACTTGTAAACAGCAGTATAAGTAGATGTACTCGTATAGTATTGGCTATGGTATTTGTGCAATGCTGCGCATTTAGTAGTGTAGTAGCATAGAAGTAGACAGTGCTTAGGGGTACAGAAGTGGCCTGAGGAGGGGAAAGAGTTCCTATGTGTTTAGTCTCTGCCTGCAGCTGCAACTATACACAAAACTCAGTAGGAAGAGCACACTGTGGGCTACAGTAGCAAATGTTTTAGGCTTTGTCCTGATGTTTCACTGTATGAAAATATGTGGGCCATACAGAACATCAGCCAAATAGATCCCTGCTTTATGCTTGCTACAATGATCGCAGTATTATAATGGCTTTGACTTGACAATAGCTGCAATGTTATCGGCAGAATGTTGTAAACATGTTTGGCAATACAGTAACTTAGTACACCTACCCCCACTGTTTCTGCACAGAACAGCAAAACAAGCATGTTCGCGTATATACGGTATATGTAGGCAGGGATATTCCAAGTTAGTGACGAATGGTCATGTATTGTGAGGGAGATGATTTGCTTGCTCATGCCAACATCATGTGTACATACAAGACTGTAGTGGTGACGAAAGCACAATGTGGCTGACATGAAGGCTGTGACTGTCACTGGTGTACCTTTAATTTCACCATCCTTCAACTTTATGAACTTTTGATGCACAAATGCAGTTGTCTGTTGTTTAGTGACACCAAATGGTTTATAGTTAGTGCTAAAAGGAATGTTTACCCTAGAATTCATACTTTATGCTGCACTTTTATTATCTGATGGGGGGGGGGCAGTGCCGCATTTTCTCGTGTAGTGTGTGTGACTGTGTGTTTCCATGTGTTTTGTGTTGTACAAACGTCCAAGCTATGTAGAGCTCAAGCCTGAAATTGTATGATACGCTCTAACAAACCTGGAGAAAAGCCACAAACACGGGCAAGTAGTGCAACCCACTCATCCATTTCCGGACGGGTATCAGCTTCCAAGAAGTAGTTTCTAACCTGGAGGTAGAATTATATATTCATGAATATAAGTCACATTTTCAGTGGCAGATGAAGGTGAATATACATATGTGGGGTTTATGGCATGAAAAACAAGGTGCGTGGGTGCGCCGATTTTAGCAAAAGTGCTAATTGCAAATATTTGCAATGGCTTAACATGAAAAGGACTAAAGTGCAAACCCTCAGCGAACTGCGCATGCGCGATACTGCTAATTTATGGGCTGGGCTATTTGTATGCGTTTACTCGTGGTCTCCACGCTAGTAGCTCGCGGAGAGTCTGACACGGGCTAGCTACGGTAGTAGATAGCATGCAGGAGTCGATACATGCCATTCATTGTGACTTCCTGAGCCCCCCAGGTACACAGAGTGAACGGATCAGGTCGCGTAAGCCCAGTGCGATTATGCATATTGGCTTTTTCGCTTGTTTTCACGGCATATCTCTCGAACGCAGTCGTTTCAGGAAAATCGCCCTTTTAGTTTTCAGGCTCGTGTAGTTCTGAAGCCGCTGGTATCACTAATAGGCCGCCTCGTAGCCTGTAGTGCCAGAATAAGCGTCGACACACACAGACAAACAGACAGAGAGACAAACCAAGTAGTGTAACCCTCGCTCGCCGAGGGTTAATGACCGGTAGTATTCAGTCTAGTGCTACTCTTGATGCAGCCAGCTTGTGTTAAAGCGAGAAACTAAGCAAGCTGTTAATGAATGCCGTGGGCCCATCACTTAGCAGGTGCTTTCTGCATATGTCTTTATGCATGCAAGATACATGTGTTCCTTTAGTGTGGAGGGTATTCACATCAGGCAACTTATGGATGGACAGTGTAAACAAAGGGCTTGTAGGGCAACTATGTTGGTCCTTCCATACCTGCTTCTTTAGTAACATTGGCCTGAAATTTGAGCTTGCCAACCACAACACAGGACAACTAATCAAGCCACAACTCGTAATATGCAGTTAATGAATACGTATTGCGGTATTCCGGTTCATGTCATGTTCGCTTGAAAAACAGGGCGGAGAAATATTACTGTCTTACACTTTGGGGAATAATTTCAAAAGACCGCAAGGAGTTGACAAATGTTATGCTTGCCTCTCCAACAAACTTGCCTAGAGGCTTGCTACACTAGGCTACTATAATGATTCAGACACCAACATCTCTATGAGAGACATGTACCAAAGATTAGTCATAAATGAAGAACTAACCCATGTAGAACTAACACATCTTTGGTGACACACGTTATTGTGAATCATTACAGAATGTGCAGTGGCATTTCCAATAGAAAACTCCTGCATAGAGATGACTATGTAGATAGGCTCGCTTCGCTCATCAATGAAGAATGTTGAGAGCAGCTAATGCATGCCACAGGCATTAGTTTGCATTCCATAAGAGTTTGCCTCCGCACTCAGGTAACACAATGCTGATATTCACAATTATGTTTACAGCGCAGCCACAACCTGCAGTTTTCAACACATTACCTCCTCCCATTTCCCCAATGTATTTACACACAAAGCAACGGGAATGCTGTCAGTACATGAGCCAAAAAAGGAGCACACCCTTAACCCATGTTTTCTTGAACGGTTGGCTGCAAGTATAGGAAATTATTGCTGGTAGTATGTACACCTAACGAGAATGAATGGTTTTTCAATTTGCACACGTTACCTCAGCCATACATAAATGAAAAGCACTGAAGTGCGAACCCTCGGCACATTGTGACGCACACGCGTAAGTAAACGCATGCGCCGTACCACTAATTGATGGGCTGGGTTTAGTTTTAGCTGCTACTCGTGGTCTCTTGCCGGAGTCTGACGCAGGCTAACTACACTACTAGATAGCATGCGAGAGGCGATACACGCCCTGCGTTGCATCTTCTGGTGCCTCCGAGGTACGGAGAGCACGCGGATCGGTCAGACCGTGGTATGCCATCCCGTCCGTTGTGTATTTGCATATTGGCTTTTTCACGCTCTAGCTTTGCAACGGAGCAGTTTCAGAGAAAACCGTTCGACCTTTCTGACCTTCATTGCCTGCTAAGTAGGTCAGATGTACAAACACTCGAAAAGTGAGATGTAGAGTAACAGACACACAGACAGACAGACCCAACTACAGTAACCCTCGCTGCCCATGCGCGCCGAGGGTAACAAATTTATAGTTTAAGGAACATCTGTAAGTGTATTCCACCCACATACTTTATCTCCCTGTTTGACAGTGAGTTTGATGATATTGTCTCGGTCTTGCAAGGTTATTGGAGCCACCATATCCTCACAGTGAGACAGGTCAACAGTTTTGATGTAGTCCTGGGGCCTTTTTGCAGCACTTGAATAATATTCAAACGTCCCGTTTGACCACAGAACAAAGTAACGCCTCTTACGTGCCTGAAAAATAAACAGAAAAGCTATAACACACACACCCACACATACCATTAAGGTGTTGTTGTAAGTTAGAGAAAAAGAACTGCATAAAACAGCACTCTATCCCCAGCAACCTACAACCAGGAAGTGCTAAGTGGTTGCTACTTAGTGGCCTAACCATAAACACATGTCTGTACTTCAGCCTCTTTCTACAGTGCTTGACGCATTAGATTATGCGAATGTACATATAATTATGCAGTTGCACACTCTTTCCATGATACATATAGTGCCAACAATAACTGAAGATAGGTGTTCCGACCGAATTCCAAACCTGTGTGGTTGATTAACCGGCCATTCGGTAATGTTACCAGTTGTCCGGATGCAATACTTTCATGTGGTTGTTTAATCGCGAGCATATATCCCTCTAGTTTTGCTTTATCGCCTTTTAGCCTAGTTTTTGTATTGGCTTTCTATATATCGCTTTACAGCCATGATACAGTGTCTGCTAAATCCTTGTAGCAATGGATGTAGCCAACTCACAGCAGAAATTTTCTGTTTGCACATTTGACGGCAGCAACTGGCTAACAACTGACAGCAAAAAAAATGCCTGCTTTTTTGTGTTGTGCCCTGAGCTTTGTATCTAACACCACAGAGGTGTTCATCCTTGATGTTGTAAGGAAGGGTAAGGGCCGGGCAGTTGCATAAACGGGACATCCAGTTACATGGCTGTCTGGTTGAGCAACCAGACGTAACATACATATATTTATGTGACCAGCACTGTAAGGCTATATGATTATTGAAATGCTCACATTCACTCGCCAAAACACACAGTTTATGTACATGAAAAAGTCTACGCAGTACATCTACATGTGCATGTAGTCACTTACAGTTGCTAATGCTCTGTTTCAGTGTATTTAGTGGGCAGTGTGGGGAAACCATCATGCACAGTGTCTAAAAGGCAACACCATACGTACTTAGGCAATACCCTGTGACCAATAGGTTGGTAGTGCTGTACACTGCAGCATGTTGTGTGGACATATCAAATAATGAACGCCTGTGAATTGCATTGATTGGTGTTGCGCAGGGATACCAGCTGTCACCCAGAGCTATTCCACGGTGCCTATACATGTCAGTCAAGTCTTCAGTGACCTAACAGCTTGAGCATTCATTACAAATCTTGCGACAAACCAGTCAAAGCACTGCTAACAAGACGCACGAGGCGTAGCAAACCGCAGTCAATTCTGTACTATACTCGCAATGGGTCTATCACTAGTAGGTATTGATATTATCCAATGGCAGCCATATGAGGTATACATCCCTTAGAAACATGGGAAGAAGAAGGGGAAGTAAGGTGGCATGAGGAAGTTGTATGTTAATTATTGATATCATATCCATGACAGTATGTCCATTACGGTAATGTGATATCTGCAATAATATGTTCATTCAGGTTGGCAGGAAACTCTATGCTGCCACAAGACACAAGTCATCACCATAGTGTAGCTTTGTAGGAACGTTGCCCTCTTGAAAGCCTGTAAAGCATACTCTGTCTCTTAGTGGAGAGTTGGAGGTACAACAAAAGAAGGTAGGTCAAGCAGCATTGTCACAAAACAGCTAGAGAGCACCATACTGACACAGGAAGTGTAATAGAGACTGGTGGCAGACATTGTTCCACACAACACTTCTTCACTGTATGTCTCAACAACTTGGTAGCGAGGTAGAAAGGCAAGGCAAGGCAAAACAAGTCAACTACACCCAAGACACCTCATTCTTTTCAAAGAAAAGAAGAAGAGTTGCCCTGGGTGGGATTCGTATGTATATATACCGTCTGATGTATGGGTACAGATCACTTCTGTGTTCACTATAATACAAGCACTTGCTACACATCCAGCCTCTTTTTTTTATAAAAAAAACAGTATTAGCTGTCATATCTCCATGACAGTTTGCTTGGAAGACAAGCACTCCAATTACATGTCAGCCTCAGCCTATAACTCAATGCAATGCAGAAGGAAAACAAATTGCATATACAGATACCATACAAGTCAGGGAAAAGCTTGCCACAAACCACCTCTACATTTACCTGTGTGTTCAACTAGCTGGCAGTAGTATATAGCCTTTACCTGGGAACTCCTTGCTTCTAGGGCCAAAGTTCAGACACTTTAACCTAGGAACCTTGGCTTTTGTATTGAGGAAATCTATACCATGAGCCCTGTACTATACTGTGGAAGGAGGAAAAGTGATTCTGGTTGGCACTTCCTATATTATTTCCTGTAAATTAGTGTTAGATACAGACAGTGAGTATCCACGATAACACATACAGATACATAACGTGTCATCAACCTTGGCAAAGTTCATAGCTTCTAGCCAGACCTCATCTGAACATAATAAATTGTACCTTGTTGTTAAAACATACACATTATACATGGAGGAGGGAGAAAGCCTGGGTCCACAATGCAGTTTCCACAAATCACTCAGGAACTAATGAAGTGGGGAATCATAGCTGAGTGTGATGCCACTCCAAATGGACACTGTGTTCAGTTTGTTCACATGCACTTTAACAATTGCATGTGTCTTCAAGAGGTCACTGGTGCTGCGACAAGGTCCTTAAGATGCATAAGTAAAAGCTTAGGCCTTTTCGCACACATCGCCATCTTACTTATAAGGTTTAAATGCCCACTACTCTGTATGTTCATGGTGTTAAAGGTCAAGGAAAATGGCCTACGAACCACTGCCAATGTGGTCTGGAAGCACATTTTGCTCAGCATGCGATAATATAAGAATCCCCAGTGGCATACAGTATACTGGGAATTGCAATTGGCTTACTCATGGGTGCTAGTCTACTGATAGCCAGCTAAAGTTCGCCTTATGACTTCAAGGAAGAGAGTAGAGAGCAATACCAAATTCCATAAGCTTGCAAACTGAAGATACATTTTCATGCATTTCTGCTTTGCCCAGCCCTTTCCTGTTGTAAACTACGATAATGGCCTGACTTCAGAAAGTTTCCAAATCCCAGTCGGTATAATGAAATGTCAACAGTGGCCCCTATAGAGGCAATTCTCCTTCACTTTATAAACAAGGATGAGGCTTTTACAATTACATCGTGGGAAACGCAGAACAGAGAGTGCTTAGGCCTAAGCTTATCTGTATCCGCCTTTGAACTATTCCCATGATTCGTTTTGTGTTTTAGGACTTTACTTGTTGTGACAAAAGTCTTAATGTATAGTCCGATATGCTTAGCCAATGTATACAGTTGTTGACATCCCTACAACCCTACACACCTGAACACACGTCTTATGCTCACTGCTTACAGGATTTATTAGCCAGCTGTGATTTCTGCACAGCACACACTGAAACATTTGAAGTTCCTACAGTTTATGTTACAGTATGTCTTCAGTTTGGTCACATGTGAACACACATCCCCCTCTGCAGGCTGCATTTGTATACACACAGGTACTAACTGGTTTCAAGGCACTACCCATACTGAACATAAGCTACACAAAATGCTAATAGTGCACGGTACAATTAAAACTTAAATGAACAGAATTGTTCCACTAAATTCTACAACAGTCCACAAGACATTGGCCCTTAGCAGGAGTTTACAAAGGCACCTGCTGAGCATAACAAGTAGCAGACAATGTTGTGTATTGGATGCTGCCAGGCTGTAGAACATGTCCTAATTTGTCTTCAAACAGTTTGTGAACACGAAACTCAGGTGTGTCTAGAAAAACACCAAATCCTTTCAATTTTTAGTTTGTCTTCTGGCAGAACCTAACATAGGCCTACCTAATACATTCAGTATCGTTTCTTCATGTTGACAGTGGCTGTGTACATAACACTCAAAATTTAGCTCAAGAATTATTTACCTCCAACACAAAATTTGCTAAAGACCCCGAATTGACACAAAATCGTGGCTGGCTCATCTTGTCAACCGCCCGTGCGTTCAATTCAGGATGACGGGACGGACAACCAGTGTTTTATGAGGCCTGTGAGCCTAGCCGAACCTACAGATGCTATCTCCCGCCACTCAACCACCATCACAACACGGTGGCACACAACAGCACGACATAAAACGCAGAAAGCCTGAGGATCTGAGAGTGCATGCACTCCGCGCTGCCGTTTTAGCTGTGGCTCACCGCAAGATGTTTCTCCGCAGGAGGAGATTTCGTTAGAAATCCTTCTTTCACAACTTCACCACCTTTTCGAGCCATCTGCCCCCCACTTACAATCGTGATCTCTGACCGGCCGCCGGCCTCGGAACTTGGAGTATTATTCTTTCGGTTAATAAGAATTACGGTCAAAGGAGCAGGGGGGGTGCGTTGGCGAGCGGGGGCGGAATCGGAGCGAGCAATAGTTTTTCGACGCGTGCGTATAATATATATATAATTATATATATACGTCGTGTAAGTGCGCATGCGCGGCTTCGTTACGCGCTCCGAAAACCACTGTTTAGCGTGAAGGTCGGAAACGGTTCGCACACGCAAAGAAAGCATCGGTGGCAAACCAGAGTTCTATATACTGGGAGAGTAACTCTTTGGGAGGAACAAGTCGGACATCTTCGAGAGGGCGCATCTTATCGACTGGAAAGTTTTGTTGTGAGGAAGAGAGGGGAATCTTACCTATTGATTTAGTGAAGATTTCCAATGATGAGAAGAGGATAAAAGATGTGCAAATCATGGCTGTTCCTCAACTTGCCCACAAAGCATGTCTGCGCTGCAAGGCGAGGGTTGAGTCTGTAGACGATACAAATGGAAGGTGTTCCAAGCAAGACTGCAGAATGCTGCAACGACGAATTTTGCACTGGACATGTGCACGCACAATTATGATGGAAAATAGAACTAACTCAATCTATGGCAAACTGCTGCACAGCCTGCTTGAACTGACTCTGAGGTCAGTAAAGAAGGCTGGGTAACGTGTACCAAGTAGTATACTGTACCAACTTAATTGCTGACTGATGAGTGTGTGGTGTTTTATTGCTATAAAGTATAATAATTATACACAATAGTGCAATATTGTCTCTAAGTTATACATCAGACAACTTCAATAACTCGTTTTTGAGATCATGCTCAAATATGTGTTCCACTGCATGTGAGGCTAGCTGCCTTAGCTGCTCCTGGCTAAGGAAAAATGTTTCACCAGCAATAGCATACTCCTCTGACAGAGTAGTGGAGAAGACACCTTTGTCATCTGTGCATATTACTATAGGGTGGCCCCTTTTGTGCCACAAGGGCAAATGATGATTTTCGTAGTTTGACACAGTTTGGCCTTTAACATTAGATGTGAGGCATACTTCTATTGGGGTCTTCATGGCCAACACTCTTTCCTCCAATTCTGGACTACCTCCAGCCTCCTGATGAATAAAAGTACCATGTCCCAGTCGATCAGGACAAACAGAGAGGAGCAATGCCGTCTCCTCATTACGCTGAGGAATTTCTGATACGTGAAGAGAAAGTTTCAAACCCCGCTCTTTTGCTGAATGGAGAACTGGAAGTAGAGCGGGGATATCTCCCACAGTTGGATCTCCACTCAGGTCAATTCCAACCACTCTAGTGTGATGAGGAGTCTGTTCCACATGAGCAAGGGCCAGTTCAACTGTGTCCATAGCCTCAGCCACAGACTGGCGGCGATCAATCGACAGTAGAAGACGCACATGCATGGTTGTGCGACACTCAGATAAGGCTTTATCTATACCACACAAAATGGCCTGCACATAAGAGTGTTTAGTCATGCCTGTAGCAGGATTGGCCCTTGGTGTTGACCTAAGTTCTAAATACACCACCCCATCATCAGCAAATTCCCTGACTACCTCATGAGCCACAATTCGAACCGATTCTTCGTCATTGACAAGTGTGTGAATCATCTTGAACATCAAGAAGCAATCGGCAAGGGCTCGCTTTTCCCCCTTTAGTATGGTGGTCTCCCACAGCTGTGGCGTCTCGTTTCCTTCCCTTTCTAACCGGTTTTTGTAGCGCTTGAGCAGAGTCTGCATGGTAGCAGAACTGATGGAGCCATTGAGATGAGCATGAAGTTCCACCTTGGGCAACTGACGGCAGAATTCCGCCAGAGGAACAGCCATGTCGGTGTACGGTCAGCCGCCGTCCACGTCCCTCGCGTCACGCGTGCGCACAAAAGATCGATATCGAGGGGCGGGCGCGCGCTGCACTTTGTGTGGGTGTGGCCTGATTCTTGATCATTTACAATTTCTGCCCACGTAGTAAACAGCCGAGGGAGACAGGTCTCGTCTTTTGTTTTGCTGCTGGCTGTGAGAAATGGGAGGCGGTGAAGTCCTAAAGAAAGGTGTGCTCATTAAGAGCCCTCCTCTCGACACCGGAGCTCTCAAGGTAAATAACATTTTGTGTGTTGCATGCATGCATGAACGAACGTGTTTAGCCCTGCTTTATACTGAGCTAGGCCTCCTGGGACATACTAGGTGGTGGTAGGTCGGACCATGTTGTAGTTTACCTGTACTAACTGCTTTAGTAGTGCATCCTTCGCTAGCAGCAAGTTACTAGCTTTACATTTATGTAAGCTGTAAGTCTCCGGGGATTAGCTAGCAAGACAGTTGCTGGGCTATAGACTCTACACTTGTCCTTTGGCATGGTTTAGTTTGTAGGTACTATACTACCATTACAAGTAAATAAATTAAAAAGAGGCTTATAGGGATGGTATAAAAAGAAAGGGAGACAAGGGATGGGATACATGAAGCACGGTTAATGAACAGATTTGAGCACGCTGACAATCCCGACCCAATCACACAATCCCTATATTGTACCACTTGTAAACTCCATTTGGACTCTTGGTTACTCAGTAGCATGACTTTTTAGTATTTTCAAGCTGTAAGTCCTGACTATTGTAATGTTGAATGGTAACACTTCACCTAGGCAACAATATATGGATATTGTGTGTGGGGGGTTTTCAGTGCGCTGTTAACAAGTTAACAAGTTTGAGGAGTGAAGAAGTGATAAGAATTTTCATTGTTCAAACAATATGTGGTTGTGATGGAAACATGCAGTTGTCATGGAAGTGATGAAATCATCTCTATACGTGCTATTATTAGAAAGTTTGAGGTGAGCGAGCTACTAGCGGGAGACCATGAGTAAACGCATACTATTATAGACCAGCCCATCAATTAGCGGTACCACGTATGCACAGTTCGCCAAGAGTTTGCACTTTAGTGCTTTTCACAAACAAATAACTACATGACCGTTCACATCTAGTTGTTATGGATATCCACATTATTACAAAATTTGATGACTATATGTTGTTTCTTTTTTGTGAGTTTAATCTGAAGAAGAATTAATATCATAGCTCCATACATGTATGATGCCCATCCCTATATACTAAGTTCTACTGTACTTAGTGATATTTTTGCACAATAGCCCAGATATATTTACAACAGTTCCCAATTTATGAAATACGCTATGAAATAACCTTTCATGCCAACAGAACAGTCCCGGTACATTTTTTGTATCAAGATGTGTATGAAATGAGGCTGTAGCACGATATGCATGGGTCGGGAACTGGGAGAGGATGGGGGGGGGAGGTAGTGGTTCCCTCTGAGCTTGGCTGACACTTCAGAAACCAACTACTAGCTACTACTGTTAGAAACTGAAATTGTGCATCAAAGTGAAGGCAATTTTGACTAGTAGCACTATGTGAAGCATGTGGTTAGCGATTTACTTCCTTTGTGTTACTGGGGCTTTCTTGCAGAGTTGTGAAAGATTCTAATTGGATCCAATGTCTCCCCCACATTCCTTCCCAAGTTTGGCCTGTTCTTTTCCCTTGTGATCACCCACAGTCACTAAGGTCATGCAGCAACACCTAATGTGAAAGCAGATCATCTGGACACCTATAGGAATGTGTTGATGGCTCTGAATTATACAGCAGTTACCACACAGTTAACACACTGTTGTCATGAGGTGCCTGTGAGGTGCAAGCTGTACAGTGTGCCCTTTGAACAGCCATGTAGTGAGCTGCTAATAACCAACAACTATGGAGTGCTATAGCTAAGTCTCCCTCCACCCCACGTACACACACATCTTGCAAAGAATATTAAAAGCTGTATAAGAAGGTGGTACGTATTATTTTCCATATGTATGTGTTTGTGGTAATTAGGCTTAAAATCCCGGATTTGAGCGGTTAGAATTTTGTGACAAACAGCGTGCCATAGCTGTGCGTGTCGTAGGAGGCGGAAAGAACGCTACTGCACATAATGGCGACGAACCGTTCGCTCCCGGTGAAGTCGCGCACTGGTTTTCTCTCCCACAGAGAATGTATGGAGGATGAATATGAATATGCTAATGAGCTTGTAAAACAAGGAGTGAAAAATCCGAGACAGGTACCAAAATTCACTATAATTCACGAGCGTTTTAGCCATGCTATTGAAAAAAATAACTAAAATATCGACGCCCACGCAATTTGGGCGAATCTTTAAGGGGTAGAGTTTCTTTCACTTCTTTTTTTACATGTGTACACTAACATGTGGACATAGTAATGATGCTACTCCCTGCTGTCAACACATTGTGCATGCCCTGACTTATGTATGCTAAAGCAATTAAGGGTAAAAAATGTCATACACAATCTTTGCGCAGTGTACATAAACACGTCTCTTAATGTGTGTATGAGCAGACCTGGGGAATTAAACAACCGAAGATGTCCAACTCCAAATTAAGCATGAATCATGGTAGTCATGATCAAATCTCCCCACCCCCTCCCCCCTTAGAGTTTTTGTGAACTTTTTAGTGCACGCGAAGAGGGGCTGCAAAAATGATATTTTTGTATATACTTGTCTACAGGTCAGACTTAATTCTTTCCCATGTAGATGTGGCGCAAGCGGTGGTTTTTGCTTCTGTCCAGCAAAGTTCTGGAGTATTACAAGTCAGATGGTGGGGAGCGGAAAGGAGTGATTAACCTTGAAGACTGTCACTCCGTTAATTCCAACCTTTCACACAAGAGGTTGGCTTGCTGTTTTTATGAGTACGATACTCAGTCAGAAACAGATTTTAGCACACATATGTAAACCATAAACGGTGTTTATACTCGGAAGGTTTAAACTCTACAACTTCAGATTGTTTAGACCGAGAGGTTAAAACCTGGTTCCCACACTGCACAAAGCATGTCCTGCACAAAGCATGTCCTGCACAAAGCATGTCCTGCACTAGCATTATGTGGGGAACCTAGCTCCTACATTTTTGTCCCAACACATAAAAATCAAACTGCTTAACCCATTGATGTAGTTATATGCTTCAGTGCGGCAAAAAGTAAGCTGCAAAGCTGTTGAATATAGTTGTGTGTGGATGGCTGGTTACCACATAATATGAGGAAAAAACACACGTTACTTGTTGGGTAAACATTTATTAGTCACTGACCATGTGACAACTTATTGTGTGCTCCCCTATACTGTAGAGTGTCTTGGAATCCCACCTATGTAGGACTGCTCTTCTTTTTATATAGTGGGTGTAGTTGACTTGTCTGTAGTGCCTTTGCCTTTCTACCTCGTAGTTGACACATGCATACAAGTGGATGACCAGCAAATTTTTGAAGAAAGCTAAGAAGCTGAAAACCATTATACATTTTCCTGTTATGCTCCCAGAGCTGTGCTGACTGAACTGGATTGTTTTTAATTGTTTGTGGAGGTATAGATTTTGAGATTCATTGAAGGCATGTGTACAATTACTGGTGTTACACATTTTGATGTAATGATGGGGATGTGTGACCCTCGTTTACATACACATACATGTAATAGTAAATGCAATATGTAGCGTATGGTGGGCAGACAGTGGAGGGCAGAGGCTGTGTATTCTTGCCTAACATGGAAAATGTTAGGGTGGAGTGCATGCAATCTGTATGTACAGTATGCAGCCCTTCCTGCAGACTGGCATATTGTGCTCATCATAATTTGTGGGGGTTTTGTTATTGTTCTGGGGAGATTTCACACCCGTCCACACAGTCCACAATAGTATACATATGCTGTATACAAAGGTAATAGACTGGATCTCACATTCGTAACTTTAAAAGGTGATCCAAAGGGGTTCTTTAGGTTTGTATAAACCCTCCCAATGCCCTTTGGTTGGTAACCACACGAGATTGCATTCAAACATATAATATTGTTGTGATTTTGATTTTCGTGATTGAATACATTACAGTATGTCTACAACGTTTCGTTCACAGAGCTCTTACTATTTGTGAGTTACACTGACACATGTGATCCTATTATAATGTATTGCATGGGGCTATTTGTTAGATGTACAATGTACAATACTTGTGAGTATAGTTCTCACCCTGCGAAACGATGCGCATGCATGTGCTCAACTCTCATTTGCTATGGTACATACATGGGTATTGTATTGATCTCCCGGTCACCTCACTTAGAGCATGAAGACGTTTTATTTTGGTGCTGACTATGAACCTTGCTTGTGATCTGCCCCTGATGGGAAAATGCCACCATAATAATTATGTTTAGAAATGTGTTTACCTTGTTTACACTGTTAAAATGTTAATCATGTGTGCAACTCCCTAGGTGTTTAGTAAAGCCTACTACAGTTAGGTGACAGTAGCAGCATATTTCTATATCTTTGTCAACAGTGCCTTAGAGAGCTTCAGTTGTCTCACCCACCTGTTTGTGCACAAAAACATGAGCTGGAAGTGGCTTTCAAGGAAAAACAGACTATGGTATGGAACCCCATTCAAGCCTCCCACATGCCTCGTTCACACCCTGTGTCAGAGTACAGTAGCAACAGTCACTGCAAACTTGTGAATGAGCATTATTGTTCAGTTAGAGAATATACATATATAAGTCTATTCAGAGTCAAACTCAGACATGTAGGTCAACCCCAGTGACATTTTCCCCTCAACTGGCCAGTGTAACTGATACTCTCTTCCAGATATCCACATTCGTCTGCCATTAAGCTAACGTAGAGTTGAACTGAAGTTTGAGGTATATACAGTGGTTAACATAGAGAGATTATAAGTTCCTACAGTCCCATTTCACTATTTTAGCTACACGGGTAAGGTATGCCCATTGTGTGAGATGTAGCAATAATGCCCCACTTTTCTGTGTATGTATCTCCATATAAATCGCATGACGTTTATTTACTTACTGCATGATGCAGTATGTAATCATACTCATTACGTGTCACTGATTATAATGTTATAGGCAAAGGTATGTTGTGATATTGGTAAAAAATGTGACATCCTTTAAGGGATGTGGATTAACGTCACCTAGGGGACATCAAACTGAAAATATAGCAGCCCTATACATAAATATTTTCTATGTGCTTGTTTTGCTTGGTTTTTTTGCTGTAGAGTTTACAGTTTACTGTAACAGTTTCTTTACAGTTTACTGTAACTGTTGGTTCGGAGATGTACAGCAATAGGAACTTTCAGACACACACCACATAGTGGGAAATTCTCGCTTTCCACACTTTTGCAGCCTCTTGGGCCTCCAGGATTAATTTTCATGGTTTAAATTTTGACATTATGTATGACCACACACATTAGCCTGTTGTATCTGCAGACACTTAGGTCAGGCGGGGAGCTCCACGTACAATCTTAATAGTTGTAGTATCCCAATGCATCAGTGCGTGCTGCCCTGTTGCACTGGAGTGAGCTTCTTTGCGTCGTCACTCTCATTGACCTTATTCGCTTCTTGTTCCACGGAGATTGTCGGATTTCGCGCATGCACAACCCTCGTAACCAGAACGTACTGTAACCCTCTCTGTGGGGTTAAATTCTGACCATCTCTGTGGTACAAGTGTCAAAGAATGTTCTCATGCATGTGATTTTTTACGGTGACATCATCCTTGCCTCCACCTATTCCAATTTTTTATTTTGCTGAAGCCAACCATTCTGCAAAAACGCAAAAACTTCACACAACATTTAGCGCCCTTCTGCCACACTAGTAAATCTATAAGAGATGCTGAAACTATTTTGCAAGACAATCACTTGAGGAAACCAGCTATTTCACTAGACTGTCACCCTACACCCCCATTTAAGCTTTGGCAAGTGGGAGAGAACCCACTGTGTAGAGCATGATAGCATATGCCACCAGCTGGAAGTCTGGTGTTTGCCTGCTGGCCATCACAGAGTATTGTAGAATTTGTACTGAGAAGAAGTACACAGGAACATGTTGGTAGTATGCAAATGAACCACCACCTTTTTAAACCAAGTGGCATGCTCAGTGACATACAGATGGCAATGTCAAAGTGTGTTGTGTAGTACATGATTAACAGCGTGCAGTGTAGGCTATACATTCTTAGAATAATCAGCTGCTTGTCACAAATAAATAGGGTGGCTTGCTCCTGCTTGCCAATCTAATGTCCATTACAGATAATTTATAAGCAGGAGCTATTGCAGGGGAGAAGTAGAGCAAAACCTTCTCTTTTCTCTCTACCTGACTTGCATAGCAGTGGATTGCGTGTAATTACAGACTTTACCATACTCTTCATTGTGTGCAGGTACAAAAATGTATTCAACATTGAGACCAAGGAGCGTGTCTACTTCCTGGTGGCCAAATCCCAGTCGGATATGGAGTCCTGGGTCGATGCTCTGTGTAAAGTCTGTGGACTGCACACTGACAACAGTTGAGTTGTTCTGAATGCGATACTGTGTGTATGTATGTATCTTCTTACTAGTACATTTTTAACCAGAAGCCCGAGCTCATGACATCCATGCATAATTATGGGATCCCATTTTAGACTACAGTAACACGCAATTGATTCCGAGTTTAGAGGTATATACTATTTTTGTTAGTTACCTCTTCCGCGGTAACTATTTCGCGGCCCTGCTGCACTTTTTTTACGCGTGGCAACCACGCCTTCAATTCGAGAGATGCCATGTGTGCAGAAGGCAAATGGAGCTTCTGGAGAGGTTGTTTCTCACGAAAAGCCAGGTACTCGGTCTTCTAGCAGGAAGCAGTGATTGACTACAGGGCCATAGCTACAGCTCGAGCCAGACACGCACGCTAGCAGTACGAGAAGCACCCAGTGGCCTCGCCTACTTTCGCGTTAGCGAGCTGCGCCGCCTAGAACCAGTGCTATAGCTTTGCTGGTATAGTCGTTGCTCAAACTGGCTGCTGGCAACTGCAAATAGCCTGTCTACTTCCAGTTCATCCTCAGCAAAAAGCTCCATAATCTGTGACCCTAGTAAGCCGTCCATCCTCAATGCAGCGTGCATTGTTATGCGTTGCTAGCGCACCTGCGCTGTAGTCTAAGATGGTTAGATGCGTTGCCTTGGGAACTACGCGATTTAGTGAGCCTACTTAGACATGTTCGTTGAGAATCATGTGTAGTTTTATCCTCCCACTAGTTCATGCGTCAGGGCAATTAATTTATGACATTATAATTCAACCCTTTCCCTTTCTTACCACCACTAAGGCGGAATGGTGCCATCATACACAATGCACTAGAATTAAGCATTTACTGTGTAATCAAGTCAATTTGTTTTTCTTACAGCTCCCCTTACACTTTACGCTGCTCCTCCCTGTGTCTCCTCCAAGACAAAAGGTCCCAACATTACCCAGCCCATCTATGCCACAACAACTAGAGATACTCCCTATGCCACTGGTGGCAACACAACCAACCCTCCAGACTCTGTCTACTCCCTTGCCGCCAAATCAGAGTACATGCGACATAATCTCCTGCATAACACTGTCAGTGAGCCTCCTCCCTCCTCTGATGATGTAGCCACTAGGAAAAAAGAGTCAAATCAAACATCTGTTAGCAGTGTAGGTGAGGACGTTGCACAAAACAGGTTGTCAGAGATGGCATTTTTCTCTCCCCGCCCCGGTGATGGATTGAGTTTTCTTGCACCAGGTGATCCCTTGTCAAAGACTACTACTACTACGTATGGCGTGACTCCTGGACATCGGGCTGTTAGTAAGTCAAAGTCAACAACTCTGGCACCTAATCTCCACCGAGACATCCCCGACCGTCTGGACTACAGGTCTAAAACCAATGCTGTTGGTCGCTATCAGGATCCTCAAGGAAGAATAAAGTTCTCAAATGGTGGCATGTCATCTAGTACATTAGGTCGAGGCATGCCTGGCACCGCCTTGTCCACTGGATTGACCCATATTCCGGAATCTTCCTTTGACCCTCTTCCTGCTACACTGGACAGAGATTCTGCAGCCCGAGATGAAGGTTATGGTGTGCTGCACGTTCCTCCACCAATAGACCGCTCGAAAAAGCCTCCCCAACATCTCCCACCAGCTATTGACCGGGGCCTAAAGCCAGGGGATCAGAGGGTGGACCCTGACTCTTCAGATAGTGAGGGGAGCCAAGGACCAGATGAGCTACCACCCTACACAAAGTTGACTGAGGAAGACAGCAGTGTTGGTGGTGGTGGTGCCGGCGAGGAGGTTGGAAAAGAGGAGCACGAAACGCAGTTCAACGTTGCCGAGATTCCCAGAGTCACTGTTCGCACAACTCACTACACACAGGTACACTTCGACCCAAGCCTGCGTCGCCCAGTCCCTCTTCCTCGTAAGACAGCTAGTCTCCCGTCAATGGCACCCAAGTCATCTCAAAGGATCAACTACACTGATGTGGACATAATGGCCACAACCCAGCTCTCTGATCATCTCCATCGCCAATTGACTGTTCGTGGGGCAGAGCGGCAGGCGCTCGCAGAGAAACACTATGTCAATGTGGACCACTCAGGATTAGTTGACGATGAGACTGACCCTGACTATTACACACATATGAGAGTAAGTACAGGTGTACACTAATTACGTCAATGCTTATTGAGATCTTTTTGTTACAGGATTTTTGCTCTGATGAGGCTGACAGGCCATATGTTTTCACTCCAAAATCTGTAAGTTTTATAGACAGTGATAGGATGGTTGCCTTACCGCACTTTCACAACAGCATCAGTACATACTAGTGAAGCATTTTGAGAAGGGAGCATTTCGATTTTTCGCACACGCTTCATACGTATTTAGAATCACGTACGTATAACATTATGGTATGTGCATTGCCGTATGTTACTATGTGGGAAAATCAGACTAGGCAAGGTTGTTTCGTTTGCTTTTATACTACTGATACTACTGATCTATTTTTTATCGACTATTTTTATCTGCAGGAAGCTGACACAGACAGTTGAACAGTAATAGTACTGTTTTGTGGTAGGATAAAGTTTTTTGTATTGTGTATTCAGGTCATAATTATTTTTTCAGCAATATCATAACAGACATGCATTCTGTAAACATTTTCAAGTTATGTACGTCGTGTGTTTTCTGTTGTGATAATTTTGTATGATCCTTCCCGTGGTCTGTTATAACCGGCTGCCTTTGCTAAACCAACTGTGTGCTAAGACTCCTATTTCTTATCCAGAATAGGTCATTATTGCAGCCAGAGTGTTCTTAGAGTGTTCTGTCATTGTGCAAAGCTAGATTTGCAGAATCGCTGATGCACTGATGGTTTTATGTATAGCTAACATCATGTACAAGTTTCCATCACCACTGGCTTTTGTCCCCAAATTTTCAAAATAATTATATTCCAGCTCTATTCATAAACACAAGGCAATCCAATCGTCTCCTTATCTTAGTTGCTTCCTTTTTATTCTGAGCCAAAGCAATGCTGTTAGCTACCATTACTACGGTAGTAATAGTAACAGCACCAGGCCAGCCACAATAGCGGTTGTGGTAATTGCTGGAGTACTTCCATTCTTGTTTCAACTCTCAGACACTATAACAATAGAGGAGGATAAAATATTATTACATTATTATTACATATCTCAACTTCAGTATCGGCCATTTGGTTGCTGCCACTGATTAACTTTGCAGGCCATACTTATTGCCTCCTCCCTCCTCTGTGAAAATTTTGCCCAGGATACTATATACTTGCTGAGTTTTCTTACCCCACGCACGTATGCAAATGCGATCAGTGTCAGTGTCGTTATGTATCTAGTCGAAAAAATGTCTGAATCGCACCTTACAGGCAGAATTACCATTTCTAGACTGGACAGTGGTACAAACTTACTTACCAATTCTCCCTTATTCACATTACAATGAGAAACAGTGAGTGCAACATTATTATTATTATGGGCAAACATGATAAGAAGGTCATGGTTTTAGGGAGTTGGCTTGAGAATCTTGTGACTGTTGTCCCAGGACATGTCTTAACCTCTATAAAAGGAGATCTAAAGGTTTTCACACTTGAAACATTTCTCTCCCTGGCCCCCGATTATCTGTTTCCAAAGAGAGTGCAATGAACAGGAATAGGATATGCTTGTCAAGTGCTGCAACCAGAGACTATTATCGTTCTATATGCATGTGGCATTATCATGTGTTTCATCAGTGATTCAGATATCAGACATCTTTCTTGCAGCTGATCAATTGGGTTGGCAATGGCACAACAGAGTTTGCCAAGGAAATGTTTGCTGAGGGTTTTGCATTTATCACACTCTGGTGAAGAGCCATCAGTGTCAGAGGAATTGGACACATTCTCTTCTTTTGTACCTTTCCTACCTGAAATCATCTTCCTGAGTGACTATTATTAATTTCTGACCGGATGACTAATTGTGTTTGTTCGGCTGTTGTTTCTATTATTTGGGCTGCTTTGAGATAATAATTGTTGGCATTCATTTTTGTTGTTGAATTGAAATTGGCAGATCTCTTTTCTTCCTTGTTCTTTTATCAGAGCAAGGGGAATGTTTGTTTTTGGACTTTACCATGTTTTGTTTCCCTTTTGTTACCTTTATTAGTTTTGAATGCTTTTTTGACTTTTTGTCTGGTCCTTTTCACCAGTCTTTTTGACCACAGTTTTGCCAGTGCAAGCAGAATATTTATCATCTATTTACTGATGGCTTCCTTGTTGTGAAAGCACTAGCTAGTCTAGCTTCTTCTTTCTTCACTGGATTAGAGTTTAGTGTTGGGGTATATTCTGCATTCAGATCTTCAGGTATTTCTGTGGCGCTATACACTTGTCATCTGAGGATCATGAGTTTCCCAGGGTCTCATGCTCAACATACTTTTGGTACAGAAAGGCAGGCCAGGCATGCGATGTGCTCTACTTGATCCCAAAGGGGCAATACTGTGTTGTAATAAACCGACTACCGTCCCCCCCCTCAAATTGGATCCTGCACATCAGTCTTAAATCTTTCAGGGACCTTTTAAAGTAGATGTTGGAGCCCCTCAAAAGCAAAGCTATGTAGCTGTCCACTTTTCAGGAGGTTATACCATATGGAGAAAACCTGGGGATGAGTTACACTGAGCTTTCTTGCACTGGCCTCTTTATATTTGTTTCTCCTTGTAACTATCGTCCTGTTTTCTACCATTATCCACTGTTTAGAAAATGGTTTTCTGTAATCTCCCTGGGGATTATTGTTCTTGCTTCAAACAGAAACCAGATGAAATTCAGAGTGTGTTTTTACAACCTCATACCTACCATTTTCAGTCATGATAAAAGATAACTGTCCTTTCTTGTGTAGTAATGATGGTGTGCAGTGCTGTGCTCCTCTGTCTCGTTTTTCATTTTACTCATGGCCTAGACCTGGACTGGGTAAATGCTGTTAATGGAATGAATTGTACTTCCTACCTCAGACATCAAAGGACCGCTGCTAACAGTGACACACTCAACAACTTCAGCAGTGTGTCTGGTAGCAGCCAACCAATAGATTGCCCACCATGGTACAGACAGCAGAATAATGTGTGCATTCCAGGTGATGGCTTTAGAGAAGTGGTTCAGGTTCAACCGGGTATTGCACAACCACAACTTCTTCCTTTCTACTGCATGACTACTTCTGAGAACCTTACTGAGCGTAGAGATGTGATTGGAGGCTGTCTCTTTACTACAAACACTCCAAAACTGATGCGGTTTTTCCCGCTGCCTTGCAACATTTCTGAGTTGAACCAGTTCATGTGTGCTGATATGAATAGAATGGGGCAGTTGTGTGGAAAGTGTGCACATGGCTACGCTCCAGCAGCATATTCATATACTCTGGAGTGTGTCAACTGTACCGACTCTGGCGGCTACAACTGGCTTAAGTACTCAGCAATTGCGTTCGGTCCTCTCACTCTCTTCTGCACTATTATTATAGCCCTCCATATCAGTGCCACTTCTCCTTACTTCCATGGCTATGTTCTCTTCTGTCAATTTGTCTGCCTCCCTACAGTCCTACGCTTGTTTGTAACTAGTCACAGCTATGAGTATTATCAGAACGCTAAATGGTTTATTAATGTGTACATGTGCCTTGTTGGAATTTGGAATCTTGATTTTTTCCGTCTTGTGTACAAGCCCTTTTGTCTTCATCCCAATATCACAGTCATGCAGACCTTGGTGCTTGATTATCTGATTGCATTTTACCCACTGTTTCTTCTCCTGGTAACATACTCATTGCTTCACTGTACAAAAGAAACTGCAAGGTTGTAGTTATTCTTTGGAAGCCACTTCGCCAGGTGTTGAGGCCTCTGTCACATGACCTAGACATCAGAACCACCTTGATTGAGTCTTTTTCAACACTTTATCTCCTCTCTGTGGTCAAGATCCAGTCAGTGTCACTGGATCTCTTACTGCCAACCACACTCTACTACTCTAATGGTAAAAAGAAGGGCTACTACCTCTACTTAGCTGCAGATGTACTCTATTTTGGTTCCCATCACTTTCCATATGCCTTGCTTGCAATTATTTTGTTAGTACTTTTTGTGTTAGTACCAATAACACTGCTTTTGCTTTATCCTTGTCGATTTTTTCAGAGGTTACTCAATGTTACGAACTGCAATTCTCAAGGTTTACGAACATACATGGATGTATTTCAGGGTCACTACAAGGACGGGACGGGAGAATCAAGGGATTTTCGATACTTTTCCGGAGTTTTTCTGATAATAAGGATGTTTGCTGTTGTTCAGTTTCCATTGATGAATTCCTACTTCTCTGTTCTCATATTAGGATTGTGTTTAACAGTCTTAACCTTTACTGTAACAATTTTGCATCCCCAGAGAACGCACACTCACTACATACTTGACTCTGTTTTCCTCTCCCTTCTCTCTGTGATGCTATTCTCTGCAATTGCTGATGTTATGGGTGTACACAACACTCTTCCTTCACAAATATTACGCTGTCTCAGTGTTGTTTCTTGTTTATCACCATTAGCCTATTTCACAGTTCTTACTTTGTACTGGTTTTTTAAAAAGAAGAAGATTCCACAGAGAGTGCTTTTTGCAATAAGGAGAAGAGCTCTTAGTGCTTTAAACAGTCAATACACTAATTTAGTTTTTGCTACTGATCATATGTAATAGTTATTCATTCTTGCTTTACCTATTTTTGTTTCATGTGCCTGTAATCCACCAATGATGGTTTATTAAACACACTGATGTATTTACATAATTTACAAATGCTTAATATTATACATAATAATAGAAAAATAGTTCACTTCAGGGGGGGTTCAAATATGCGTGTCGGCCTTTAGCATCACTGAGTCTAAAAAAGTACATGAAGTGCATTAGTTCTATGCTCTAACTTAACTACCATTATCCTTCATGGTTGTTATTTGTTCTAGTGTGGGATGGGGGTGCAAGGAACCTAACACAACCAAAAAGGCCATTTGTATCCAGCACGAAGGACTATGTGAGATGTGCTAGAATTAAAAGGCACTGCACTTAGATGCATAGTGCTCTCCCATCTCACTAGGCTGGACACTTGCAGCAAAGCATCCAGTACTGTTGATGCCAGCACATGTGGACCACCTTGCAGGTTAACATAGAGTAATGCATTAAGCAAAATTGTCCACACACCTTCATTCTCTCCGTTGATATTTCCTGGGCCTGCACCAAGTTCCCTCTGTTTGTAACAGGAGATAATAGCTGTGAGAGCTATAGTTATAGCCTACCTTTTCATCCTGTGTGCCATCTGTCTCTTCATTTCTGTGTGCACAAATGTTTTTAAGTTGACGACAGATTTAAGTTTCACTGATGCACTCACGGTTTTCTGTATAATGTCATGTACAAGTTTCCCTCTGCCTCATCACCAGCTTTTGCCCCCAGATTATCAAAATGTAATCCAGTTCTGTACGTGAAAGTGCATTGAAAGGCAACTATTCTACTCTTGACTATCTCCCTGCCTTAGCTTAAACTTGTGCTTCCTTTTTATTCTGCGCCACAGCAACGCTGTTACCAATACTATCAGCACTAGAAATGCCAGGCCAGCCACAATAGCTGTTGCGGTAATAGCTGGAGTACTTCCATCCTCGTTTCCAGTCTCAGACTCTATAACAGTACAGGATGAAATAGGATACGTACACATTTATTGTGTTTTACTGTCAACTTCAGCATCTGCCACTTGGAAAGTTACTTGACTTCCATCACCAAATCCAACACTTGTGTTCGCCCTTACCTGTTTATATTCTATTTATGTGTACCAGGCAGATCAAAACACTGATCCAAACCTCAAAACTGTAGGTGAAGCCAGACTGAAGTCCAAAAAGTACAGCACTATTGCCACCGGTGGCTGGTACTGAATGTTCATTTTCCGGTGTATTTACATCATTTCCCTGCCCAATATTAGGTGGTACTAATTTTATACATCTAAAGTTGACAGGCCAAAAGAAAATACCTCTGAAATTTTATAGCCATCATATGTGATTTTGTAGAAGAGTAGTATTCCATTTGGAGATAGAGGTGGACTCCATTTTATAGCAACAGCTGTAGAGTTCACTGACTCTACACCGATATCCACTGGGGCACTTGGTACTGTATATAAGTAAAAGCTGCAAGGTAGCTACTATGTTGGTTATAAAATAAACTGACCATCTTCTAGAGTGTTAATAAATACTGGGTTAGAAAAAGGCCCCCTTCCTTCACTGTTCTGTGCCGACAGTTCAACTCTGTATTCTGCATACTTATTCAAACCTATTTGTTTGGATAATAGCTATCAAGCCTCTGCATAGCCAATAACTCACCCTCCAAATGGAAAGAAAATGCAGAGGGAGGTTGTGTGAAGTTTCGTAAATGGTTTGAAGAGTCCTTGAGGATAATTTCAAAAGCAGTTATGATTCCATTCGCATCAAAATCATCTGGATTGTCCCATGTGACCAGGATGGATGTAGAGGAGAGGGCCAATGCAGTGACACTACTAGGTGGACCACTAGGAGCTGTGTAGTATAAATGTTTGTACAGATATTGCTTGATCCATGTAATTAACATACCTGCAGGTGGCATTTCAATACCGATAGACTGGCTAGCATCCGATATCCCCACGGAATTCTCCAAATATACTGAAAATTGGTACACATAAAACTCCTCTAATAACCCAATCTTAACACTCTCAAACTGGAGTGGTAGCTGTGCTGAAGCCCTGGGATCTGGATCATTGTTGAACATCATTCCAGGCTGAGGGTACACTAGTGTATCGGTTTGTATGGGCTGGGTACTACTGCCACCATTGACTTTCCCAAGAAGCTCATAGATGATGGTGTAGCTGGTGATGACCCCATTCCATGATTGGACATAAGGAGGGAGCCAGGACACAGCCACAGAGGTTGCTGACAATACATCCACCGTAACATTCCTGACCACAGCTGTGCACACTATAAATAATTTTGTGTTATCTATATACATCCATTGTCTGAAAACTTTGTTTACCTTCTTCTGGCATTTGAAACACCAAGGCAGTTGAATATGGGCCAATTCCAGTGCCAATAGCTGCAATTGTATATGCATAAGCATAGAACGGATGAAGGTTTGAAACAGTAAAAGTATTGGGGCCCTCATAAGATTGTATCTCAAAGTCCTCATCTGTGTTAATCCCACTTATCTGTACCACATAGCCACTGATAGGGCCATTTTGAGTTTCAGATAGCGGTGGGTCCCAGGAGACTTGAGTAGTGCTAGAATTAAGTGCTACTACTGTGAGATTCATTGGAGCTCCAGATGGGACTTCAGAGAGAAGAGAGAGAGAGAACGTAACAATTATATGCTGTACACATCTACTTACTTTCTGGGTGTGTTCTTTCTTGTACGGTGGCATGTGGGCCTAGATCCACTGTGAACGCTGCAATTGTTATGGTATAGAGATAGTATGGATGCAATGAATTGATAATAAATATGGTGTTTAGGCCATCTGTCTCAAAAAACTCCATCAAGTTTTTATCATCAACTGAGGTTACATTGATATGATAAGACCGAATCATTCCATTTTGTTCTTCTGGCAAGGGAGGGTTCCAAGTTAAACGAACGCTGCTTGAACTAACAGCTACTGATTCAACTGCCTGAGGTGCACCAGTAGGCTCTGCATGGGACCATTCAAACAGCAGTTTAACACATCATCCAAGTTTCAATGGTTCAATTTACCGCTTTCTAGTGTCCTGATGGTAAACTCTGTACTCAGTGGCCCAGCACCAACTGTTACAGCTGCAACTTCGAATGAATAAGTGTAATATGGGTGCAAATCTGTGATGATTGTACTAGTGTAATTGTCAGGTGATTGTTTCACCACACTCTCTCTTGTTTCAGACACATAGTAGTGGATAATGTACTCTCTGATGATGCCATTTTGATTGTGCAGTGGAGGTGGCATCCACGTTAACTTAATGGAAGTGGAGCTCAGTGAAGTAGCTGTAACATTTGTTGGTGGTCCACTTGGAACTATGAAAGAAAGAGGACAATGTGAATGGTTTCATTGTAAACAAGTGCATACATACTATCCTCATCCATTTGAATCACAGTAGGAGATGAATAGGGACCAACACCAACTGTTTGTGCTGCCACACTTAACTCGTACACATAGTGTGGGTGCAATGATGTTACAAAAACCTCTGTGTGCGGTCCACCAGTATCAATGACCCTTTCATTGCCAGTGATAACTTCTACCAGCCTGACAGTATATCCTTCGATGATGCCGTTCTGTTGGCCTGCTGATGGAGGTCTCCAACCGATTGAAAGTGCAGATGAGTTGAACAAAGTAACTTCAATTGATACAGGTGGAGCAGTAGGAACTGCAAAAAAGGAAAAATGTAGTTATGCTGATACTATCACTTTAATTACCATCCTGAGGCATTTGCAGCGAGAATATGGCGCTGAATGGTCCTTGTCCAACTGTGACTGCAGCCACCAGGAAAGAATAGTGGTAAAAGGGGTTAAGGTTGTGAAAGGTGTATTGAGCTCCCTGGGTCACAATCTGGTTTTGGTTTCCAATTTCAATTTCAGTTACATTGATCACATAGCCCGTGAGAACCCCATTGAGCTGGTCATTGTTTGTGGGCTGCCACATTAGCAATGCTGTTCTAGAGCTGAGAGCATTAACTTCAATTTCTTGAGGAGGGCCACTTGGAACTGAATGAAAAGCCGGTATGACATTAAAAGCTTCAAAGAATGATGATACATACCTGCTGTAGGGTTCTGAAGGTAAGCTGCTGGGGTAACATTCTAACCCGTAGCAAGAGTTAGGACAGAGATCACTGGTGTATATGGTCCAGGAGACACGGTCACTGCTGCTACTGAGCACAAGTAGGTATAGTATGGGTGTAGGCTGTTAACATCCACTGTATTGTTAGTTGCTCTCAATGTGTATTGCATTCCAGTGTCTTCTTCAGTAATATTCACGGTGAAATGTCGGATAACCCCATTCGTATCTGTCTCAGGTGGATTGTTCCAGGAGAGAGAGAAGCCAACTGTAATGATTCCACTCACATGCAGTGTTGTTGGAGGACTTGATGGAGCTGTAGGAGTGAAGAGGAAAGTGGTTTTTCATTGTGTGCCATACCTCCAAACACTTACCATCTTCAGGCATTTCTATTGTGATTGGAGGAGTGAATGGACCAAGAGCCACAGTTTCAGCAGCTACAGAGAAGCTGTAAGAGTAAAATGGATGCAGTGATTCAATCAATGCATCTGTGTCATCTTCGATCCTTTGCTGCCACACAGCACCAGTTTGAGGATCAGTTATATTGACGAGATTGATAGTGACGACGTATGCTTGGACCACACCATTAACGTCTTCCTCTCTGGGAGGTATCCACTCCAACTGCACTGCTGTTGGACTTGCCACAAATACGAACAAATCCCTTGGAGCTGCTGTTGGAGCTCTGGTAGGTTAAGCAGAAAGATTACAAACTGCTTCATTATTTTGTGAAAGTATGAACCTGATTCGTATGTTAGTGCTGATATACTGCTGCTTGATACTCCAACCACAATTGTCTCTGCTGCTACTGTACACTCATACATGGTATATGGATGAAGATTTGTTGCAGTTACATTGGTTCCGGTTGAAACACTGGTGAAGTTATCGAACTTAGCTGTCTTCAGCTCTACCACATACTGACGAATGATTCCATTTCTCTCCTCCTCAGGGGGTGGACCCCATGATAAGAAAATAGAGGTTGCATTGATGACATCAATCTCAAATGAAGTAGGTGGGGCTGATGGTGCTGTAATACCAGGTATTATTAATAATGTCAACTGCATTGATCACATAAGATGACCTACCTGCTTCTTGTGTCCTTACAAGGATGATTATTGGTGGTCCCAGTTCCACTGTCACAGCCTGAACGCTGCAATTGTAGGTGTAGTATGGGTGAAGAGGCCCTACTACCAGCTCAGTGTTTTCTGATACATGGACAGTCACATTTTCTGTTTCGTATTCAACTATGGTGATCCTGTACTCCTGGATTTCACCATGCGTTTGATTGCGAGGTGGAGGGTCCCATGTGAGGTGTATGTGTGTAGAGTTCAAGGCGATTCCACTGGAGTTACTGGGATGACCACTTGGAGCTGTGAAGAACATTGTTCATTGGTAAACCCATCAGTTTAAACTGCTAACCTTCTTGCAGTGTCTGTACAGTGACTATGGCACTAAATGGTCCAGCTCCAACTTTTGTCACTGCTGCTACAACACACTCGTATGTTGTGTGTGGTGAAAGTCCCTCCACGAGCAAATGATTATCCTCTGTCTCATAATCCATTGTTTGTCCCCCAATGATTGGTATAACTCTCACCGTGTATCCTGTTACTATTCCATTCTGTTTCTCCTGTTCTGGAGGGTCCCAAGCTATACTGAATGCACGTGAGCTATTAGCATTAGCTGCCACGTTGAGTGGTGCTCCGGTTGGAACTGTATATCAGGAGAATAATACACAATTTCAAATTATCTTTGAAGCAACGCACCATCTTCCAATGTTTGGACTGTGATCTGGTCGGTAAATGGTCCAAGAGCTACAGTGTACGCTGCTACAGCCACTTTATATGTGTAGTAGGGATGTAAGTTAGTGATCTCTAAGACCTCTGACTGTGATGATAGCAGTTGCACTTCACCAGTCACTGTGTCAGTAACGTTGGCATAATACTCTCTGATTATTCCATTGGTCAAAGCTGCAGGTGGTGGATGCCATGTTAGATAGATTCTACGTGAAGATGGTGACACTCCAGAAAGATTTCTTAGGGGTCTATTTGGAGCTGTTGGAAATAATAATACTGTGAGTAAGATGACTAGGTATGTATATACCATTTTTACCATCTTCTGGCATGAGAACGTTAATTGCAGTGCTGTTAGGTCCAATCCCCACACTAGTGGATGCAGCAATGGTCCACACATAGGTGGTATATGGAGAAAGATTTGTTACAGTTATGTTTGTGTTGGTAGTGGTATGTTCATTCTCTTCTCCCGTTGTCAAAAGACTCCACCATAATGTGTAATGAGTGATAATTCCATTTTGATCGCTTAAAAAAGGTGGCTCCCACTGCGCAATAACTGAATATGAATTAATTGGGTTGACTTGGAGACTATGAGGATATCCTGTTGGGACTAAAGAATTACAAATACATAATATTGTGTGAGATTGTCAAAAGTAGCTTTACCATCTTCTGGCAGTGTCACAATCGAAGCATTGGTGAATGGACCAGTTTCAACTGTGAAGGCACTTACTGTGCACCAATATGTGTAAGCAGGGTGAAGTCCCCCAATTGTAATAAAGAGGTTTGCAGTGGTATATTGCAGTGTTTGAACCGAATCAATCTCCCTGAGGTTTACTTGGTATCCTCTAATAACTCCATTTCTATCTTCAACATTTGGAGCAGTCCAACTCAGGTGTAGAGATCTTGAGTTAACAATAGAGGCCTCAAAATCCAGTGGGGAAGTATCAGGAGCTGTGGAAGACAAGTGACACCAGCACTTTACTTAGCTAAAAATAACTACCTTTCTCCAGTGTTTGAAAAGTTTGGATTGGACTGAAAGGTCCCCTGCCAGCACTTGTATGGGCTGCTACTTGCACTTCATATGTTGTGAAGGGAGCTAAACCTGTCACAGTACTCTCAGGGTTTGTTTGGTTTAGCGTAACAATTATGTTAGTGTCTAAGTCTGTAAGGGAGATGGTGTAATGAGTATTGATGCCATTTTTATCTTTGTCTGCAGGAGACTCCCAACTGATTATAAATCCTTGTGACTGAACACTATCAACTGTGACATTGAGCGGTGCAGTCCTTGGAGCTGTGTAAAATACATGTATCTTTAAAAACGTGAGGTACGTTTTAAAAAATTACCATCAGTGGGCATTTGAAGAGTGACAATGTACGAGAATGGTCCCTGCTGAACTGTGTACGCTGAAACAGTAAACTGATACGTATAAAAAGGATGAAGTGAGTGGATGGTTATGGTGGTCAACACCGATTCCCAGGTATATTCATTTCCCGTGTCTGTTTCAACTGCCGCTACGATGTACTTGCGAACAACTCCATTTCTATGTTCTGGTGGTGGAGGACTCCAACTCAAGGTAATGGAGTTTGAGTCGATCACTTCCCCATTCAGATCAGTCGGAGAGTCAGTTGGACCTATTTTACAGCATTAAATTCACATTGCTCTATAGTAGCAGCAAGAAACCTACCATACTCATCAAGTTGAACTGAAATACTGTCACTGAATGGACCAACTGTTATTGTTTCAGCAGCTATTGAGCAATTGTAGTTATAGAATGGGTGTAGGTTGCTGACATTCACTTGAGTAGTACTAGAAACCATCTGCAAAATATCGCCAGTTTGAGTACTACAACTGTTAGCATATCCTGGATCGCACCCACTTCTTACAACCCTGACAGAATAGTTAGATATGACATTGAAGTCACTGAGGGTCAGTTAGGACTGTCTCCAGTCAAAGTCAACTCAATGGAAACGTCCGTACTGGTAACTGGTCTTGAAGAACACAACAAATACAGCTGTAAGGTCGCTGCAGTCAGCAATTCTCAGGTTGGACAATTCTCTTCCCTTGTTAACTTTACCACTTTGGAAGCAGGTTTGTGTATGATCTCTGTGACATACCTGGATGCCTATACCCTATAATATTTTTTCCTTATAGCTCCATCAGCAGCACCAGAGTCTCCCACAGGCAGTGCCCTCAGCTCTGATACCATCAGACTTGAATGGGACCCACCGGCTAAAGTGGACATTAATGGCGACATTGAGTATTATGTGGTGGAGGTTGAGGAAGTTTACACCGGTCGCATGTGGACCTTTCATGCTGTTGATGTCCACATCAACATTGCCTCACTCCATGCTTACTATGTTTATAGGTGCAGAATTTCTGCATTTACTATAGCACTGGGCCCTTTTACCAGCTATTACAATGTGTACTCAGGAGAGAAAGGTCAGCTAGCTGCTCTCTTTTGGTGTAGCATGAAAATTCATGATGTAATTTTTCTTACAGCCCCAACTGCTGCTCCAGAGAATTTGTCAGTTGTTGATGAGTCTCCATCTTCGGTCAATCTGACCTGGGATTCCCCACCTTACGAGATGCAAAATGGACGTATTCGTCACTACAATGTTGAAATTAAAGAGGTTGAGACTGGGAAAGTCCTTGAGTTTACATCTAACTCCACCAATATCACCATTGGAAACCTAGTCCCTTTTTATAACTACACATGCACAGTGTCTGCTGAGACTGTTTCAGAGGGACCCTCATCAGACGAAATCACCTTTGAGGGAGGTAAGTACTTAGAGCATAAAAGAGCTCTGTGTCATTCTTGACTTTTTCAGCTCCTGATGGACCACCAGAAAATATCTCTGGGTCAGCTACTAGTTCCACCAGTATCAAGGTCACTTGGGATCCTCCAAAGAGAAATATTCAGAATGGCTATATAGTTCAGTACCGTGTAACAATAACAGAAACTGAGACTAATACAGTCTCTAGATCCAATGTGACTGGGACTTCACTGACTGTTACGTCACTCCATCCTTACTATGTGTACATGTTTTCTGTTGCTGCTGTAACAGTAGGAATTCTGATGGTGTTAATGTCACTACTGATGAAGATGGTAAGCTCATAGAAAATTTTAAGTAACATTAATTTTTATTTCAACGCATTCTACAGCTCCAACTGCAGCCCCACAAAATATAGCAGTAGTTGTCAATTCTGCATTTGAAGCTGACTTGTCTTGGTCCCTGCCTTCCTCTGACAAGCAAAATGGAATCATCACTAACTACGTTATAAACGTCACTGAGGATGACGTGGGGACCAGTTTCAAGAGTCCACTTCAAATACATCACTCACTATTGACAGCAACCTTCGTCCATACTACACATACACATGTGTTATAGCTGCTGAGACATCTGCCGGTCGGGGACCATTTAGCTCAGCCATTTCCTTTACCACCGATGAACATGGTAGGCTCAAATAGTATTGATACAGTTCTGTAAGTTCCTACATACATCGATCGATTTCAGTCCCTAGTGAGCCCAGTAGCACTGCTTCAAGAAGAGATGGGGAGCCGAACGAGCTACTGGTGACATGGACTGCACCTGACTCCCCAAATGGAGTAATCCTTAATTACACTGTCTACTGCAATGATTCAGAGTCTGTGGTGACCACTTCAGTCTCTGGGACTCAGTTCTCTGCTGTTGTGATGAACTTGACACCTTTTACCTATTACGACTGTTATGTCACTGCAAACACCTCGGTTGGCGAGGGAGATCAAAGTGGAACAAAAACTAATCAAACCGATGAATCTGGTTAGTCAATGTAAACTTTATTTAGCCAGCATGCCATATATTTAACACCACAGAGCCTGGTGATGCACCTACCAACTTTATCTCAACTGTCATCAATGCTACTGCAATACGGTTGACATGGGACGAGCCATTATTACCGTACGGTGTTATAGTGTCCTATACAATCACATACAACACGTCCAATGGAAACATCTCAATAGTTCAGAACTCCACGGAGACAAGAGAACTTGTAGTGGTTGATTTAGAAGAGCACGCCCGGTATATGTTTGTGATTGCTGCATCAACACGAGTAGGAAGTGGCCCATCTGCATCAGTTGTAACAGGAACTGATATTTCGGGTAAGATAACCCAGCTAAAATGTGTTTTAAGTTGATTACACCTTTTAATAAAATATAGAGCCTCACTCACCACCATCAAGTATCACCTTTGAAATAGACAGCAGTACAGAAGTAACATTATTGTGGCAACCCCCACCGTTTGAAGACCGAAATGGACCAATCACCTACTACAGTTTGATTCTCACAGAACTTGTTTTTGGTCAGGAAAAATTGTACATAAATGTGACAGCTCTCAGCTACACATTTACTGGCCTGGAAGAGTACAACAATTACAGTTTCATCATAGCAGCTGTGACAGAAAAGGGTCTTGGGCCTTACAGCTCAAAACAACATTTTACAACAGATGAAGATAGTGAGTTTTTGTTGAATTCGATTGAGATTTTAACTTTGTTGCTTTGTTCTCTACAGACCCCAGCTCTCCACCGTCTAATGTGTCTGGGGATGTCAGGTCTTCAACACTTGTTGTGTTCACTGGGTTGCACCACCAACTATAGACCATAATGGAGTTATCACCTACTATGTGGTTAAACTCAGGGAAATTGAGACAGCTGTTGTGTGGACTTTCTTTGCAGTAGAGAGGACATAAATATAGGTTCTCTGCACCCATTCTATCGCTATGAATGTACTATTGCTGCCAGCACCAGTGTTGGTGCAGGGCCACGTAGTACTGCTATTAGAGTTCAGATGGAAGAAGCAGGTGAGCAAAACTCAAATATTTCTTATGTATCCAATTATATAATCTTTGCCACAATAGCACCAAGTGGGTCGCCACTGTCACTAACATCACAGAAGACTTCTACATCACTCACACTCTCTTGGGATCCACCAGCAAATGAGTCACAGAATGGTGTTATCCGCCAGTACATAATTAAAATTCTTGAGGATGACACAAGCGCAACGACAGAGTATAACTCAAGTGTTTCCATCATAACCATTACTGACCTTCACCCATATTATACTTACAAGTGTTCCGTGGCAGCTGAGACTGTTGATATTGGACCATATACTGCTGTTCTCACAGTACAACTTGATGAAGATAGTAAGGGCCTAACAGATGCACGCTCTTATCTCCTCTCTCTCTCTCTCTCTCTCTCTCTGTTACAATAGGTCCTGCTGCTGCTCCAAGAGATTTCTCTGGTGTGGCCCTATCATCTAAATCAATTAGCCTCTCATGGAACCCACCTACTCTGGAAGATAGGAATGGTATCATACGAAGCTACACTATTAACTCAACAGAGTTGGAAACCAACAATACTTTCAGTTACACATCAGTCGGCACCACCTTAAGGATCAATTCACTGCATCCATACTACCGATACCAGTTTACAATCACTGCAGTCACCATCAGCTCTGGCCCATCATCTGCTGTCATCACAGTCAGAACACTGGAGGATGGTAGCTAATCCAAAATATTACTATTGTACCTATTAGCCAGTATGCATTTCCATCTGCCAACAGCCCCTGGTTCACCAGCACAGAGTAGCACAGTTGAGAGGACCACATCTACCACAATCTCCCTGAGCTGGGAGCCACCAGTAGATGATCAAAGGAATGGAATAATCACACTCTACATCATCCGTGTTGTATCTGTAGATGCAGGGACGACTGCCTACTATAACTCATCAGTGCTAAGTGCCACTGTGACACCCCTGAAACCTTACACTACATATGAGTGTTCCATAGCTGCAGAGACCAGTGCAGGAAGGGGTCCATTCAGTAGTCCTATCACTGTTCAAACTGATGAAGCAGGTATTCGATATACTAATGAGGGTGTGGCGTATATACATTTTCATATTTATATCCCAACTTACCAAACGGAGCATAGTATTGTTGTTGTTCAATGCACGCATGCACCCACAATCGAGCTACGGGGTGACTTGACCTGGGACCCCTGTCCACATGTTTAAAGTTAGATTTAGTAAGGCTAAAAATAGAGTGAAACTCCTATTAATTATCAGAATATTTGTTACTAATGAAGTACTCACCTCCTGCAGCTCCAAGCAGCTCCCCCCAGAATCTGACAGGATCTAGTACAAGTTCAGACACTATAATAATTTCTTGGTCTCCTCCTCCTGCGTCTGATAATAATGGAGTCATTCGGGAGTATAGGATTAACATTACTGAAGTGGAGACCGGGAGGATTTTCTTCCTAACATCCACAACCACATCCATAACAGTACGATCCCTGCACCCATACTACACCTACCGTTGCACTATTAGTGCATACACTGTTGGAGTGGGGCCCTATACAACCATTTTCAGTATCAGAACTCCAGAAGACGGTGAGATACTTCCCTATATTAAAGAACATAATTATGTGTAGCTACATGCATCCTGTAGTACCCTCTGGATATCCTCAAAGTTTCTCAGCCTCTGCCACGTCTTCACGATCAGCCATCCTGACGTGGGATCCACCTAATCCAGAAGACAGGAATGGAATCGTGATAGAGTACACCATCAATGTTTCTGCAGTGGAGACTGGGGAGGTGTTCCAGCTAACATCAGCCACCACATCACTCACAGTGACATTGCTGAGACCATTTACAACATACAGGTGCCTCATTGCTGCCAGTACTAGTGTGGGAATTGGTCCATTCAGCACTGTGTTCACACTGGTTACTCCAGAGGATGGTCAGTCTAGTGTTAGTTGATGTGTACCTTATAGATGACACAATTCTCCATCATACTAGTTCCCACAAGTGCACCAATATACCAAAGTGGAGTTGCACTAAGTTCCAGCAGTATCTATCTCTCATGGGACCCTCCCCCTCAACTAGAGCGACACGGGATTATACGCGAATACAAGATCAACCTCACTGAGCAGGAGACTGGGGTTTTAACAACATATCGCACATCTAGCGAGTCCATTGAAGTATCACTGCTTCACCCATTCTACACCTACACATGGATAGTGACAGCAGTCACAATAGGTGACGGTCCCTTTACTGCAACTAAAAATGTCACAACACTAGAAGATGGTGAGTTTTTGGGGAAAGAAAATTAAAACCAAATAATAAGTATACTTTTGCACAGTTCCAAGTGGCCCTCCTCTGAATATTTTCTGCTGTGGAAGTGTTCTCAAGGAGTTTTACTCTCACTTGGGATCTTCCAGCTTCATCAGAGAGGAATGGGATAATTACTGGATACAACATCACTGTAACCTCACTTGATTCGCTGTTTGAGGATCCTCAAGTGTTTTTCACAACATCTCAGTCCTTGACTATTGATTCACTAGATCCACACACTGACTATGTTTGTGTAATTGCAGCAAATACGTTTGTAGGAGGTGGACCATTCTCTCTTGAACTCACTGTCCGTACTGCCCAAGATGGTGAGTCGATATTACATACACAGAGCACTATACTCATTCTGGTGTAATTTTATCACCCTCTTAACAAACGAGGACTTGTTACAATTTATTTTACAGTTCCTGGTGCTCCTCCAAGTAACACTACTGGATTGACTTTAAACTCAACTCATGTGTACCTCACTTGGGATCCACCACCACCAGATCAGATCAATGGTATCATCCAGGGCTATAGGATCAACATCACAGAGCTGAACACCGGAGCCATGTCCCAGTTCATAGTGGATGACACTGAGGCAGTCATTGGACCTCTGCATCCACACTACAACTATAACTTTAGCATTGTTGCCTTCACCCTGGTTGGACATGGTCCAACTACATATGTTGTGTTACGAACTACTGAAGCAGGCATGTGTATTTTTTGTCACAAGGTTCATTAAAAAATATTTTATCTCTACAGCACCATCAAGCGCTCCAGAGTCCTTCCAGGCCTCTGCTGCAGACCCCACTTCAATTAGTTTGTCCTGGAGTGCTCCACCACTGGATAATCACAACGGAATCATCAGACACTATGAGGTGACTCTAGTGGCACTGGAGACTGGAGAGATCCACATACGCACCTCTGTGGCTTTGACTCTGACAATTACATCTCTGAGACCGTACACCACCTACAACTGCACCGTGGCTGCTGAGACTGTGGCCATTGGACCATCCACAACAGGGGTCCTTGTAAGAACACTGCAAACAGGTACTCAGCAGCTATAGATGCATTTACGTCTATTAGCTATGTACATCAAACTCTGTAGCCCCATCTGCACCTCCTGAGAATGTGCAAGTATCAGCTGAAAATTCAAGGGCACTGACACTCAGTTGGCAACCTCCTGGCATCCGAAGTAGAAATGGAATTGTTCAGCGTTACTATGTTAACATTACTGAGCTGAACACTCAGTCTGGTGTTGTGGTTGAAGCTACTGGTGAGAGTGTGGTGGTGGATGACCTTCACCCATACTACCAGTACAGCTGTATTGTGGCCGCAGAAACTGTGGAGCTTGGACCTTTCTCAGCTCCAGTCACTATTCAACTCCCTGAAGACGGTATGAATGTAGCTAATGCCTTTCACAGTCTTATATTAATGTGAACACAGCTCCCTCTAGTTCTCCAACTGCACTGAGTGTATCATCTGTCACTTCAACTAGTTTATACCTCTCATGGACTGATCCTCTTCCTGTGTATCAGAATGGCCTGATTCGCCAGTATCTCATCAACATCACAGAGTTGGACACAGGGAATGTATACTCTTACTCTGCCATCACAACACAATATAACATTGGGTTCTTGCACCCTTACTACTACTACACATGCACTGTTGCTGCAGTAACTGTTGCTGCTGGGCCTTTCTCTGATGCAGTCACAGTACAGACTGGAATTGATGGTATATAATAGTGTTTTCCACCTCTGAAGATAGCTACCTCTTTTTGTGATGTTCTGTGCAGTTTCAGCAGGGCCTCCTCAGGGTGCAGCCACACTAGCCTTGTCATCTTCTTCTCTTCTTCTGATCTGGAGTGAGCCACTGCCAGAAGAGCAGAATGGTCCAATAGTGGGATACATAGTGAGAATAACGAGAGTAGGCAGCAGTGATGCCACCGAATTCAACACAAGTAGCACAAGGTTGCAAGTGGACTCACTTGTTCCATACACATTTTATGAGTGGCAAGTTGCTGCCCAGACCAGCTCTGGCAGTGGACCTTTCAGTAGCCCTGTGACTGAGCAGACTCTACCAGATGGTGTGTGTGTAACACCAGCACATACAACCGTTTCATATTCTTGTATATCCTGTGTGCAGCTCCTGATGATGTTCCTCAAGAAGTAGTAGCAGTGACTGTTGAGTCAAGACTCATAGAGCTTTCCTGGTCTCCACCGCCTACTCATACTCACAATGGAGAAATAGTCCATTATCTTATCATTTACACTGAGATTCAGACTGGAACCAACAACACTGTTGTGTCCTTTGACACTGATGTTGTTCTTGGAAACCTCCACCCGTTTTATGATTACCTCGTGACTATTGCAGCATACACCATCGACTTTGGACCATCTTCCAGTCCAATTATTATACAGACCCTTGAAGACAGTGAGTTTCAATTGTATACTGTCAACAGCCACTAGTCTTGATACTTTGTACTTTTAGTTCCTAGTGCTCCACCAACAAATATAGAAGGCACTGCTCCAAGTGCCACAGTCCTGAACATTACCTGGGAGCCACCCAGTCCGGCTCAGCAAAATGGCATCATCAGGGGCTATGAAATAACAATTTCAGTCCTTCAAACTGGTGTATCTCAGCAGCTCACTTCCACTGGCCCACGGCTGATGCTCTCCGATCTTCATCCATTTTACACGTACTCATTCCTAATTGCTGCTGTAACCATTGGACCTGGCCCTGTTGGTGAAACATTCACCATTCAAATGCCTCAGTCCGGTATGTTTAATGTTGATGCTCTTGATCTAAGTCTCATCTAATTCATGCTTGTGTCTACCACTGTAGCACCGGCAAGCCCACCACAAAATATGTCAATCAGTGTTGTTAGTTCACATTCCATCTCTGTTACCTGGATTCCACCACCTCCTGAGGACCAGAATGGCATTATTACTTCCTTCATCATTTTAGTCTACAATGTTCTATCAGGAGAGAGCATGCTATACCAGAGGGAGAGTCACCACTCCCAGCTTGTGGTGGAGTTCCTTCATCCTTACTATGACTATGATGTGTCTATGGCAGCTGAAACTATAGAGATGGGTCCATTCTCACAATCACAGAGGGTCAAGACCCTTGAAGACAGTAAGACATAGATACTTATATGGTTCTTCATTGTTTTTATCTCCGTTTTTAGTTCCAAGTGCTCCTCCCAAAAACCTGACAGTCTTTGCCGTTCACTCCAGACTGCTAGTGTTCAGCTGGATGCCACCTCCTGCAGACACTCAGAATGGAGTAATAAGGTCTTACAGAGTGTCCGTGTCAGTCACAGAAACACGACAGTCATTTTTCCTTTTCTTGGAGGGCACTGAGCTACAATTCAATTCAGCTCATCCTTTTTATACTTACACATTTTCAGTAGCTGCAGAAACTGTCATTGGTGCTGGACCATTTGGGGTAGATGTTACACTGACTGCCCCTGAAGATGGTAAATCTAAATCCTATTATACTTTTAATATGTACATATTCATACAATTCCCACTGAACCTACAGTGCCTACAGGGGCTCCACAATCACTTGCGGCCATAGCTGTCAGCTCTAGCAGTATTAGAATCACATGGAGCCCACCAGCTGAAGAGCAACAAAATGGCATAATTCGAATGTACCATATCAATGTGACTGAACTTCCAACTGGGATAGTGCAGGAGACAGTAGCGTATGGAGATGAAACTATTAAGATTGTGAACAACCTTCATCCATACTATATGTATGAGTGTGCTGTTGCAGCTTTTACTGTTGGTCTAGGAACCTCAGCCTTCACACACACACTCACGAATCCTGCAGGTATTCATGTCACCCATAGGATATACCTCTAGCTACCATTCTTGTACAGTTCCTACAGATGTACCGCAGAATGTGGTGGCTGTAGCTATAAATGCAACATATGCTAATCTCACATGGGACCCTCCTCCTCCTGAACACCAGAATGGTCTCATTGAGCTCTACCACATCGCCATTACAGAAGCTGACACTAACAAACAGTTGATGCATACATCTACTGATGAGACCACTCTCATCGGACAACTTCACCCTTACTACACTTACAAATTCTCATTTGCTGCTGAGACAGTGGAAGTGGGACCATTCTCCTCTCAAGTATCACTGAGAATGCCACAAGCAGGTATGATACCAAGGTCATCAGAGTATTGAAAACGCATGGCCCTTTCTATGCATAGCACCATCTGGAATTGTGAGAAATGTATCGGTGGTCGTAGAGTCGGCCAGCTCTGTGACAGTCTCCTGGCTGCCTCCTGAAGTCCAGCTCTGGAATGGGGTTGTGACCGAGTACACAGTGGTCTTTGAGAACCATGGACCTCTGCAATATATCACTGGAGAAGGCTCTGGTCTTTCTCCTCTCATGCAGCAGGCAGTCTCTATCCCTTCCCCAGGACAGCAGCTCACAAACAGTCCAGACCCCTCATTGGTCTCGCTGCCACTCAAAATAGAGAGTGTCCTTATTGAAGGCTTGGAGGAATATCATTCGTACAGCTTTGCCATCTACCTGGCAAATTCTGAAGGAACTAGTCCGCTGAGTGAAGCTGCCATACAAGAGACACCCGAGGCTGGTAAGTCCATGAATTTGACTTATGAGGCACAATCATACACAATTTTACAGCACCTGACGGAAGTCCACAGAATGTGGTGATCCAGATACAGAGTTCCACATCAGTCATCATCAAGTGGGAACCCCCTGAGCTGACCACTCAAAATGGGGTCATTATCAAATACAACCTCATTGTGACATTTGTCAGCAATAGCACAACTCAAATGTACTCGGTGCCTGCCAATGTCCTCTCTATACGTGTTGAAGGTTGGTCTTCTTTTTGTGTGTAGCTTGACTGCAGATAATTAACACATTTCCAGGTGTGCAGAAATACTCAACAGTTTCGGTACAGATTGCTGCAGAGACATCTGCTGGAGTGGGCCCCTTCTCCAAAACAGAGTCTGCTTTGACTGAACAAGCTCGTACGTTTCTAAAGGTGACGCAAAACATGCTTTCATACACCTCTAACTCAATACCTATAGCTCCTTCTGCACCAAAGCAGGCACTAGTAGAATTTCTAAACGAGACAGCAGTCGTGGTGTCCTGGTCAACTCCTGACAACCCAAATGGAATCATTCAAGAATTCCAAGTTATCTATACTGGTTACAATCCAGTGCTTGAGGAAGAAGTAATAATTATTATTGTTCCGGCTATGAGAGATAAAATCCACATCTCATTACATTGCAGGAAACAAAAGCTGAGATAGCAATACTTGATGGTCCTAAGATTATCAATGTCCCTGCTAAATTGGATCGGAACCCTGCCTACTCACTAGTAATCAGTGACTTGGTTCCAGGTTTGACATACGAAGTCAAGGTAAATAATTCCATCATCTTGTTGCAAGAATACACACACAATATGCAGGTGAGAGCTCGAACTGATGCTGGTTACGGAGGAAATATCACACTATCCTCAAAACAACCAACACAAGGTGAGACTGAAACAAAATGAGAGCTCTTATGCACTAGTGTATATACCGTAGAACAACTTGTTTGCCATTGTCTTGTGTTGTATGTGTGTTGTTGTGTTGTGTGTTGTTGTATTGTGGGACCCATACCTGCTGTTGTCCTGGTTGCTCAGCTGGTATACGAGTTATTGCTTAGTGTGATGCGTTGTAACACAGCTATTTCATCCTTGGAAGAAGTTGTATTGTTTTCCTTTGCTTTGCCTTTACCTTGTTGATGACACGTGTACATTGATACAGTTACTGACAGAACACAACAGAGCTCTGAAGTATCAGGAAGTCAGTTGGTTGCTATAATTATTGGCATCGTTGGATGCATTGGATGGATCATTGCCATAGTGATCATCATCTATTTTGTGAAACGCCGCTGTGGCAAAAGAAGAACTTAGTAAGAGGCAATTGCTTGTAGCTACCAGTGATAATTTACTGGTGAATTTACTTCTCTATTCTCTAGCAAACTACCAGATGGTACAGTGCTGGGTGGTTCACCAGGAGGGCAATCAGAAGTGTTCCAAAACAATAGTCCTATGTTTGAAGTAAGTAGCTACACCATCATTAGTTACTCCATCAGGAGTATTACCTATTACCTCTACCCATTCACTTCTCTCTATAGTTTCCGAGTAATTCTGATCATGAGGGTCCCCATCGTCATGAGATGGAAGAATATGACAATGACGATATAGACGGTTAGAATGATAGTTCCACAATTAACAATGCTTTTATGATGGGCCTTGCATGATAGAAAAGCTACCTTTGGATGCGGATGAGGCAGAATCTGAAAGCACTACTAAGATTTAGACTTATCTTCAAAAACTACCAAGATTTTTCGCTGTTCCATTTGTGTTGCTGTGTGCGTGTGTTTAATGTTTAGCCAGTGATGTGAAAAGTAGCATAAACTTAGTCTTGAGGATGCAGAGCTGAGTATATTATATATAAATCCTAATATCGGTAACGCATAACGCAGATCATAATAACCTCTGAAGCAAAGCGGGGGTATGAATTCAAGAGCTACAAGGCGATCCATCCCTATAACTCTGCTTCTTTCTGTATTTTAGCAGGCAACACCACTTTGACTTCGCATGCATGTGTGCAAATCAACACCTGGCATTCTGTGCATTCTAGATGCATGAAGAATGCCACCGCCGCAGCACTGAGAATATGCAAAATGTCACTGCACCTCATAATTGAGAGGTATTCTTTGTTCCTGCAGTATTCTCACACACCAGTTTCCTGCAAGAGAGCAGTAGCGTTAAAAAGGGCATGACTATTATTCTAGCCATGCTGCTGATTAAAGTATTAATAAACCATCATTGGTGATTACAGGCACATGAAACAAAAATAGGTAAAGTAAGAATAATTAAGAATTATGATCAGTAGCAAAAACTAAATCAGTGTATTGACCAAGAGCTCTTCTCCTTATTGCAAAAAAACACTCTCTGTGGAATCTTCTTTTTTTTCAGTACAAAGTAAGAACTGTGAAATAGGCTAATGGTGATAAACAAGAAACAACACCAAGACAACGCAATATTTGTGAAGGAAGAGTGTTGTGTACACCCATAACATCAGCAATGGCAGAGAATAGCATCACAGAGAGAAGGGAGAGGAAAACAGAGCCAAGTATGTAGTGAGTGTGCGTTCTCAGGGGATGCATAATTGTTACAGTAAATGTTAAACACAATCCTAATATGAGAACAGAGAAGTAGGAATTCATCAATGGAACTGAACAACAGCAAACATCCTTATTATCAGAAAAACTCCGGAAAAGTATCGAAAATCCTTTGATTCTCCTGTCCCGTCCTTGTAGTGACCCTGAAATACATCCATGTATGTTCGTCAACCTTGAGAATTGCAGTTCATAACATTGAGTAACCTCTGAAAAAATCGATAAGGATAAAGCAAAAGCAGTGTAGTATTGGTACTAACACAAGAAGTACTAAAGAAACAACTGCAAGCAAGGCATAAGGAAAGTGATGGGGACAAAAATATTATAGTACGTCTGCAGCTAAGTAGAGCCCTGTAGGCAGACTGGATCTTGACCACAGAGAGGAGATAGAGTGTTGAAAAAGACTTAATCAAGGTGGTTCTGATGTCTAGGTCATGAAGTATAACTACAACTGAAGAGGAGAGTTGATGGTGCACCTAGCCGGACGCGCATGCGCCTAACACTGCTATGACGAACTTTGACCGTTCTAACTTTGGCGGAGTATACAAATTTTGTCGTCTTCGCTTTGGCGTGGTGTTGGTGATCAATCATGGCTAGTAGAAAGCCGTTGGTTCCTAGAAACCGTGAGATAGGGAGAGAATCAGGGAAACCAGCAAAAAAGGAACGTTACCGTTTTGCACTTTTGAGCAAAGCGGCACTTGTGGAGCAAGTCAACATGATTCTAGGGCAAATGGATGCCTCTATGCCACGGATTAGCATCACAGAAGAGGATCTTACCAACCCTACGGTAAGTACACTAACATACAAGTGAAAATACTGCTGTGGGAAGTAATACATGCGTGATAGAGAGGGGAAGGCGGCTAAGTTTCATGCCTTCACAGAGTAAAATACAACACACTTACATGGTGTCCCACTATGTGACTGAGGATACAGTATATTTCTTCAGGCTTTCAAGATCAACCAAGTGTACTATGCCTGCTTTGTAGAGGTGTTTTGGTGTTTCGCCTGATCTAGCACTCAGGTACGTGTATGGGACGTGTTCGTAATTGTCAATCTCGTATGTACTCAAGTATTTTCATCTCCTTAGCCCCAGTTTCATGGTGGATCATCCAGAGTTAATGGAAGAGTTTTCGGCAAAAGTTCACTTTTCCGGCTAATGTATGTGTGGTTGTACACATGTAGTCGTATTGTGGTGAATGTATTGATACAGGAAAAAGCTGATGGAAAATTGTGCAGTTCCAGATTTCCGGTTGGAGGATATTGTTAATACAGTATAATAATAGGCTACATGAAAACAGCACACTATCAGAACACAAGTAACAAAAAACCAAATCTCCTCCCCACATCATAAGATAAAGGTTACTTTGTTCTCACACTAATTTTATAACCAGTCCATCATGCCGCCTTGCTTTACTGTAAACTCTGCTGCCCGTCTCCCTTTGCTTTTGCTGTGGGAAATAGAGACTGACACAGACCCATGCAATTTTGATGGATAATAACCTGGTACTAAGACAACAGTGAACACCTTGCTAGTCATTCTTGCCGGCTGAATGAGAAATGTGTTACACATTGAGTAAACAAGAGGGTGAGGTAGCAGCAAGGCACAAGCAATTACACCCAGGACAGCTCTGCTGAGCTGCCCTGGGTGGGGTTAACCCACGACACTCTACAGTCTAGGCAAGCGTTCTACCAACTGAGCTACCAGGGCAACTCAGCTGGTAGGGGTTCGAATCTACAACACAATTCAACACAAGACAAAGGCAAACCTCAAGCCACTGTGCTATGGCACAGTATACTCTCACTCAATATATTATGTATGCACGCTTCTTTTTGCAGATGCTAAAAGAACATGCCGCATATTAAGGTAGGTGTGACAAGGTTGCAAAGATGCCAAACTGTTTGACTGGGTGGCAAGCGAACTGTCTTACTCGAACAAGTGAAGCCTACCCTAGAACAATTCAGTCTCCACTCACAATTACCCAAAATGTAAATACTTGTGTGACTTCATACAGCTCTAACATCTCTCTGTACACCTACCTCTTGGAGTAGAGCTTACCTTAGAACAATTCAACCTCGGTCCTCCACTCACAATTACCCACAATGTAAATACTTGTACAGACAGATGTTAGAGCTGTATGAAGTCACACAAGTATTTACATTGTAGGTAATTATTGCGAGTGGAGACTGAATTGTTCTAAGGTAGGCTTCACTTGTTCGAGTAAGACAGTTCGCTTGCCACCCAGTCAAACAGTTTGGCATCTTTGCAACCTTGTCACAGTAGGCAAAGTACCAATAATGTGTTTTCTCCTCTATTGCACACTTGCTTGCGAAACTATGCATGCAGGCTAGCATGCAAGCTAGCATGTGTGTGCAAGACAGTGAATGTAACATATAAGTTTGCAATGACCAAGCGAATACCCAGAACTTTGCTACAAAGAAAAGCACTAAAGTGCAAACCGTTGCGATACATGCCCTTCGTTGTGACTTCTTGTGCCTTCATGATACACAGAGCAAGCAGACCCGGTCGAGGTAAGCCTGTGCTAATTAGTTGTTCACTTCGTTTCCACGCCATAACTTTCAAACAGTATTGTTATGAAAATTGCCTTTTTAAAAATTGAGCCACTGAACCCGTTACTACCTCTCTTTGGCCGATTTCTTGCATGTGATGGCAGAAAACGTGGTAATTAACAGACAGACAGAAAGACGGACACACTCACGACAAGTCAACAAGAGACGGGAGTTACACTTCTTATTGGTTACTAATTCACATTCCTGAGCGTGATGGACATGTACACAAGCACTGTATGGCAAGGGTTAATCCTGGATTAGTATAATTATGTCCATAAAGTGTGTGTGGGTAGTTAGGGTTCACTAAAGACACACAATAATGACCGATGATGGTTCCTTCAAATGTTTTGTATTCCACCTGTTAGCTTCCTGGTAATTTTGTTTGATACAGTGCAATTCTGAATTTCATCAAATTTCACGTTCACATGGCAAGAGAAGGTCAAGAACTGGAAGAGGTTATGGTACGTAAGTGTTTTGAGACTTCACTTGCGACATTCATCACGACTGTGCCTGTTTGGTTGGTGTGCAGGGTCAACAATTGAGTGAATTAGCCTCGGCAACACATCGAAATGCAGAGCTTAAGCAGAAGCTGGGATCCATGCAGTGAGTATCAACAACAACCATGTAGCTCGTGCTATCCGTCTATCACAACCTGTTTAACAGACGGCAGAAACAGGAGGAACGGGAGCACGAAGAAGAGGTAATCACTAAGTGTGATATTCAGCTTATGGCTCCCAGCTAGTACGGATGTGGTGGAGTGGTAATGTAGCTGGCATGTAAGAAAGAGGAAGGCTGGTTCAGTCGTTGCCACGGCAACTTCTTTTGCTTTCTAATCACTTTCTGCCTGTAAGCCTTACACACACACAATAAAGAAAGAAATGATTTTCGTGTGAAATGACTGACACATTAGCACATGTTACTCACACCTGGCCTGTGTTGTCGTGTATGGGAGAATGAGATGTGCTGTTTTTGTGTGATGGTTTTTTGTTTGTGTATGTATGTGCTGTGTAGCTGGAAATGATAATAGCTGAGCAGGAAGATCTTATCCAACGAAGAAAGGAGCAAGAGGTAATGTTATGTTCTCGATGCAGTGATAATGCATGATATCTCACTCAATGTTGCATACCAGACTCACAACAGACAAGAATATGCAAAGCCCTCGGCACCATATTTTTGCTATTAAGAAGTGTGTTGCAAATCTGTTGGAGGGGCCAGCACGTGTTACCTCCTGTATTAACTTACAAAACCTGAACGGTTGTCTTTAATTAGCTGTAATGTCTGTGAGACACTGTTGTGGACAGTGCAATGGTTACGTGCGTATTGACACACAAAGTATATCTATCAACTCATACTCTACGGCAAACGTCCATCAAGGAAACTTGCACTGGCATGCTCAGAGTGCCGTCTCATGCACATTGGGATCCAAATATTAAGTGTGCTTATTATGTGTGGTTGAGCATACATAATTATGTACACCCAGCTGTAATATGTGATGGGAACGTCTTTCACTTCTAATCACAATGATACTTGCGTGTTTGCCTAGAGCTTCTCAATAACCTGTATATTTTCACCTTAGGTTACACTTAGACAGCATCTTCAAGATGTAGAGGAACAACTGCAGAAAGAAACACAGAAGAAGGTGTGGTGTCTTTTCTGTGTAAAAGTACAACATTTGAGCAATAGCTCGGTTACTCGTATTGAGCAAAGCTGTAACAAGTAGTATGTGTAATGTTGATGTTATGATTTTATAGGCCATTCTTGACAGTGGACTAGACAAGTCTTCTCAGCGCACCGAGGACCTGCGGAAACAAATTGTTACTTCACCAGACAAACTGAGAGCTGTAAGCCAATTAAATGTGCACATGGGTACAGGGCCACAATTACAAATAAATTGCACATTATAATAATTATTGATCTAGTTGTTGTTATTTACCAGGCAGTCATGGGCCAACTGGTTTTAGTGGGGTGGTAGCCAAATATGGGCAGAACACAAGTTTAAAAAACAGGTGCATAATTATTAACCCTCAGCGCACATGCACAGTGAGTGTTGCACAATTTGGTCTTTGTGTGTGTTTGTCTGTCTGCAGCTATCAGGCTACAAGGCCAACAGTTTCAGAATTATGCAAACCTGAAAAATATAATGGACATTTTCCTGAAATGGCTACGTTCGAGAGATACGCCGTGAAAACAAGCGAAAAAGCCTATATGCATAATCACACTGCTACCTTGAAATTATCCGCCTGCTCTCTGTACCTTGGAGGCACAAGAAGTCACAACGAAGGGTGCATATCGACTCCCACATGCTATCTACTACTGTAGCTACCCCGTGTCAGACTCTCCGCGAGCTACTAACGAGATTACGAGTAAACACGCATAATAATAGCCCAGCCCACCATGGGTGTGTACTATCAATAATTCTGGGGAGCTCCCCAGAATTTTATTCGTTGCCATCATTGTACATAGTACATCCCAGCCCCCACAGACACATCAATTACATAACTTACATGTAACAATCAATGAACTTGACTATTACCTCATGGTGTGTACAGCGACTGGTAAAATTGCAACAAGAAGTAGAAGAAATAAAGAGTGGAACCCAAGACTCTGACAGACTGAAGAGAATGTGGGAATCTCTTGCTACTCGAGCACAGCACATACCAAATGTACGTAAGTCTAGTGTGTGGGCGGAGGGAGGGGGGAGGGGGCTCTACCATCTCCCCCCATTGACATTATACTGTTTTTTTCACTGAGTATATATATACACAAAATAATGTAAATGTATTAGTCAGACTTTCACATGAGGTACTACGTAGCTACTTATACGCCTTCGTTCTATTCTGACTCTATTCTGATTTCTGATAAAACACAAGCTTAAAGGGAATGTGGCAGTGCATAAGGGCTCAATTTAGAAATGTTAGAACTGGCCCAGTGCGAGAAAGCAATTAGGTGTCCATTTTCAGTAATAGTTTCTAGTGTTCTTCCTCTTTTTGAATTGTAGCATGTTTTGAAAGGGCTTGACGAGGACATGGAGGCGCTCACGATGAAAACAAATAAAGCAAGGTATTTTTACAGTACACAATTACAGAGGGACAGGAACGATATTGTAGTTGTGAGAGCTGATAGTAAGTAGTGTCGTACCCAGCCGCTCCACCCACAAGGAGAAGGAGCGTCTACGTCGTATCTGTATCTCTATCTAGCTATCAGACCTCTTTCGCACAGGATAACGATAACTTGAGGATCTGGGCAAGAGACTAACATGTATATACCGTGATCAAAAAGACCTGCAATCAGAGCTCACAATAAGCACAAATCAGTCCATATTTGCTGCTTGCTTACTCTATAGTGCAAAATGCCCTTCTACATGCACTGTACGTGTACACATCATAATTATGATAAAATTACCATTTATAGTGATCTTGAGAGCCACTTTACTGAAGCAATAGAAGAGAAAATTGCCAGACAAAAGCAGACACTTAAAGAAGTATCTTCTAAAAACCAGGTAAGGGTTTACGATGGGTCGTCATGCTGTCAATCTGTTGCACTGTTTTCACTCATTTCACAACTTTTGTGCCAATATTTTGCTTTGCTACATTGCAGTGGTTAATTGGAATTTTTGTTGGGTGACAAATGCATGTGAGTTCGGGTTTTGGCTCGGTGCTGGCCTTGACCAGCAGGAGTGGGGAGGGGCCTAGGCTCCAAACCAGGAATGTCTGGGATGTTTAGCGCCTACCAGTAGCAAAGCCTTGTGGGGATAAGTTCAGAACCACAAGCGCTGTGCTCCTGGTAGCCTTTATAAACTCGTGATGCCAGAGAGAGAAGTTGCGGTATGCTCTGCTGATGAGGGCCAACAAGCCCGAAACAGCTGTCCAGAGCTCTGGATCTTTTTTCTCTTGGCATCACATAGTATAATTTATTCATGTAAAGATCATACGATCAGCTCAACAGTTGGATGATGCTAGCTGAGTCTAAGCCAGGCACGGCATTTGCATGTTTGCTTTTCACACCCTAAAATATTCTTCTTTTTCTCGGTGAGCTGTCCATGTGCCATGTAGTACACCTGTTGGTCTCAGAACTGGCCAACTGTCCGATAGAGTTCATGAATCATCCACTGTGGCTTATTATTTCATTGTGAAATGTGGTTCAGATCTGTTTGTGCAGTTCTAAAGGAGCAGTAAGAGAATCAAATGTGAAAATGAACGTTGACAATAGTCTCACTGCATATATCTGTTAAATTGAAGTCATATCTACGACATGCCGAACTGTGTTCCCTTGCATCTATTATGCACAGTCATGACCTTTGCAAAGGTTCTGCGTAGTTTACAGTGTACATGTGAGTACTTTCACTGACCGAGGTGTACTCTCAGCATATCATTATAAAGAACACACTTGGTACGAAATTATGGATACTACAAACACACCCTCGGAGCCTAGCCCTATATACATTTTCACCACACGTATGACCTTACTGTGAACAAATTCTTTAGGTCCCCAGCAATTCATTATAACGAGACTCCACTGTACATACATGCAGAATCTTGTCCGTCATCTAAAGTTTGTTGCAAAAGAAGCCCATGAAGTGGCCTATGATGACCAGAAGATGTTGTCTTCACAGTCGTCAAAGTCGGAACTGGAGAGGTATGCACTACATGTAGTATTCCTTCCCAGTAAGGGTTCAAATACACATTCCAGTGACCCAGCTTGCTTTCTGGGTACTGTGGCTTGGAGTTGGGCGTCATTGGTGGTTTAATTACCCCGGTTTGCTCCTACATGCTAAGTGAGAGTTTACTGTGCCATAGCACAGTGGTTGGAGGTTTGCCTTGTGTTGTGTTGTGTTGTAGATTCGAACCCCTACCAGCTGAGTTGCCCTTGGGTTCGAATCCCACCTAGGGCAGCTCTTTATAGAGCTGTCCTATGTGTAGTTGATTTGTTTGTTGTGCCTTTGCCTTTCTACCTCATAGTTTTCACATACATCCACAAATAGCTTTTAAGCATGGCTGGGCTCAACGTATATAACTTTCAAAGCTTCTGCTGTGCACAATTATATTTAGCAAGTGCTCATTAGCATAGTTGGCGTTTTTCACTTGCTTTTTACACCATTTTCTTGCCAAAGCTGTTTTGGTCACTATCGTTCTGCACATAGACTAACCAATAAGTACGTAGTTTACAATCCTCATGGCACGCATTTACTATGATATGCCAACCGTTTAATACCCACATTATCCAGTCACGGGGGTACCAAATACTGCATTGTAACAGCACTCATTCACACAGCATTATTTTTCTCTTTTTCAGGGATGTATACCAGTTACAGACCCAAGTCCATGCTCTTCAAGTCTCAGAAGAGTTATTTGCCCGAAAGATGGACACAGTCAAGGAAAAGGTGTGTACATTTGAATTTCTGTTTAATGCTCTACATTTATATATAGCTGGAGATGATGAGAACACAACATGAAGAAAGATGCCAGGAGGCACAGACGGAGATTGACTCCTTGGTGTTAGCTGTAAGCACTTCATATTGTTGTAATAACCTACTTACTGACTTCAAATCTCGACAGGTCCAAAGCTATGTGGAAAAGTGCAATATGACTTCAGTAGCACTAACACCATAGGTATACTCGATTGTTGTTTGTTCCTTGCCCTGTGATTTAAGGTCTGTACAACCATCTCTCTTTCCTGGCACCACAGTGGTCAATCACAAGGACTAAGATATTCTATAATATAGTGAACATTTGGACACAACAATAATGTAGCCTGGCCTGGTTAAAGTTTTGATGTAGATTTTTCACAGCTAAGTGCATAGCTTAATGTTCACATATCCTGCACTTCCCCGACAATGACAGTGGCTTCAATTTCCAAGATTTATAATTGAACACGTCATTTTCCCCACCTTTGGTAGCTTATCAGTTTGATAGGCTGCTCTTGCTGGTTGCTTGTCAGTGAAAAACTGGATAGAGGGTTAACAAAGTGAAAATCATCGCGACAAATGAGAGAGAGAGAGAGAGAGAGAGAGAGACAGAGACCATTCTTGAAGGAGGAACTGGCTTCTTCCAGGATGGCTCCCATGTTAGTGAGAGGTTGTCTTGTCTGCTCCTCTGTGTCAGCATAAGCCAAATCTGATGTTCATCCATTTTGACAACATCGATGAAGCTGGCCACAAATATACGTGGGGAAGTACTGAATAGCTACTACAAGGCTGTGAAGGCCTCCATTATGCTAGTCTACCATTAACCAGCTACTAATGTTTTAATACCACCATGTCCGCTGCAGGCTGTTGATGGTACATTGGTGAGATTATCATTCACTAATGCTGGGATATACGATCAGACTCTCTTTATGCTGACGGCATTATTGTTCACTTAGGTACACACTGTTATCCTACAGGTATGCTGTATAGTCATGGTCAGTTTGATGAGGTCTGCATGTAAACATCCCAGCTCTGTTCATGGGGCCTCAGGTGAAGAAAGGATACCATACACAACAGACAAGGACTTTGCACCCACTTCTCTGAATGCCCTGGGACTCCATCCTGGAGAGTACATGGTCGGAAAAGTGGTGGAGGAGATATATGAGACTTAGTACTTAGGATGTGCAAGGGTGTATGGACATATTATACAAACGGTATTTGTGCGTGCACACGCGCGCAATACGGTCCCGCGCCGGCGCCGTGTGCGTCACGTATCAGAGCGTCGGTAGACGCTATTATTAATATAATATTACTAGTAGGCGAATGCATGGCATTTTTGGCGAGCGGAAGCGCGCTTACAATTGGGGTATAATCGTATGAGTCACTCTTGTGTGTGCGACCCGAGCGCAGTAGACAATTCGAGTCGAGTCAAAAACAGTCAGACGACAGCGCGAATCAGGCATAATCCGGCAATCTGATTGGTCTTGCAGGAATAGGGAACAAGTGGCAATGTAGAAAAATCTCTCGCTGGACTGTGCAGCAATACTCGATAGCTTCGGAGGTGTTGCGTTTCCCCTGATTCCGCTCGATTCAGGCAGCATTATGAAAATGTTGAAATCCCTTTCGGATAAAAAGAAGCGCGTAATGCTGGAGCATGCGCAGTTGGACGACGTACGTGTACATATATATATATATATAGAAAAATCGCGCCGTTCGGACCACTAGGTTAGCTCGCTTCCGCTCGCCAAATTATAGGGATGACGCGAGTGAAATCTCACGTGATCCGCGTACAAAACGCCTCAAAACTCAGCGACAATGACTCACCATGGCTTCAAAATCACTAGCAATAGTCTAGAGGCCAATACCTATAGCTATACATATGCCCCAAGACTTCCTACGTGCCCTCAGTTCCCCACCAGAGAATTCGCACTTACCCGATTTCGCGATTTTCGTGTCATCATAATCATCATATTATTATTCTTCTTCTTCTTCAGACCCGCTAGCTCCTTACCGAAAGCAGTTGAAGCGTTGATATTTTCACAGAACGTCTCCAAATTTGCCGGAGGTGTGCACGCATATCAAGCGATCGCTTGTTTCTTGCCGCAAGTCACTACGGTAGATCGTTGAGCTCTTCCACAGTAGTCACTGGACAACGCCATTTGCTGCTAACTCAGCATCAGTGAGCCGCATGCGCCGAGGAGGGCGTTTGGTGTCATGTAGCTTGGTGCATCTTTGCTGTGTAATGACCCCTTGTTTCTTCCTTTTTGGTGCTTCAAGCCATCCCTATATCACCCCTTCATTTTGAAGAAATGATTTTTCCACTTGTTTCCACTATTTTTCATGCCTTCTGCATTTTCAGTCACTCTGATGTTCATGGGTGTTGTAGAGATAACTGTTGAAAGCAGAGCTAATGTACCTGAAGCAGGGTGTATGCGTAGTGTCTCCAACAACGATGCAATTAGGTTGTGGCACATATGGTGGGGTGGTTTCGTAGGCAGGATTCAGTAATCAGACTACAATGATAGCTATAACCTGGGGGACAAACAATGAAGGCGCTGGGCAAGGCCCGCGTAACACGGCGCACACGGCCAAGTTCAAATCAACAGCAAAACGTAAGCTAGCCAGTTAAAAATGTGTATAGTGACTTACAGAAGGCACTGGAGGATAAGAGTTCCTCTGCAGGCATCCTGGCTTGGTCTCGTAGACCTGGTTCACGCACGAGACTACGCGCGCACCGCACTGTACTGGGGATCCCTATATCTTTGTGTTATACATTATAGTTCACAAGTAAAGTTTACTATGAGACAAAGATATAGGGATGGTGTCATGTAGCTTGGTGCATCTTTGCTGTATAATGACCCCTTGTTTCTTCCTTTTTGGTGCTTCAAGCCATCCCTATATCACCCCCTCATTTTGAAGAAATGATTTTTCCACTTGTATATACGCGGCGCGTGTGTTCACACATCCGAGCTAACATGAACCAGGTCGGACATAGTACGGAAGCCCATTGGGGCCGTGCGCACTTCCAAATCGTGCTACTTCTCACTTCCAAATTGTACCACTTCCTAAGAGAATGAAAAGCACTAAAGTGCAAACCCTCGGCGAACTGCGCATGTGCGGTACCACTAATTGATGGGCGGGGCTTTTTATGCCTTTACTCGTGGTATCCCGCTAGTAGCTCGCGGAGAGTCTGGCACGGGCTAGCTACAGTAGTAAATAGCATGCGGGAGTCGATACATGCCCTTCGTTGTGACTTGTTGTGCCTTCAAGACACACAGAGCGAACGGACGCGGCCGAGGTAAGCCTGTGCTAATTTACATATTGGCTTGTTCACTTGGTTTTCACGCCATGACTTTCAAACACAGTAGTTTTACGAAAATCGCCTTTTTTAAAATCAACCCAGTGTAGCACTGAACCCGATCATATCGCTTTTTACATGATTTCGTGCGCGCGGTGGCAGAAAACGTGGTAACAGACAGACTGACAGACTGACAGACTGACAGACAGACACACTTACGGGACAACTACCGTAACCCTCGCTGCGCATGCGCGCCGAGGGTTAATGATGTTTGGAAGCTCATTATTGGCGAGCGGGCGGGAGCGAGCCAACCCGTCGTTCGTTCTAGCGGTATAATTATATCGTCGTTGGTACGTCGTGTAAGTGCGCTTCTTTTTATCCCAAATCATTTTCAAATTTTTACAATTTCACACACACTCGCTGCATTATGCGGCGATCGATCTAGCCAGCCAGAGAATTCTCCTCCATTCGACGGCATGCGATGCAACCTTAATTCGGTGACTGACCGAGGCTGTTCCTCTTCCCAATTTTCATGGTTCGAAGGTGCAACTTCAAAATAAGCTAGGATTGCCCGTGCAGATACTGCTGCATGCCAGCTGCCACGACTCTGAAGGTAAGTACTTATACCGTTGTTCTGCTCACCTGCTCACCGTTCTGAGTACGCATGTAACGGCGACAGGTAGATCTGTCTTGCTTCACGAAAGGAAAGAGCTGTGCGCTGACGGCACGTTACGCAGCCCGAACATCGCGGGCAAATCCCAAGTTGGGTCGCTCCCGCTCGCCAACAATGTTCAACATTTGCACTAGGTCGAGCGAGCATGTCGCCGATATTCCGGGGCGCTAATTGGAATTCTTGTACGATCCACGTGACTCTAGCTAGCTCTCACGCGTGTTTTACGAAGCGGACAAAAACGTTAATTTAGATAATTCCGGTATACGTTGCTTAACTCCCACGCAATGAACCGCGCTCCGCTTTGCCTAAAACAGAAGCGTTCCTCGATCCCTGGACGCTACGCAAGTTTTAAAAAACGGTGCAGTTCAACGTTTCCCGTACGAATAACCTTACGTTTAACGGATTATAACAACTGCGCAATAATAATTATCTTTCACCGAAACCTACCGCGCACGCTCTTTTCAGCTACACCCACAAACAGCTGCGTGGGTGTCGAAGTTTTGTCCGAGCTACTGCGCGCAAAAGGAAGTTTTTCTTCACCCATATACTCCACACATGTGAAGCCATACCCATCAGCTGTCCCTGGCAAGAGTCCCAGTTCTGGTGCGTTTTTTCCCCGTTAAAATATGGACCAATGATTACTAGTAGAGTAGGCGAATGCATGGCATTTTTGGCGAGCGGAAGCGCGCTTACAATTGGGGTCTGATCGTATGAGTCACTCTTGTGTGTGCACAAAACAGTGAGATACATTGCACAGGACCAAGTAGGCCGAGCGCAGTAGACAATTCGAGTCGAGTCAAAAACAGTCAGTCGACAGCGCGAATCAGGCATAATCCGGCAATCTGATTGGTCTTGCAGGAATAGGGAACAAGTGGCAATGTAGAAAATCTCTCGCTGGACTGTGCAGCAATACTCGATAGCTTCGGAGGTGTTGCGTTTCCCCTGATTCCGCTCGATTCAGGCAGCATTATGAAATCCCTTTCGGATAAAAAGAAGCGCGTAATGCTGGAGCATGCACAGTTGGACGACGTACGGGTACATATATATATATATATATATAAAAATCGCGCCGTTCGGACCACTAGGTTAGCTCGCTTCCGCTCGCCAATTATATTACTAGTAGGCGAATGCATGGCATTTTTGGCGAGCGGAAGCGCGCTTACAATTGGGGTCTAATCGTATGAGTCACTCTTGTGTGTGCACAAAACAGTGAGATACATTGCACAGGACCAAGTAGGCCGAAACACCCGAGCGCAGTAGACAATTCGAGTCGAGTCAAAAACAGTCAGTCGACAGCGCGAATCAGGCATAATCCGGCAATCTGGTTGGTCTTGCAGGAATAGGGAACAAGTGGCAATGTAGAAAAAACTCTCGCTGGACTGTGCAGCAATACTCGATAGCTTCGGAGGTGTTGCGTTTCCCCTGATTCCGCTCGATTCAGGCAGCATTATGAAAATGTTGAAATCCCTTTCGGATAAAAAGAAGCGCGTAATGCTGGAGCATGCGCAGTTGGACGACGTACGGGTACATATATATATATATTATATAGAAAAATCGCGCCGTTCGGACCACTAGGTTAGCTCGCTTCCGCTCGCCAATTATAAAACAGTAAAGTATGGAAGAAACAGCAGAGAACCACACAGAGTTACTAGGAAAGCATTGTAGGGTGTGTGCAGGGAGGGCTTCAGCAGGCAAAGAGCAGGTCCACCTCTTTCTTGTGCACCAGTCACAGAGAAGAACTGAGAAGTGCTTTTGGTATTGAGGTTGAGAGAGATGACATCAAACAGCACCCCACACATTTCTGTAATAGTTGTTACAGAAAAATGAAGAGAGTGTGCACACATAGAGCATCATCAACACCATACGCACCACCAACTTTGGAATCATTCAACTGGACACCCCACATGACGGAAGCATGCCCTGTGAGAAAATTAACCTTACTGCATATACAATTGCGCGCTACATAATACACAGGTATGCGACCATTTCTGCAAGCTTGCACGTGGAGGTATATAGAGGGAGGAAATACGTGGCGAGAGGGAGACCAAGAGGACTATATAACGCCAAGGCTGTGATTACCCACATCAATGAGATCGTTCCGGAGCCCCTACAACATGCAGCAGCACTACACCTCACCGTCTCTCATGTGTCTGTGTGCATGGAAGTGCTGATGTCACCAGCCAGTTCCTGGGCCACTACAGGACCTCATTCCCCCATGCAACAGTGATACCAAAAATGCATCTCCTAGAGATCACGTGCTTCCGTGGCTGAGGCAATGGAGGTGTGGCTCGGGATTATGGGAGAACAATGAGCCAAACACATTTCCACCACATGGAGAACTCCTACAGATGAATCAAGGATCCACTGCAGCGACTGAATTACATCATGCACCAACACATGCTGCAAACGGCCACAAAAACTGAACATCCTACAGGCCCACAGTCAAAGAGGGAAGAGTTGCTGAGTCCGACAAACATTACGTACATAGTGCACTTACCGAGCACGTCTTGTCCCACAGAAAAAATGCACCGTCTTGACTTGAATGTCCTTCCAGAGAGGGATTAGACGTCTCGCAGTACAGGCAAAAAGCGCAGGAAAAAACTCACGTGGGTAGAAAACCGGCGTCTAATACGAACAACTCCGCTGCGGAATGGACGCGTGTACTCAAAAACCGCTTGGGCTAACTTAACCGGACAAAGAACGCCACTACTGGGCCATGTGCTAGGGTCTAAAAGGTCGAATGGAGCGTGTTTTCAAATCGAGAATAGGGCCAAATATTCCGCCTGTAAAACGGTGCTAGGACGTTGCTACGGACATGTATGCGGGGGAGGGAAAATATTTCAGGGCTGGGTGTCTGAATGTCGCGAAATACACGCGTGTGCTCTGCATGAATTAAATATTATCTGTGTCCGACGGCGGCGCAGTGCGCTTTCGCCGCGCGGCTCCAATGCGAAATTCCGCGCGCATGGTCCGCGCGCGCACACATAATCATCGCTGGTAATAAAGGGGCGCCATTTTTAAAAAATATGGGATTTACTTGTGAGGCCGGTTGCACTGGCCTCTCCAACTTGCGTTCCGGTTAGTCCAGAACTGCGGGGAGAGACTGTAAGTAGCGGTCATGCCCTTCAAGGCCTCATTGTTCATGGTGATTGCGGCAGGAGGTATCGTCATTGGCCTCCTCTGTCCGGGGGCCCGCTCGCCTCCCAGTCTGCGGCGAGTAGGCGCTTGGGCTCGACGAGCACGTCGTTATTATCGGCACCGACGGCCTCGGTGAGATGCGCATGAGATAGCTCCTGTAGTAATAGTAGGATTACATCATAATACGTAGGACCTGTTTTCGAGTGTTGAAATATTACTTAGCCAGTGCCCCCTGGCCTATTATAGGTCACTAATTCATACCAAAAGCAGAGGCTACAGACAACTTTGTGAGATTCTTTTACATTATATACCAGGTGGTGTGTATTTGGAGAATGCCACGGATTTTCTGCCCAATATCAACAGGTTCTTTTTGGAGGGAGCCACTACCACTCGAGCCAGGAACAAGAGGCGTTGTGAGAGTGCTCCAAACTGGAGTGAGTTTATCATCTCTGTATACTGCCAAGTCTTTTCAACACTATTAGACTTTCTTCTGTCCCCCTTGCTCTCCAGATTAGAGGGGTTCACTGTAGGTAACGTGGCATAGAAATTGCACCAATACTCATCCCGTTGAAAACCTTGCATGCATGGTTCATGGTAATGGTAATATGCAGGTGCAGTGATAACTGGGATGGGCCCACAGGAGAGTGGGATACACAGCAATGACTGGGTCCCTCCAGCCAATGGAATTCTGCCTGATGTTGCTCCTATCAGTGGCCCTGGAAAGGTCAGCCTTTCTCTCTGTAGTAGTACAGTAGTGCTGCCAGACATCTGAGTCACTTGCTGCCCCTGTTTGAAGTAGCCCACACAGTAATTAAAGGCTATTGCCATCAGTGGTGTGTTGGACAACAGTGCAGGAAGAAAAACTTAGAACCCACAATAGTGTTTGGTTATAGCTACTGACATTTTAAGGCTGATCATGGAATGGGCACACCAAGCCAATCATTCACTTCATCATAATTTTGACTTGTACAGTACCCATGGATCTACACAGAGAGTGGGTATAGCTACCTGTGCTGTTTACCTCACTATAATTTCCAGTGCAACCTTGAGGACAGTTACATGGTGTTCTAGTACCCCATTACTAAAGCCACCACCCCCAGAAAGCCATTCAGTCCTCTGGGTTGAATTCTGTGAGGGCCTGCCAATAGATGCCCATATACAACAATTGTGGTGAATATGTATTGCTCTGAAAAGCTTAGCCATCTCCTTCACATTGATGATGTGCTAGTTCAATGTCTTCATGAATACAGAGACTAAGTAGACTGCCAACGACCAAGTTTGTCCATTAGATATACACATGCCTAGTTACATATCTCAGCAGGACAATGTATTGCTCTCCCACAGTGGCATGCTAACGTAAAAACAATAGGGCAAAACAAAAGAGAAGCAGCTAAAATAAAACACAGTTTTAGTTCCGTTTACCAAAAGTATGCTGAGTTCCATGTCGTGCGCGGAATGCTCGGAGGTGGGGGTAAAGGTGTAATAATGTGACACTCCAGATCCCAGAGACGATGTGGCGTGCTGCCAAGAGTCAGGACAGCAGTGTGGTGGTGGCTGTGACAGAGTCCTGGGACTGGATCTACTACCTGGTGGAGGACGGCATCGTGGACTACAACTTCCGCGCCACTCTGTGGATTCTGTCTGTGTACCTCAGATATCCTCTCATTCCCTGTCTATATAGAAAAAAAGGAGGCGATATCCTGAATCTTGAATGAAAAAGCACTTGCGAAGGCCATAACAGAGATAGAGGATGAGCCATAACCTCAGTTGCATTGCTTCCTGCATTAATCAGGGGGTATAAAAGCAGGCAAGTGCAAACAATTCAACCACACTTAGCACAACAGTTTTATTTCAAAGTGGATAAAAGCTGCTTTAGGTGGGACAAAACCCACAACATTGTTCTATAGACGAGTGCTCTATATACCACTGGTTTACCACGGCAACTCAGCAGGCTGGGCTCAAAGCCTGCAATACAATAGGTCACAAAGTGGCACAGAAACCTGCCACTTATGGGAGCAGGGCTTAGTTGAGAACGCGGAATCTCTTAGTAGATGCCCTGACCAATTATATTTCCTTAACAAACTGTCGACACGCACTACATTTCATTCAAGACAAGTGTCCCAACCTCATGTTCATCCACCTGGAGTCCATCGACCAGGCTGGACACACCCACTCCTGGGGCAGCCAGCAGTACTATGATGCAGTAAAGGTCAGCAACTATCTTCTGCGATTAATCAATGCCCCAGTTTTGTGTGAGATGAATGCCTATTGCTTGTTTGCAGATTGTTGATGGCTATATAGGAGAAATCATGGATGCGTATGTGAAAGCAGATATATTTGATCTGACCCTGTTCATTATAGTATCAGATCACGGAGGGTGAGTTTTATTGAGGCACAATAACAGAGAAATCCAGAACAAAAGCTAGCATGTGCTAAATGGGTATGTAGCCTGTGTCTAATGCCTGTGTTCAGTGAGAGCTTAGTGGACAGCGGTGTAATGTGCCAATTAGTTGAAGTTTCCTCTATTCCACCATAGCTATGGTCTAGACCACAAGAAGTTTGACGAGGTCTGTATCAGAATACCGATCCTTGCCATGGGTCCACGGGTGAGAAAGGGTCACACTATCACTGGCTACAGCAGTAATGTGGATGTTGCTCCAACCGTCCTCCACGCCCTGGGTCTCCAGCCTGGACAGTTCATGGTGGGGAAAATACTGGAGGAAGTTTTTTTCAACTCATAGCTAGCACCAGGATTACTATATATTATAGTACCCACTGTAATAATAATAGCATTTTTAAAAAAAATTATATGACAGGACATCCAGCAGCTAACATATCTGTCTTTATGTGAACTCCCATGTGTTCAGTGTCAATAAAATAATATTATATACTCCATGTTAGTTACTGCATTACAATTATGACTTTAGTACAAGGGGTGGGAGGAAAGAACAAAGGATGGCAGAGAAGAGAGCTAGGGTTAAGGTTCAAAACCATATTTATAATACAGCGGGTGGAAGAATGAAAGTTTACAGAATGAACTACAGTACTGAGCTGTGTTAAGGTTGTTTCAGAGTGTGTATAATCTCAGCAGCAGATGGTCGATTTCCTGGGTTATCACAGGTACACCTCATGTACAGAGTGCGAAGGTTGGGCGAGGCGTGTGACGGGAACACCAGCTGCCCGGGGCGAGGTATCTTCCCCGACACCACCTCCCACAGGATGATCCCGAGGCTCCAAATGTCAATCTTCTCATTGGCTCTCTTCCTCAGGATCACCTCGGGGGCTGCCCAGGCTATGGTGAACCCTCGCTGAGCCGTCATGTCCGTCGCTGCCATTGTGTTTGCAATGCCAACATCAGCTATCTTTGCCATAGAACCCATCACTAGGACGTTTGGACTCTTGATATCTCTGTGTACTATCAGAGGTCTGCGAGAGTGTAGATGATGAAGCCCCGAGGCAATCCCTATCATTACCTCCCTCCCGTGCTCCCCTTCCCACGTGTACTTTGACCCCCGCTCCCTGAGAGCCGAGAACAGATCGGTGTCCATGAGCTCGGTCACCATGAAGAGACACGACGGCTGGATGCAGGCACCGTAGAATTGTAGAACGTGGCGATGCCGCAGCCTGCTGATGGTGTCTATCTCTTGTTTGAACTGGGCCACGGCGGAGTCAGGCTCGCACCCCTGGAGTCTGATCACCTTGACTGCCACGTCGTCGACTCCATCCTTCAGACCTCGATACACCTGTCCACAGCCTCCCTTCCCTAGCAGCCACAGCTCTCCATCTCTCTTCTTACAGATCTGGACATCCTCTGGTTGTAGTTCCCAGTCATATAACCTGGCTCTACCACTGCTGCTGGGTCCAGACTGGGAACGAGAGGATGAGCGGTGGGCAGGTTTTAACGGGTCCTTTGGTGGAGATGGCACTTGGAGGTAGACTGAACCTGGGCTGGCGTTGTTGGAAAAGTCAAGTTCATCGATGGAGATAGAGTCGTGGGACACGTCCGGTGGAGGGGGTGGTTTTGGTGGTGCGGAAGGGGAGGGGCTAGAAGCAGAGGGAGAAAGGCTGGAAAGAGAGGGTGCCTTGGATAGTGGCCGGCGAGGGCTGGGACTGGCAGCCTCCTGGATACGGTTGATGATCCCCTTGACTCGGGACCCCAGCCAGTTGGTGATGGTGTTGACCACTCCACTTCCACTGTCAGTGGAGCTGGTCGGGGAGGAGGCTCGGTGGGATGAGGAGGAGGATGAGGAGGAGGAGACAAGAGGGGGTGGATGGTAGTCAACACTGGAGCCAGAGTTACTTCGGTGTAGAGAGGAGGAAGAGGGGGAGTGGAAAGAAGGGTTATGTGGTGGGTTAGCTACATGTTTAGGTGGAGGGGTGGAGGATGGAGGTGGAGAGTGATGGAGGGGTGGGAGGAGAGGGTAGAGGCGTGGGGAGGGAGGAGCACGCGGAGGTGGTCTGTCTTGATGTGGTGCTGGACTCCGAGGGGTCAAAGCTGGGCGAACGACAACAGCTGGTCTTGGACCCACGCCCACTTTATTGCCAGGTTTTCTTTGTAATTTCCGAGGTCTGCCATATTTCGTAGCAGAAGCAGCAACAGCGGGCCTTGGTTTAGGTATTCGAGCTGCGGATGGTGGGGCAGCCGGCGAGGGAGGTGCTGGCTTTGGCTTTTTGGCGGCACTGCCCACGGCAGAGGCCCGGAGCTCGTTCTGTCTCTTACGGAGCATACGCTTGTAGAGGGCCCGCGTGCTACCGGTGATGGGTCCCACGTCCACCCCCATTCCTGTCAGCCTCAGTCGCAGCTCTGCATCTTCCGCCATATTTTTCTCAGCAAATCGGACACGCCTTTCAAACAACGCATGCCGTAGAAATGCAGCGCATGCGCAATAAAGTAAATAGTTGCTGATTCAGCAAAGTGGTGTGCGTTGGTGTTCTGACTGGAGCAGTCAGTGAAGTTTGGTTCTGGACGACGATGGAAGCTGTAGATGGGATGGTAACATCTGCAAGTGAGTATTGGGTCATAGTGGAGTCTGTTGTGCGAGATCGTGTTCACTAATTCAGAGACTACGATAATATCACAATACTCCCCTCCTCCTTCATCCCTTCTCGTTCTACGTTGTACAATACCCCGCTCGCCTTGTCCGTGCGATACCCTCTTGATCTTTGTCCAGGTGGCTTGACTGTCATATCTGATGCCACCACATCCCCTCTAGCGAGTCCTGAGCCCTGCCCCACAGAGCCAGAGGTCACTTATAGCAGGGAGTTCCTCATTGGAGTCCTGTTGGCCATCAGCTCCAGTGCCTTCATTGGGACCAGCTTCATTGTCAAGAAGAAGGGACTACTGAGGTTTGATAACAGTAGTGAAACAAGGGAACTGTATCATTAGCACCATCTCGATCCATTTCGATCTATGGCACACTGCCACTATGATTAGTCCTTAACTGCATTTTTTGATGGATGGGAGGAAAGTCCATTTAGAGGCTTACCAGGGTATGCACCACGTTTACATTAGTTCACTCTTTCTTACTCTCTCTTCTTTTCTTTTCTTGTCATCTCTACCCTTTTCCACTTTCGCTCCCCCCTCTCTCCATTCCCCCCTCCCCTCTCTCCCTCCCCCCCTCCCCTCTCTCCATTCCCCCCTCCCCTCTCTCCATTTCCTCCCCCCTCCCCTCTCTCCCTTCCCCCCTCCCCTCTCTCCCTTCCCCCCTCCCCTCTCTCTCTTCCCCCCTCCCCTCTCTCCATTCCCCCCTCCCCTCTCTCCCTTCCCCCCTCCCCTCTCTCCCTTCCCCTCTCTCCATTCCCCTCTCTCCCTTCCCCCCAGGGTGGCCCGTAGCTCGGTGTCTCGAGCAGGTAGTGGTGGCTATGCCTATCTCCATGAGTGGTTGTGGTGGGCGGGGCTACTCACAATGGTAGTGGGAGAGGCAGCCAACTTCACTGCCTACGGATTTGCTCCAGCCTTTGTGGTGACCCCTCTGGGTGCTCTCAGTGTTCTTGTCAGGTCTGTCATGGGCACACTGCCACATGCCAACATTACCATCCCCAGAACTTGTAACTGCCGCCTGTTTTGTAAGGCCTGTGCATGCCGTCCATGTCCACAAGAGCATTCCCCTCTCACCATGCCCAACAGGCGCGGAAGAACAACCAAGATTAATTCACCTTGATGATAGTACACAAAACCATCAGGAAAACACCCTTGGCACGACATACACACAAAGCAAGTAACTGAATGTACTGACACAAACAAAACACTGGTCGGAGTTTGACTGTGGTATTTTTCTGACTTTTTGACACTGTTCCTAGAGCATAGTGCTTTGTCCGGTATGTCCAGCATGGTGGCAAGCTTAGAGAAGCTGTCGTGGTCTAGGACCCCATGTGAACCCACCTGAATGGGACAGCAGTGAGTGGTGCAGTAGCCACTGTCATGGTACTTTGCCTGCTCCCTGCTTGTTTACTAGCAGTGAGGCACAGCACAGGGTATTCTGGTGTTGTCCCACTGCACAAGGTCAGACGTAAGTAAGTGCTTTCTCTCTCTCTTTCTCTCTCCACCCAGTGCGGTGCTGTCGTCATACCTGCTGAAGGAGAGGCTCAACCTCCATGGGAAGGTCGGCTGTCTCCTCTCCATCCTCGGATCCACCGTAATTATCCTCCATGCCCCTGAGGAAGGAGAGGCTAACGACCTCTACGAGATTGGCAAGAACATGCTCAGTCTTGGTGAGTGGACACTATACTCTACAGCTATTCGATGGAGTTCAGACTTCACTGCTCTAGCGCCACAATTATGAGTAAGACAGTGACGTTCTTGATGTTGCTGTACAGTTAAACACCAGAAAAAGGATCAGATCCCCTGAATAAGGTTCCACTCCATTAAAAATATATTACACCTCCAGATTAATAAGGGACACTTATGATGTGCCCAAGATGTCTCTTACTCGGGGGCATCTATATCTACTCTGTATACCGAGGGAGAGGGGGACACGTGGAGCAGCTTTTAGAGCATTGTACAGTAGTTCAAGTGCAGCGGATTCCCCAGTCACTGATCACTATCATAGTCTTCTCACCTGATTTGGAGGAGACCCCGAGTCTTGTACTATTAGTCTCTTCCCTCTGTGAACTCTGTGTATGTGTGCCTTACCAGATGTCATGTTGTACAGGGTATATACACTGTTTGTTTAGGAAGGCTCATGTAGAATTTACTCCTGTACTTTGGGAGACTATCTTGAAACCATTCTTTCTCACCCACACAGTACGGGAATGTAGCCCTAACAATAGAGCTGCTATTACTCACATTCCGTTGCACAGGTTTCCTGCTGTACTCGGTATTTGCAGTGATGGTGGCAGTATATCTGATCTACTGGGTGAGTCCACAGTACGGCCAGACCAACATCCTGGTCTACATCGCCATCTGCTCCCTCATTGGCTCCCTCTCCGTCATGGCCTGCAAGGGGCTCAGCATAGCCCTCAAACTGACTCTGAGTGGCAACAGTCAGCTGCAGAACCCCCTCGCCTGGTTCTTTGCCCTCTCTGTGGCCGTGTGCATCGCGGTCCAGATGAACTACCTGAACAAGTCCCTGGATCTTTTCAACACGTCTCTCGTGACTCCGTTGTACTATGTCATGTTCACCACACTCACCATAGTGGCCTCTGCTATTCTGTTCCACGAGTGGCAGCAGCTTACAAACGGCGACATCATCGGTGCCGTATGTGGCTTCCTCACCATCGTGTGTGGCGTTTTTCTCTTGCATGCCTTCAAGGATATCAATTTCACCATCATGGATCTCATAGAGTCCACTAACAGACAAAACGGGGCAGGTATCACTTCCACTAACACCGGTAATAACACAGGGGCTCACTCGTTGGATAGCCAGCAACCTCTGCACAGTATGACGTCGTTTTCTCGTCGGAGCAGCAACTCTCACTCGCAGGTTTCCCTCCACACTTCCGACAGTGCTCACAGAACTAATCACCCGAGGAGCCCCTTCATAACGAACGGGAGTGTGGATAGCGGTGAGGAGGAGCTGTATTCCACTGAGACCGCTCCTCTGGTCCTCCCTGATACCTAGCCTTACGGTGATTCACCTTCACTGCCAATATACATGTCCTGTCTTTGCTTTCACGTTTCTGTTTTACAACTGTGCAAGAAATGTTTTTGTGTATAACAACTGTGATTTACATACCACCTAAGGAAGGAGACACAATTCTTCGCCTGCCGCAGTTATTGTCGCGATGATGTAGTGCTGTGGCTTATACACCAGCACACAGTACAGTACATGGCCATATGATCAGCATTCAAAGCCTGCTCAGCCACGGGTACTGTGTCCAGAGCTTCCATAAGTCCATAAAAATTTCTGCCGTTCAAGAGCTAATGCATATACACAAGCAACAGGTAACGCTGGGACCAGAGGAGATTCCATGTCTCAATGTAATACGCAGTTGTGAGTCAAAGATCAAGCCTGCTGTGCTAATCTCTACACTGAAGTGAAATGAACAAAACAACCTTAATATTGCCACGTACGAATATTGTGTGTGTCTCAACCACACATAATCAGGTTTCTGCCTCCTGAATTAATAATTAACAGCACAGTAATACACTGTATACATGATAAGGTGACCTGTATGTAGCACATATACAACATCACGTATGTTGCGTCTGTGGACCACCAGTGCTGCTGGGCAGTACCTGTCTTGGTCTGGGGGTGACTGATCTACGGAGTCTTGAGGGCGTGGCACTGCTGCTGGCATTGAGACTGTGGTGGAGTGGGGAGAAGTGACGTCGCGGGGAGAGGGTGCTGGTGTGGAGACGGTGAGGGGAAGAGTGTTGGGAGGGGAGGATGGGAGGACGGGGGAGGGGGGAGCGTGGGGGACTGGTGACCAGGAGAGGACTGCCGTGTTGGTTCCCACCAGAGCCTGACAGAGACGATGGCCTCAGAACTGACCTCGGGGTCCTCCAGCTGTATGTGTGGAAAATATCACGAGTGAGGTGCAGTTGGAGATTGCAAAGCCAATGAGGCCCAGGAAAAAGCTGATGTTCTATATATGTACATGTGTAGGCGGATAAGACAACACACCTATTCTGTGTGTGTTCTGAGAAGCCCTTTATTCTGTGGACCCAGTCCACCACGTGAGGATAGGAAGACAGACACGGAGCACCTCTCACCGCCAGGTACACGTCATGGTCCAACTTTGTCGCCTCACTCCTGCACGGAATGCAATCTATCTTACAGGTCTGGAAAAGTCACATGTTGGTAGTGTGTATATACTACGTGTAGCTGCTAAGGTAAGCCCACCGTACCCAAGGAGGAACGTTGTCTTCTTTCTATGAGTGGTGGTGGGTGTCATATGTGGCTCTTGCTCTGGCACAGAATAGGGTGAATTGCTCCTTTCACCTCCTCTTTTACCATGCTCCTCCATCTTTTTACCAACCTCCCCCTCTTCCATCCTATCAGCATCCTCCCCTTCCTCCACCCTAACAACCCTCCCCTCTTCCACTTTATCTCCAATCTCCTTTTCACCAACCTCCCCCTTCTCCACCCTATCACCACTTTCCACCTCTTCCATCTTATCACCATCCAACCCACAACCTCCCCCTCCCTCCTCCCTCCCTCCACCAACAACACTCAGGCGAGCCACACCCTCCAAAACAGACTCCACGTCACTCTCAATATTTCCCATCCTCTCCTTCCCTCCCTCCTCACACCCCCCACAATCCTCCCTTCCACCCCCTCCCTCCCTCACCCCCTCCCCTCCTCCCCCCATCTCTTCCTGACAGTTTCCATCACTTGGGAATAGTTCTCTGGACACATTCACACTCTCAGTCATGCCTGTATACACACATGTATGTACACACACTACACGTGTATAATTACAGACACATATATATATATATATTGTGTATTGCAATGGCAGAAACAAGCCTGGCAGCATGTTGTCTGGATCAATTACACCAATATGGTACTTGACACTGGATGAACTACACTTATAGATACAGATATGTTAGTGTTACTTCATACATACAGGCAATATGTCCGATGTAACACACACAGTATGGTATATAACTATAATTGAGAGTAGCTGACCTGTGCCTGTGGTCAGAGGGGAAGAGGGAGGAGGAGAAGGAAGAGAAGGAGGAGGGGGAGAAAGAGGAGGGGACGAAGAGGGGGGGAGAGAGGGAGAGGGAGGAGGGGTGGAGAGGGAGACAAGGTACATCTCCAGCTTCTGGAGTCCGTCAGTCTTGTGGAGGTCACAGTAGCAGCCCAGGAACTCCCAGTACTCCCTCCAGCCCACCTCACACTCCTCCGCCAACTGCCTGCACGGACACACAAGAAACTGTTATTGAGATGCCCTTACTGTCCTCGTTCCAGAAGTGTCCTTGAGAGGGGTTCGAGTAGCTGCCCAGCCTTATCATGCATGAACAACAGTGCATAGCCTCACAGACCGCCTCGCAACTGTGTATATACGCTGATAAAGGCCTACTCTCTTACATATAGGCCATTAAAACAACATGGGAGCTGGAGGAAACAGTATGCCTGGTCTTGGCTGGCACCACAACATCTGTTCAAAGCCTTAGAACTACTGCACTACCATTGCAGGTATATACACCATAAACCTTTATAGAACCCACAGTGTATACTTTCAGGGCCGGCTCATCTCATATTCTAATGAAAAGCACTAAAGTGCAAACCCTCGGCGAACTGCGCATGCGCGGTACCACTAATGGGTGGGCTGGGCTATTTAGTATGCGTTTACTCGTGGTCTCCCGCTAGTAGCTCGCGGAGAGTCTGACACAAGCTAGCTACGGTAGTAGATAGCATGCAGGAGTCGATACACACCCTTCGCTGTGGTTTCTTGTGCCTCCAAGGTACACCGAGCAAGCGGATCACGTCGAGGTGAGCCAACCTACTGCGTTGATCGCACGCGTGCGTACCACTTATTGATGGGTTGGGCCACGCAACGCTGTTCGCGACTGTGCCAGTTTGTCGCTCTCGAACGCAGTCGTTTTAGCAAAATCACCATTTTGTTTTTCTAGCCCATGTACCGCTAAAGCTGTTGGTATCGCTCATAAGCCGCCTCGTAGCCTGTAGTGCGAGAATAGTCGTAGACAGACACACACACACAGACACACAGAACGACTACCGTAACCCTCACTGCGCATGCACGCCAAGGGTTAATAAAGAGTGCAAATGCAATACTGGGCTATGGTCTGGCAGTCACTAGGACTCCAGTGGAACACAAAGGGACACCTCTCTACAAAGGACATATGTCTCGCCCCATACCAGCACACATTATGCATATTAGTGCATTACCTCCCAACTCTCTCGAAGCCTCTGCTGGAGTCACTTCTCTTGATCTGGAGAGCCTCTCTCCAGTCCCTGCTGTTGGAGGGGAACCTCCACTCCTGGTAGAACACCTCGGCCTGCACAGACACAGGGGATCTTATGCTGCACAGACACTTGAACCCAAGCCACACCCCCTCCACATTTCGTGTGCCACCACTCATTAAAATACAGTAATTCAAAAGATAGGTGATAGGAGAGAATAGCACATGCCAACTGAAAACAGGGTTGTTATAATTATCATGGGGCTATCCTATACAGTGAATGCCACAGCTTACACATCTGTAAGGGTCTGGCACTGTAGCTACCTGATCATCTTCCTAGAAGACAGATTTGGCTCGTCCTACATACAAGAACCACCAGACAAGTGTAGCTAGTGGCAAGCTTGCTAAAATATGTTTTTGGTATCTAGGTATGTGAGGTATGAGGAAATTAATTTACATACACCCGTGATGTCATTGTGTGGCAGCTATTTATAATCTCACCCAATACTACTCTTCCCATTCAGAGCTAGCCAATGCATGAAATACTAGAAAACAAACACACTTACTCTACCTGTGCAGGGGACATTGGGCCAGCAAAGGCCTGGCCAATCACGGGGGTGCCCCTGTCATCAGAGAGAGAAGCCCGGTGGCGGTGGTAGTCTGAGATGGTGCAGGGAGGAGTCAGCTGGGGTGGTGTGCAGTTGTCTGCAGCTCTCAGGACTGGGACGTAGTATGTGGGAGGAGCTGTGAGTGACAGAGAGATCGTTTGTCATAATACATATGTGCCATGCTTTCCATAGCGCTCTTCTCCGTAACAAGGGATAAATCTGTTGACTTGGAGGCTCTGTTATGTACGTATAGCAGCTGTGATTAGACAAAACACTATTAGATGTCGTATCAATGGCAGTGCCAACTGGACACATGGTTCTTAGAATTATCACATGACCAATTCCACATTTTGCACAAGCTAAAAAATGAGAATGTCCACACCGAATAAAACTGTGTTCAGTTCACGTGTATGTTGCAGAGGCTACCAGAGCAACACAATGCAGTAGTCTCGACTATGCATGTCACAAAGGTAGAAGTCAGTTCTATTCTCATGGCACAAAGAAGAGCAACACCCACTGCGATAGTATTGTGAAACCAGTTCATGTTAGCACTTAGTCTCCAAAGGGACCAGAATAGTCGTACAAAGCAGCAACATAACGCAACATGTAAAACCCGATGTAAACCAACCATGTATGAGTTCTTTCACCTTTTCTTTCACCTCATCAGAAGATGACCTGGCATTCTGACAAGCAATATCTGTAGCTCTCTCATCATACCTACACAAGTGCACTGTATCACATAACACACAACCACTGATTAACCTGGCAAGCTATAGTAGTTAGTGCTGACACCTGGAAGAAAGCATGCTCGGTCCTAGCACGTTTTAGTGCATGTCTATGACAGTCTGCCACAAGTATTCAGTGAAAAATAATGGTGTAAATTGGGCTCCATCTATTTGGGGACATTAGTCTACAGCTTTGGCATGTGGAGATACCGGTTTACCCGGTTTAGTTTTGGTCTCGATATTACTCTCACTAGAGGTGTGTACACGTTGTACTATGAGCTAACTTGTTGGTGATGGAAGGGTCAAGGGAAGGCTGGGCGAGGAGGAGTTTCACAATCTCTAGGTGACCCAGTTTACTGGCAAAGTGGAGTGCAGTCTCTCCTGCCTATGGCACAACACACACACACACACACACACACACACACACACACACAGGTGATTGTACACAACTGCACTCTTTTTCTTGTCTCGTAAGGGTATCCCGCTTCACATGCAAATAATTATACCACAAGGTGACCCAGAGCACCAGTGCATCAGCATACACGGCAGTGAGCTGTATATATATGGCAATGCTTATCTGTACACACACACCAAGTTCCACATAGAGAGTCAACAAAAGTGAGATTATATATTGAAGGACGAAAGTTAAATCCGCACGACAAACAAGGAGCAAACTTGCATATCAAAATTCTGGTTGAGACAGAAGTGCATGTAAACATGTTTATAGATACAGAGTACCGGCTCTCCTGTTATGTTATCATCGTGTTTAGCCTCAGAACACAGAAAAGGGTCTGGTAAGCAAATCGATGTTTTACTTATGTGGCCAATCAGATTGCAGCCTTATAGTCCTACTATCACATTCACTGCATGCCTGCAGCTGCTAACCAAACAGACGGTCTAACCGAGCACACAGCACGCAGAACATTTACTGCCATGCATTCTACTGTCAAAACTCAATGTTATACATGTGAGCTGTCCTATGGTTAAGACGAGACAACCTCACCATCTTGTCCTGCATGTTGAGGTAGAGGTCCACCAAATGGGCCCTCCTCCGGTGGACAGTCTCTGGGGAATCATTGGGGTAGAGCAGCTTCCAGAACTCCTCATTACCAAGAATGGACAATAGCTCCTACATAGAACAATACAGAGCAGAGTTACTACCAGCGTTAACAGATTTTGCATGCACGTATGTATAATTATGTTGCAGTGCCCAGACAGGACAGCATGAGCCCTGACATGTATGAACCCTGCTGCATTGCGCAGGATAGTATATGCTCATAAAACTCCCCAGTACATAGCTTCATACATGTCGGTTGCCTAGGGATATCCAACAAATACACATACACTGTGCATGCAAGGAAAGCAGCAAGCACGTTAGAATATGAAATGTTGCTCATTGGTTAAGTTGCCAGCTTCATCACCAACTCTACTTCAAAAAAATGTCAGCTGGCAAGGCCCACACTTTTGGCCTAAGAAAAGACAAACCATGCATATATTATTCGTGGTGTGCCAGTATACCTGGCATATCTCCAACCTCCCAGCCTTCACTGCGCAGTGGAGGGCATTGTAGCGAAATCCGACTTGCAGAATCTCCGGGGCATCTCCGTAACAGTTGACCAAGTAACGAGGGTTGGTCCACACTTCGCGGGTGAACCCAGTCACATCCCCAGCCTCAATGAGCCTCCTGAAATTAGTCAGCTCTGCAGTTTTGAGTGATGGAAAGAGGTTCGGTTTTTTCTCAACATTGGACGGTTCCGTGGCTGGGCTCCTTCCTTCTAGACTTGGTCCTGGGGTGGTTTGCCTGCTACTGCTGTCTACAGGGCTGCTACAAAAGGCCTCCGCACTGGCACGCGTGCTGAACTTCTTGAAGCGAGCTCCCGGGACACTCCTCACAGCTCTGAGGACCTCAGACTTGTTGGTGTAGTAGGGAGAGAGGGAGGACTGGACCGGTGTCCCTTCACCGCCGACCACGACGCAGTAAAACTCTCCGTCTTGTGGAGTAGATTCCACTCCCCGGCTCCCTGCTACCGCCAGTGGATCCTCATTAGCCTCCTCTGTTTGGCTACCAGCTCCTGAGACATCTGCATCCTTATGAATCACTGAGGCTTGCTCCTGCTGCTGGTGTTTCTTGAGCAGTTTCCCGACTCTTTTCTCCAGAAACGGCCGCGTGCTGGGAGTGACGGGGAAGGCCGGGCTACCCAGTGCGACCAAAATCGTAATTAGTTCATCGTCAGTCCACTGGCTAAGTGGCTTGTCGCTCGTCTGCAGACCCTGGCTTTCACTAGCGACTTCGCTCATGTCATTATGTGGCTAGCTCTACGCCTGCACGCAATCCTAAATAACGCCTACCAGCTCTACATGCGTTCGCTCATGCGCTAACCCCACCAAAGATTTTTAACCACATTGCCAACGCTATTCTTAGGCCCGCCACAACGACAACAGCCACCTTCAACAAGATAAAACAATGTAATACATTACTGCATACAGAATCTGTAAAAAGTCTCACAGGGGGATTATACATACAGGCATTGTAATCACCAGATATGGTCAGAATACAGTCCGGCATAGGGATACAGAAAAGAGAAAATGAGGATATACACACAGCTTATACAAGTACTCATTGGTAGAATGGCTTAAAATTTAGTGTTGCACACGACGGAGATAGATAGAAGGTGTGTAATAAGGTTTCAAGGAGGATAAGTGCATGAGGTGGTACAGGTGTGCATACAGGGTTCCTACTATCTGCGTCAATATACTTAGTTCTACAGAGCGACGATCGAGCCTAGTCCTCGTACTCATCATCTTCTTCCTCTTCCTCGTCGTCCTCGCCAGCTGGTACATAATCCCGCTTCTCCTGCTCGTAGCGTTGGCGGTCTTTCTCTGCCTTCGCCTCGAACGGCTTCCTCTTCTCCTCGTCCAATCCCTTCCAGTCCTTCCCCAGAACCTTGGCCGTATTCCCAATCGTGTAGCTAGGGTTCTTCGCCTTTATCGCAGGCCGTCTGTCCTGACAGAAGAAAAGGAATGCAGACCTGTGTGTGGGAAAAAAGAGTTCTCTGTACCAGAAAAGTAGTTTGAAAATGAAGGATTGCACGGGCAGCTGCACGTAAACACCCTCAGGGGTGTGTAGTACGAGCTACTTACAGTGGTCTTTTGGGCGCATTTGGGTCCTTCTTTTTGCGGCCGCGCCCGCCTTTGGTGGCACCAGCAGGCGGGACGTAGCCCTTCATCTCATGGTCGTAGCGCTTCTTGTCCTCCGCGGCCAACCGCCCGAACTTCTCCTTGGATTCGGGTCCGAGATGCTTCCACTCGTCCGAGCAGTCCTTGGCGAAGGCGCTAAAGTCCAGCGACTTCCCTTGCTCTTTGTAGATCGCTCGCTGGTGCTTGATGAAGAAAGCGTAGGCGCTCGTGCGCCCCTTGGGTTTGTTGGGGTCCGTGTTCTTGGGCGGCATGATTCACCTTCTTCGCTGCTGGAGTCCAAAAGCTTAGAAGCTACACGCAAACAGGGCAGAGGGAAAGAGGCTGCGACGGATTCAAATTTCTGTTCGAATCGGCTGACGCAACTCCCCTTTGGAGACTTGTAGCTCGACGGGCTCTACTTTAGAAGATAGCAACAGACTTTCCTGCAGGGCAGCTTCACCAATAGCAATGTATGTAGATAGGCACGGCCCGCCAAACACAGCCAGATCCTGGGCGCTCTATACCACACCGAACAAAATGAAGGGAGCACTTATGCGCATGCGCATGCTTTGATTTTTCCCGCGCGGTTTGAATTATTCCTGTAAACAACACGCCCTGTTTCTTACAAAAGATCTGAGCATACAGAATGCTAACATGAAGACAAGAAGTGGGGCGTGATGAGATGGTGTATATACAAACAGAGAGAGTTCATGAGTCTGGGGGCTTTGGCTGGTCCAGTTTGCTCTTGTGGGACTTGACCATTGAGATGAAGAGAGGAACGATTTTCTTCTCTGACACTCTAATGGTCTTGAAGTGCCTTGACACGGCCTGTGGAGGGATGCATGCACACAAACATTAGCAGTTGAAAGGGAGTACCTATGTCTCTGCACTACCACCCCAGTTCTAAAGGCTGGACATCTCGTGTCCCGCTCTTGTGTAGGTAGTCTTCTTGCATGTTTGTGTAATGTGTGTTGAGGTGACCTGGTAGTGGCTCATTCCATCTTTCTTTCTTTCTTTCTTATTCATTAGCTACACACATTGATACTGTGGTGTATGTGTGCAACTAGCGAGCTGCCATGTATGTTATGTAACGAGTACAGAAGCCACAGTTGCTAATCATTCTCTGTGCCTCTTCCAAGTGTTAGTATATACAAAAGCTACCCTGCGACTGATTAGGATACCAGGCATTCCATGTGAAACATAAACATTATCTTGTTCCAACAAACTCTTTGGCAAGCTAGGTATACCTGCCACACTAGCTGAAACACTATACAAAACCAAGCAGTCATGTGCTTGTTACCGGCAATACAGTAAAGTTTGCATTACTGTGTGTTACAGGAATGTGTTGGCTTTATGTAGCTCATAGTAAATTCATTAACCCTCGGCGCGCAAGTGCAGCGAGGGTTACGGTAGTTGTCCCGTAAGTGTGTCTGTCAGTCTGTCAGTCTGTCTGTCTGTCCGTCTGTTACCATGTTTTCTGCCACCGCGCGCACGAAATCAGATAAATAGCGATATGATCGGGTTCAGTGCTACACTGGGTTGATTTTAAAAAAGGCGATTTTCGTAAAACTACTGTGTTTTTAAGTTATGGCGTGAAAACCAAGTGAACAAGCCAATATGTAAATTAGCACAGGCTTACCTCGACCGTGTCCGTTCGCTCTGTGTGTCTTGAAGGCACAACAAGTCACAACGAAGGGCATGTATCGACTCCCGCATGCTATTTACTACAGTAGCTAGCCCGTGCCAGACTCTCCGCGAGCTACTAGCGGGATACCACGAGTAAAGGCATAAAAAGCCCAGCCCATCAATTAGTGGTACCGCACATGCGCAATTCGCCGAGGGTTTGCACTTTAGTGCTTTTCATTGCACTTATAACTGGATATTATGCACAGCCGTGGGGAAATGCACAATGTTGTCCGCTGATGAAGGACTGGTGGTGAAAGATTATGCACTTCTGTGAGAAGACTATCTGTATTTTAACCCCCGACACGCATGCACAGCGAGGGTTATCGTGTGTGTCTGTCAGTCCGTTACTCGACATCTCACTTCACGAGCCTTCAATCACTCCACAAACAATCCCACATATTCAGCGTTGGGTATAGGTCGAAATATGTGGGGTTTTCTCTGAAACTGCTGCGTTTGGGAGTTACGGTGTGAAACACAAGCGAAAAGCCAATATGCTAATTATAACAGGCTTACACGAGTGGGTGCACTTGCTCTGTGCATCTTGAAGGCACAAGAAGTCACAAAAAAGAACGTGTATCGACTCCTACATACTATCTAGCTAGCCCGTGCCACTCTCCTCGAGCTACTAGTGGGAGACCATGAGTAAACACATACTCATAGCCTAGCCCATCAATTAGCGGAACTGCGCATGCGCAGTTTGCCGAGGGTTTGCACTTTAGTGCTTTTTCATTATACAATTAGGTCTGCTCCTACTTGCCAATTGTTATATACATACAGCTGTACCTCGACCAGTTGTATTTTGTTGGTACCAGGCTTGAGCTGAAGCTTATAGTGTCTCTTGTACCTGCGTAGCGTGTTCATCTGCAACTGCAAGAAATCCACCTGCAAAAACAGATATGCATAAAGATCAGGTTGCGTTTGAGAATGAGGCAAACACTGACCTCAAAATGGCAGTCACTCTCCTCCTCTGAGTCTTTTCTCTTTCTCTTAGCACGCATACTGTTCATACTGTACAGCACGCCGCGGTGGTACTTGCACACGTAGCTGTGGCTAACCTGTGTATGTGCATGGTGGACAAAGAAAACATGTTTCTAATTGAAGCCCACCACAACACATAACCCACTCCCTACACCCGAACTCGCCACACGACGACCACCAGAGCGCAAAACACTTTACAAATGTGCTTACCTCAGGATCAGGGATGAGCTGGCGCCGTCGCTGGAGAGAAGTCTTGACCAGCCTCTTGTTGAAAGTGGCGCTGGTGGCCGGGTATCTACAGCGATGCCCCTCGTCGATTAGGCAGCAAATGCATGCGGAGCCGACCACATCCGGAGAGAGCAGGGGGCTGGCAAGCTCCTCCTCCGCCTCAATGGGAGCTGGTTCAGGAGGAGACCGGGAGCGTGAACTCATTTTTGGCGCCTTTTTCAAACTGTTTTTCCGGGAGGAAGGTGGGATGAGGTGGAAAAACCGCAACCGCTGGAAACCCTGCAGGATCTAATGGCAACAGGGAACCAGAAAAACGTGCAGTATTCTAGCTAGGCTTCAAGTTGCAGAAGCAAAATATCTTGGTATGTTTTTCGGGAAAACTCATGCGCATGCGTACGATATGCTACCGCGACGGACGGTGCAGAGTGCCATTTTGTTGTGCTTCTCCGCTCCTCCACTGCTCTCTCAGTCTTCCCTGGAATCCAAGCTGTCTGAAGTTGAGAATGGCCGAGATTGGGATTGCTGCATGTCTCTGTCTGATGCTCGCAATGGCCGCAGGCGGTGCTCTAGGCTCGTCTCCATGCGATGATCCTTCCGTGGCCAACCTACCCTTCTGGTAGGAGCATGCGTTAGATACAGGTACCTTATGATATCTGTACTCTTCTTTCTGCAGTAACCCTGATCTCGACCTCGTGGATCGAGTCAAAGGTAAAAACCTTAGCTCGTTAGCCTATTTGCAGAAGTAGAATGCTCCATACGTGTGGCTTTTTCTTAACCTCCAGACCTTGTTTCTCGAATGTCTGTGACAGACATGATATCCCAGCTGGGAAACACAGCTCCTGCCATAGAGCACCTCAACATACCTGCCTACCAGTGGTAGGTGCTTTATTTTGCATACAGGAAGCATCAGTAGACATAGTCTTTTGTCTCCTGTTTCATCTTTCCCAGGTGGTCTGAAGCTCTACATGGAGTAGCTAGTTCTCCTGGAGTCTCTTTTGGAGGAAAGGTATATATTATCCATGTATCTGATGAGATTCTTTTGCTCTCTGAACTTCACTGCATATTGCACTCCTGTTGATTCAGGTTCCAAGTGCTACTTCATTCCCTCAAGTCATTGGTATTGCCGCCACCTTCAATAGGTTCGTATGTGTAGCTTGTCAATGGGAGAGACTTTTCTCAGAAGTCAGCGATCCAAGTTTTAGGGATTGATCCATTGAAAACTAAGACTGTCTAATTACCCGTAGGGTACCCCACCTCTCCTGGCTCCTGCTACGACCGAGTAACTTCTTGGGGAACTTTGCCCGAGTAGATGGTAGAGGTTGCTTGTAACTCTAGGCAAGTTTGAATCAGCTATGAATATCCTCTGGCACAAGACTTTTCATGCAATTGTGCACCCTTCCAATTTTGTCCTGATATGTGCATGCATAGTGCTTGCTTGACGGACATTGTGAATATTACCTTTCAACAGCGACAAAAAGTTTTCATGACTATTAACACATTCACATGATGTATGGGCAATGCCTTACATTAATTATCAGCTGTTGGTGTGTCTGATGTATAGCTTCTCACTGCACGCAGGCAACCTTGCATAGATATCCATCTCACACTTTCAGCCAGTATTGAATGTAGTTTCATGGACAGCTAAAGGCCGTGATACACAATGCAACTTCGTTGCGTGAGACGAAATTTCATGCAACTTCAAATGTATGGGTATAATGCTCCACGCAACATGTTGCGTGCAACTTTGTCTCCCATAACAATGTTGCATTGTGTATCATGTCCTTTAGCTCTATCATGGCCTAATTTTCCAAGGGGTACTCACGAAATCATCTCACCAGTTTGTGAAGCTTCAATGGGGAGCTTGAAAAGGGTGAGCATGGCCAGTATGATGTCTCGAGGCAGCACCCCTGGCCGTCGAGACTTTTTGAGCTGTCTCTGTGTTCCTGTCATGCATGAAATCTCTTGTGTTTTTCTAGCACTCTGTTCTATGAGATGGGTCAGGCAATATCCACTGAGGCCCGAGCCATGAATAATGTCGGCCAAGCTGGTCTCACCTTCTTCACACCCAACATCAACATATACCGGTACAGTACACATTATGGTGTCGGAAAAATGTGTTTCACTATAATATTATATCATAGTTACACGCTACTTTGTTTAGGGGGTGTTGTTCTGTGACATTAACTGAAACTTCAGATTAACTGAACATCAATACTACATTCAATCGACAAAAGGCCTTATTCTCAGTTTGTTGGTAATCTTGTGTGTAAGTGCTGATCGGTGATATGGGAGGCTGGCATATTACTTGTATCTTCAAGAGTGCACACACAGCCCTTGGGTGTTGAATTGACAGTGCATCCATGGTTACCTTAGTCTCGTGCCCAGACCCCACCCTCAAGAGAGGAAAAGGGTCTGGTGACTATTCTTGGTTGTGCTGACTCATCATTGTCGAGTGCAAGCGGAGAAAAGCCCGTTTTCGTTTGTGGACATGCGGAGTCCACGGAGCTGCGTTATGATCCATTACATGACATCGTGTGATATTTCATCTGATTCGGTGTCTCAAAAGTAAGACTGTCGAGTCAGCACAACCAAGAAAACGCTCAATAGTGGGCACGAGACTATGACTACCTGAACCCTTTGTGGCAGGGGGTGTGGCAGACAAGTCATTGGCTGGTAGTCTCAAGGAGCTCCTTACACTTTCCTTTCACTGCACCATAATCGCAAATGCATTGATACAAGCATTCATTAACCCTCGGCGTGCATGCCAGCGAGGGTTACAGTAGTTGGTTTTTCTGTCTGTCTGTCTGTCGACGCTTATTCCCATCAATTAGCGGTACCGTAGATGCGCAGTGCGCCGAGGGTTTGCACTTTCAGTGCTTTTCATTTGTCCTAGTAAGTGTGTGTTTGTGACCTGGATACTGAACATAAGGGTAGATTCTTTCAAGGGAATGCGTCAGTATTATAATATAAAAGTACAAGAATGCAATCAGCTCATATTAAATGTGTTGTTTGTAAATGGGGTTCAGGCATTTCATTGTAAAAGACCAGTGTTTTACATAACGTTATGCAGAGACCCACGCTGGGGCAGAGGTCAAGAGACACCAGGAGAAGGTATATACATACAACGTAAAATTATGTTTTAATCACAACTTCAAAGGCTATGGCATCACTGTTATGAAGGCTGATTAATTCCCACGTCCTCCTCACTCGTATACAAGAGACACAGAGGAGGAATGAGCCTGTGTCATGATAAACCTCACTTCCAGGCCTTCCCCTACTGCTAAATTTGACTGTTGCACATTATGCAAGATGCATAATTGTATATAATATGTACTGTAACGGCAAAGGCTTGGCCATAATATACACCGAGGAAAGCCATCCTAGTTAATGGAGTGAGATAAGTCAGTGCTAGAAAACGAGGTGTTCAAAACACTTTTCAAGCTGTATATCTCATACCAAGAAGCAAACTTCCCCCCAATGCGGCGACGGTGACGTGAAAATCAACGTCCATAAAACGTCCATCCCTCACTCTCAGATCCCTACCTGACATCAGCCTATGTGGAGCAGTACGTCGCTGGACTGCAGTTTGGTCCTGACCAGAGGTTTGTTCCATATTGAGATGCAACTTTCGTGGACTTTGCTATAACACTTTCTCAAAATGCATCACTGAAAGAGCTGGAGTGCTAGGCTAGTTTCCGTGGATATTGAAAATTTATTTCGTGTACTTGGGATTCACAAACTTGGGATTCACAAACTTGCTATATACCTCAATGCTAGTTATAGGCATGAATACTATTATCCACCTGGACAGGTATCTGAAGACGGTTGCTTGCTGTAAGCATTTCTCGGCCTATGGTGAGTGTCTCATTCCAAGGAAATACATCTACACAATGCATGCAGTTCTCACACCCTTCTCTAATAATCAAATTCCTTCTGTCATTATTTAAGCGCATAGATAATGCAATCTACCTCATTTGCGGGAAGGTTTCATTGGTGCATTTAATTAACCCTCGGCGCGCATGCGCAGCGAGGGTTAACTGTCTCTGTTTGTCGTCTGTCGTGTGTCTGTTACTCTCAATCTCACTTCTCGAGTGTTAGTTCGTCTCACAAAGGATACGACCTACTTAACGGGCAATGAAGGTCAGAAATTTCGAACGGTTTTCTCTGAAACTGCTCCGTTGCAAAGCTAGAGCGGGAAAAAGCTACACAACGGACGGGATGGCTTACCACTGTCGGATCGATCCGCGTCTTCTGCGTACTTCGGAGGTACCAGAAGATGCAACGCAGGGCGTGTATCGCCTCTTGCATGCTATCTAGTAGTGTAGTTAGCCCGCGTCAGACTCTGCGCGAGCTGGCAAGAGACCACGAGTAACAGCTAAAACTAAACCCAGCCCATCAATAATGTGGTACGGCGCATTCGTTTACTTACGCGTGCGCGTCACAGTGCTCCGAGGGTTCGCACACTTCAGTGCAAAAAAAACGTTTTTGCTAGTGTGCTATATACTAGGGTGGTAAAATACCACACTATGGTTGTGGAGAAATATTTCTTGCTTGTGTGCACTTCTTGGCACATCGGGTTGTTCAATTATCGATTAATGTTGATATCTACATGTCTGAGGCATTGGCAAAGAACAATCAATGCCTCACTTCACCAAACCTCTGTGGGGGACTATAAAACACAGAACAAAGGAGTGCTTATTTTAGAATGACAAGGCTGTGGCGATAAACTGCTGACTACACAATAATTGTTGGCAGCCATTCAAAGAAAGTGCATCTCAAACACATTACTTTGTGCATACACTGAAAGTGGGCTACAGAATACAGGGGGGCATACAGGGGGCCGTGTTAAAATTTTAGATAATGAGTGAGATATTACAGACTGAGTTCACTGGGTGATGGGTGTATACACAATGGTTTGGATATGGCGAGGTTAACTTCTGATCGTCGTGCCACATTGTTTGTGTGTGTGTGCAGGTGTGCGTGAGTCGCGGTAAAACACGAAATTGATGAGTCTTGCAGAAGTGGGCTGCCAAAATGTGCACGTTCCTTTATTATGATAAAAAAATTGCCAGAAAAGAGCAAATTAGCATCACTAATAATGGGTGGAGGATCTATGAAGTAAGGGGTGGTGCTTGCTGCAATATGATCTATAAGAATAGGGCTGACTGATACATACAATAGCACAGAATCAAACGAGGCGACAAAAGCTGTATACTATGAGGTGCGAGTGCTGTAGTATTTTGTTTATATAACTTGCAGGTAGATATCTATGTAGCTATAGACACGCTCAGTGTTTAGGTTAGGGTTCAATCAGTGCAGAATTGCTGAGGGGTTGCTTGTTGATCGTGGGTGGTGGGGGCGGGGTGGGGGTGTGGAGAAGTTACTGATAGAATTCACAGAGACGCTCCAAGTCGTGGTCTTCGCCATCTGTGGAGGGAGATTCCGCGGGGCCTGCCGCTTCTATTTTGTCCGATATCCCGGCACTCGCCACCTCCATCTCGTCATTGTTGTCCTTGGTCCCGCCGCCGATGGGGCGGCCCCTGATGAGACTGGCAATCTGCCTCACAGATGGGCTCTGTCCAGTGTACACGCCCTTCTTGTAGGCCTTGAGCTCTACTACGTAGCGTTCCTTGTCCTTCAGAGCCATGGATGCGAACGGCGCCCGGTCAGTAGTCGGGAGGACGTTCCACGTTTTAGCAAGACTCTGGGCCAGTTTCCCAACACCGAAATCAGGGTTGAGTGCTTTTATACCCGGCCTCTTTTCCAGGCTGTAGAACATAAACGCCGACCTGTGTGTGTAGGTGGGGGTGTGCACGCATGTAAAGAGAACATGTTGAGTGTACTGTGTATGTATGCACACAAAGCGATATATGTACACACGCCCATAGTGAAAGTGCGTGTATACTTTGCATGTGTTCCTGCAACTAAAGTACACAGTTTCATTGTGTACACACGGTCAAAACACCTTGCCCAGCAGATGTACTTATGCCGCTCACTCCTAGTCGTGCTGTATGCACTTTGAGTTAAATTTATGTAGCTCTGCATGGGCGAGTTGCAGATGGGATCATCAAACTTGGCCAGCCACATAGGCTCAGGCCGAGTGGAGACTACACATACAAACCTCTGTCTCCTCATTCACAAAACAGCCAGTCACAGTGCTAGCAACTCCAGAAATACAGCACGGCAGCTCCTAATGTACAAATGTACTACAACGACCAATGCTTGTGCAGCGTATATATATATATATATATATATATCGCCGATTGGGGTTTTGAGGCACTTATGTCTACAGTGTTGTGGGCGGAAGTCGGTATGTCTACATGATGTGATTTGTGTTTTCTCACATCAAACAACTCGCTCATCTAATACACCGACAACATGCACATCTACGGCATTCGAGGGCATCACGTCAGCAGTTTCGTTAGCTCTAACGACTATACACACTTCCATGGCGATATTTGCTACTGTATATTCCTTGTAAAACGTCTCACACTTCATGTCAGGATTGTAGTGAATATGGAGTATGAAGCCTTCTCTGAAAATGATTTCTGTACAATATTGCATTCTCCTTTCACTGGGTCGTATTATGTAAGCAGTTTAAAGGTCACAAAATGGCACTGTTCTTACTCAATAAATGCACCTTTCTATCCCAATGTCTAGACCACCTTAGACCCCACGTGCATATTGGTCGACATGCATATTCAACCAGGTCATCCCTGACCTACTCAACCAGGGATAGTTATGTACACATGTGGATTGGAGTTAGTCTCTGCACTCAGTTGACTGACTGGTTAATGTTCCGTTCATCCGTTGCCTTGTAGACTGTATATGCATCTACATAGGTTAACTGCAGCAACCCCACCATGCAAGTGTTTACCAGTGAAAATTTGTACCTGTACCTTGCCTTCCGCCACTATTTCATTTCGCCTTGTGTTGTGTGTTGTAATGTACAACTTTGAGTCTCTTGCTAGCTCAGTGGTGGAGCACTCTGTTGTCTAGCAATGCACACAAAAGCCAGGGCAGCTCGAAGTTTTGCCTGAATCTTGCCTTCACTGACACCGTGATTCTTGCTAGCAACACATGTTTGAAACAACTGTACGCAAATGTGGTCTGAATGGTGTGTGTGTGTGTGGAGGTGTCCTCACATGTTCCTGCGAGGCATGTCAGGGTCCTTCTTCCTGCGACGGTGACGAGGTGCACTCATGACCATGCCTGGCTGGCCAACACTGCCCCCAGGGACATCTGTCTTCAGGATGGCTGCAGAGTAGCCCGCCTCATACGCCTGCTTCTGCTGCTCGTACCTGCAGTGGACACACACAGGGACATGTATATACAGTTTGTATCAGCTCTTTTTTCGAGTTTTTTCTGGGTGTTATTGGGGCTTTTGCCTTTGTGTGTACACATGTGTGATGTATGATAGTCAAGTAGGAGAGGGTGTATGTATAGGTGTGAGGAGGAAACTATGAGGCTGCAATGATAAGGTGTGGTGTGTAGGGTTACACTTTATGGGCAAAAGAATTTTGGAGGAAGCCAGAATAAAAAGCAATGGTAGGTATTCCAGAAGGGGAAATAAGGATCTGCGTGCATAGTACGAGTGCTTCAGTGTCATTGCTAGTAAGTAGTACATTATCTGTGGTGGTGTGTGCGTGCATTAGCAATGGGGCACTTCTTCCTCGGGCCAAGGTTGTTTGAATGGTCGATATTCAACCTCAACCCACACACACACTCTCTCAATATCTACTACTGGCCACTGTATATACCATTCAACTATACCACAGTACTACTGGCATCTGCTCTGGAATGCCACAAGGGAAGCCAAACACTCAACCGCAACACATCGTGGCCACTTTCCCCCTGCCCCATGCAGCACTCCAGGCTTGGAAAAGGAAAGTGGAGGTTGGAGATGTAGTAAAAATAAAGGCCCACTACACTTTTTAGAATCTTCTCCTCTGGGGTTTCAGAGTGGAGTTTGGGAATTTTGCTAGTGACACTTTCACCATTGGCTAGCTTTCAACCACAAACCAACAGGGAAAAACACTTGCCTCCTTTGGCCCTAGTCCCACCACACTGCACAGCAAACACAGCTAGCCAGACTCTTTCTTATTAGAGCTTTGCAGACCCGCTCTAAACTAATTACTTGCCTGTTAGTGAAAACCACTGACATAATCTACATACTGCACATGTGAAAATAACTGGCAGTAAAGCTTCCTATGGTGTAGTGGGAAAGTTTCATGCAAGGTTTCAAAGTTACCACACACCCCCAGCCCTAGAGACATATTATTACGGTATCGTATCCCCCCAAGCTACGCCAGCACTACACATTAACAGCTCAGGTCTCAGGCCGTGGCCTATGGCGTGTGACTACAGCTTTTGAAGTGGTGGGAGATCAGCATACGATACGCGGCCCAGACACTTGCATGCAGCCGCTCACAAACAGAGGATGAATCCTTCCCAAGACAGCTCGACTTTCTCCTGAAAACAACTCGCTCCCTGACCGACACACCTATCTTTGTCGGGTTGGCCTGCAATGCCTGACTCATCACAAGCAGTTCGCAGGTGTATCGCGAGAGCAGCTTTTGGTCCGTGCACCATACATATATACCTCTGTTTGTCTTTCTCGGCGAGAAGGTCGTAGGGTTTTTTCTGTTCTGGTGTCATGAGTTTCCAGGCGGACGAGAGCTGCTTGGCGAGGGACCCAACACTGAGACTAGGATTCTCCTGTTTCAGTTTGGGCCTCTTGGCAGAGCAGAAGTGGAGGAAGGCACACCTGTGCAGGGGGCAATTGAATGTCAATCAATCAATCAATCAATAGGACGTTGTAAGTAGTTACAGTTATGTGCACAGATATGTTGTGTACACAAGTGGATAGCAGGTCCCCATGCTCAAAATACTATTATTACTGTGTGTAACAGGATCAGCATCCTGTATGTTTGGTTCAGGACCTGGTTATTTGCTAAAATTGCAGCAACTTTGTTGAACTGCATGAACGTCTGCAGGAGATCATGGGTGCACGGCTGGACCGAGTTACTACCTGTGCACGTGGACTCATGTTAACTGGCTGCGATGTACGTTTCCTGGACACCATGCTGCACAAAGAGCAGGTGCAGCTAGCAACAGGTCACATCCCATTGACCGCACGGCAACTTCTGCTAAATCGATCACAAGTAAACATGTGTCTGATGCCAGGTGCAGCTGATGAGTCCTGGCATTTGCTCTCTTTCTCCTTCCCGCTCCCCCTCCCCCCTACCCTCCCTCTCTCTTTCCCGCACATCCCCCTGGTTTTCCCTTATCATACCTACACCTGCGTTACTTACAGGAACCTCCCCCTAATTAACACTCACAAGACAAGCTTCTCATTCTGTATGCAAATCAGGCTTACTAGCGGCCAGAAACGAAGCAACTAATTGTATAAAAGGCCTCGATGGAATGTACCGAGACATCCACCTCACACAGTCTGACGCTAATCACGGACATGGCTACATTTGAATTTTGGTAGCATGTCGTGTCTCAATTCACCAAACGACTCATTTCCAGGTGCCACTTGACTGCCTACACACATCTGCTCCGGAGAGCCTCCGCATTTACCGTTTGAATGCTAATTGACTGTGGCAGACAAAGACCGGCCATTGAGTTGGTGGGCTGCCCATGTACAGCTCTCCATTCACCCATTCATCCACTAACAATCCCGGAACACTGCTACCTTTGTGCGGCCCTTTCTATGTACCGTGACTCCGCCACACTGTGTGTGTATGTATACGCTGTATCTATGGTGAGCATGTGTATGTGAGAGGTATAATTCGCTGCGTGTGGTGCCGCTAATTCTCCCGATGCTGCCCCGAGCCAGTTACGTGTGCAGATGAGGCACTGAAAATATTTTTGCTGAGCCTGGGAAAGAATGTGGACCCTGACCATTCACAGGGAGTGCACGGAGAACTGAGCTAACCCAGGGACAGAGAAACAAGGGAAGACATGTTTTGGCAGACGAGACAGACATCAAACTAATCCCACTGCCAGTGGTGTTTGTTGCCACGCGGGGTCTTTTGACGCGCTCTGCTGCGTCTGACACCGCAGCATTTGTCTCTGCACCTCTCTTTGAAGAGGGCGACAATAAAAATCTGCACATTCTCCTTTGATCTACCAGCCAGCCCTATTCCATTGACTTCATCCCTAGGCCACCTCCCTATGGCTATTCATGTCTTATGCAGGGAGAGAACAAAGTCAGAAAACCATTATCAATCCTAAGTACCTAACTGTGTGTGGTGTAGCAAGGCCTTGTACACCATAGACTTTGCTTGACAGGAGTCTAATACACTGCCTCCCTACCGGTAGTATTACAGCTGCATGTTATTAAGGGGACTACGAGCAATGATGTAGAGGTACATTTGCCTTCCACTCTAGAAATGACAGGTCATTGATATGTACACGGAAAAGGGGTGTTTGCATAGAGCTACGAACAAGACGGTTACACACCACTTCCAGCAGCTTGTACAGCGTGTGTGTGTCTAACTGCAGGGCATGTGTGTGTACAAATTAGCACCGGCGGATCAGTTGCGTTATCACACCACAATTTGTGTGGCACTAGGTGTTGTCAATAGGTAATAGGACTTTGCCCGACCTCCCAACACAACACGGCAGACATAGACACCATGTACACACCTCTTTTCAACCTGCCACCAGCAATCCCAGAGGAATCATTGGCAAATGTCAATAAAGAACTGACTTAGCACGAGTGTAGAAGTATGACTATTGGACACCTTACACTCTCCAGACACAGGTTTACAGCACTGACCAGTCCAGGAGAGAACAGTGGGTACTATGGTTTACAGCACTGACCAGTCCAGGAGAGAACAGTGGGTACTATGGTTTACAGCACTGACCAGTCCAGGAGAGAACAGTGGGTACTATGGTTTACAGCACTGACCAGTCCAGGAGAGAACAGTGGGTACTATGGTTTACAGCACTGACCAGTCCAGGAGAGAACAGTGGGTACTATGGTTTACAGCACTGACCAGTCCAGGAGAGAACAGTGGGTACTATGGTTTACAGCACTGACCAGTCCAGGAGAGAACAGTGGGTACTATGGTTTACAGCACTGACCAGTCCAGGAGAGAACAGTGGGTACTATGGTTTACAGCACTGACCAGTCCAGGAGAGAACAGTGCGGTACTATGGTTACAGGCACTGGACCAGTCCAGGGAGAACAGTGGGTACTATGGTTTACAGCACTGGACCAGTCCAGGAGAGAACAGTGGGTACTATGGTTTACAGCACTGCACCAGTCCAGGAGAGAACAGTGGGTACTATGGTTTACAGCACTGACCAGTCCAGGAGAGAAACAGTGGGTACTATGGTTTACAGCACTGACCAGTCCAGGAGAGAACAGTGGGTACTATGGTTTACAGCACTGACCAGTCCAGGAGAGAACAGTGGGTACTATGGTTTACAGCACTGACCAGTCCAGGAGAGAACAGTGGGTACTATGGTTTACAGCACTGACCCAGTCCAGGAGAGAACAGTGGGTACTATGGTTTACAGCACTGACCAGTCCAGGAGAGAACAGTGGGTACTATGGGAAACCAGCCTGCCACCTACATACTAGTAGCATGCTTTATGCATTCAAAATAGGAAGAACCGGTGCAGCCTCTGGTTTGCTACCTACAATAGCATGCCTGTGCAGGTATGAAAGGGGTCACTCAGTTTCAAACATACCCGAGTGTGGAGAATCCCCGAGCAACAACTCCACCTGGCTTGAACAGGCACCAGCACAATAAGCTTTAGAGTCACCAAAGCTACTGAAACTGGAAAGTCTTCTAGCTATGTATGTATATACAATACCTTTGGAAGTCCTATGACTCCAGCAAAACTAATTTTTCTAGCTAGTTAGACTCCTTAGTGGTCTGAACAGCTGGTCCTTTTGTTGTACTACCTCCACTTTACTTCATTACCAAAATAGGTCAACAATGTTTATCAGGGAAAACTCTGATCATATTATCCAAGGTGGGGGGAACATACCTCTCCTAGATGAATGTGGATTCTGCAGCAGGACTTGACACGATTTTACTTTCCCTACAAACAAAACTCCTATATATTTCCCCATCACACACCTCACACTCCCCCACTACACCTCACACTCCCTCCACACTTCCCACATTCCCCTAACACTCCCCCCACTTCTCACACACATTACACTTACCCACTACACACACACACACACCCTCCCTCTCCACCATACCCCGTCCCTCTACTGACATGTTCCTCTTGGGCTGCCCTGGCTCCTTCTTCCTGCGGCCCCGGCGAGATCCCCCCTTGGAGGCCCCCTTCCCATAGTCCCCCATGACCTCCCGCCTGTAGCGCTCCCTGTCCTCCTCTGCCAGCTTCTGGTACTTCTGCTTCTCCTCCTCGCTTATCACCTGCGGGAGAAGAGAGGAGATGGAGGAAGGGAAGGAGGGAGGGAGAGAGGAGAGTGAACCTGGTGTGAGAGCTGCTTTGGTGTGTTTGCTTACCTGCTAATGCAGACACTAACACATCTTTTGCAGGACATTATCAAACATCACAAGACCCATGGAGCATTTCAACATAACAGTGTCAGGCACTCTAATGCGTTGGTGATGGCATACCAAACATGTAGGTGGACCGCACCCTAACAGATCTGTATGTACATGGCCCCACCTTCCACAGGGAGGAACACTCCTTTGAGAAGGCTGTGAACTGGACGGGGACTCCCTGCTGCCGATAGTACTCCCTGCGCTCCTGGACAAAGAAGGCATAGGGGGTCATTCGGCCGCGGATGCGTGGCCGCTCGCTGGTAGGAGTGGGTATGATCATGTTGGCCCTCTCCTGCTGGATAAACGACTCTATGGCATCCAGAGTGGAGCCTGTGAGTGGGAGAGGGAGTGGGAGTGGGAGAGGCATGGTTTTATTTACAGTGAAACCTCTGAAAGGTCCTTCCAAATATAGGTAACTTGGTTCTGCCCCGCACAATAACACTTCTCAATAAGTGACGTCTCTGAATGAAAGACACTTTCGATCCAGATTTAACTGTATAGCTTTAACAGCAGACGTGGTTATAATAAATGCTGGCCTGAATACTTGCAATATCTTCACTCATGCCAAGGAATTTGTTTTTCTTAGGAGGCCACTTTTTATTGAGTTGTGAGAGGCTGCGGTGCCGGAAAGATTTTTGTAAAAAGAACTTGTGGCTCTTGGATAGGGATGGCACACTTTATTGCAGGGTTGAGAGGTTGCCAGAATCTTGCAGAGCCTGAAATACCAATCTTACCACACCAGCCTATCCCACGCGGAAATTCTTGCACAATTCTGTTAATTTTTTCCTAACTCTAAAATTGGCCCGAAAAGGCAGAACTTGGACGGTATCCATGCTGCAATACCACACATACATACATGCATGCACAGGAGCCAGAGAGCACACCGCGGTGACAGTGTACACAAACAACTATGTCTATATTTCTATTCACATGCCTAAGTGTGGGTCAACCAAAGCCATACCGGGAGTTTAGTTAATTCCCCACTGTATTTATTTTTATTTCACTTCTTGCCAGCTAGATGGATACCAGTCACATAACTGAAGTATACATACAGGTGTATAATAATACAGAGACTATAGAATATGCACACTGGTATTTGCTTAGGCGGTACAAGGTGCCTGGTATACACAGCTCTGAGAATAGTGTATACACAGGCTAATCACATATTGTACACTACAATAACTGAATAAGCACACTACAACAGAGGACAAGCCACCTCAGAGGGCACACTCAAAACTTGAATGCCCCAACGTCCCTCCCTCTTCTTTTCAGCTCCCTTCTCCCCTACCTCAGCGCCTTGCCCGCATGTGCCACATGGTCCTCTGTTTACTACCTGAGGGAGCCTTGGTGGGGAGGTCTCTGAAAGGGGATACTCTTCTGTGTACATGTACTGCATGCAGAACCTGGAGCCCTAGCTGTTGTCAAAACTCTGCCCCCTTACTGCATGCTATACTAGAGGTGGAGTAGTTTCTCCTTCAGAAAGTTGGCCTGAGAAAAAATAGTTATGGAAGCTAGACTTTTACTTCTAAATGCTACTGATAGCTGCTGCACATGCACCCCCTAACTTTGGTCTTCAACTCAACTACTGACATATTTAAGGCACTTTGTGGCTGTCAATGCACGGCCCAAGAATGCCCAAGTCCACAGTGAACATAAGCATGGCCCAGGAGAAAACATCTCCCTGTCACTGGGAATACAAACCACAAACACTGTCCCACAGTTAGAACAGCCTGACAACCACCAGACATGTCAGTGTAACACAGCTCCTCTCCTTGCGCCCGTGCAGTGGCCCAGTGTGTACTGGTACACAAGCTACAGTGTGGGGCCAATTAAGACACGGTAATGGGTTGGGTTACAGAGGACGGCTTTGATTCTCCTATCGCTGCCACGGGGTCGGCTAGAATTACATTCCTGGCAGAGGGCTCACTTGCTAGTGTGGCAACACAGAGGTGGGGGCGGCCTACTGATACATCTCAGAGTGCACGTGTCCACTTACCAGAGGAGAGTGGAAATGGACGGAAAGGAAAACTGGCCACACAAACAAGACCTCTTGTACACACAACGACAGGCATGCTTTGTATGTACATACAGTTCAAGTGCATGCATTGTACATATATCGGTCGCCATGTTGGTGAAAGAGCATTCGTGCATCGATAACTGGCCCATTGAGAGAGCAAAATATATAGAGACCAGATGACTAGCCTGCTATATAGCAGGCAGTGTTCCACAGACCTCAGTGCAGTGTGCTTACATCTACAGTATATGCACCCACATTTCTGGAGATCCAGAGTATGTACTACCTATGTAGTACTACCCACATATAAATGTACACAGAGAGCCCTTGGGGAGTCTTATCAGTCAGCAGCCATATAAGGCCATGCACTCTAGCGACCACAACACAGTCCTTGGAGGGCTATTTCTCATTTGCCAGAATGTGTATTAAACAACAGAGCAGAAAGGCAGTAGTCATGCCTCACTGGCTAAATCCACTATAGCCCCCCATGGTTTTGAAGGGGTCATGGGATTGGCCTGAGGTTATGCAGACTAACAGAGCACACACCATTTTGCCCTCTGACATCCAGTGGAATTGTTGTACATTAGGTCATGGATACTTTACTACGTGTGTTCCTTTACCCAGTGCAAATCAATCTAGAGATTTTAATGATTGTGACTGACTACTATCACACAGGTTATGAATGGCACACTGTACAAAATTCGATGTTTTTTACTTGGGGTTTTACAGGCATGCAACGAATGTTTTACTAGTACGATAATGTTGCAAGTGAGATGGGGCAAAAACCATCCCAAAGAAGAGAGGGCAGAGAACACAAAAGAAGAGTGGTGCATTAGAGGGCGCTTATTAAATTTCAGTGTTTGCATGTGTTTGTGTGACTGGATCACCACAAAAAACAGGTTAGCAGTGACTGCACAGTCGGTATGTACTTGCCACAATCACCAATGTGTAAACTGCTCTACAGTACAGTGTCAACCCCCCACACACTCACACAAGCTTATTATTTCTACAAGAAAAAGTACAGTACAGCTGCCTTGGTCGCGGACTATACAACACTGTACACATAGCCTCGAAACCAGGCCTTCTGCCTCCTCCACGCACGCATGCTCCGTACGTTATTATTCACGTGGGAGTTTTTTCGGAGGCCGAAGGCCTGGACGATTTTATCACGTGATGCGTGCCGCGACCGTCATTTTACATCAAAAAGCTGTTTCGGATTCTGTGACGTAAGGCTAACTGCTTTGCTAAAATTCTTGCGTAGCCACACCCTCTCGAACTAAACGTCATCCTACGTAGGTCGCGGCACACATCACGTGATAAAATCGTCCGGGCCTTCTGCCTCCGAAAATATCCCACGCGTTATAATAACGTACGGAGCATGCGAGCATGGAGGAGGCAGAAGGCCCGGTTTCGAGGCTACCGTACACACACACACCCTCACCAAACCACATACAGCACGTATAGGCCAAGTGCAGACAGAGCCACTTAATTTTGAGCATAGCTAATACAGCGGAGCGTGTAGGAGGCCACACCACATGCACATAGCTCCATACCACAGAATTGGGAGTGGTCCCATCTACCACTTGTAGAGTACGCTAACACCTGCCCTTAAAATTAATATCGCAAGTGAGTTTTCGGACGAAAATAAGAAAGAAGTGGGACCACATTCTAAACAAGATGTAGTCCCATGTAGTAGTCAGTTTCACTGAATGACTTTCTGTCACAGGTGAATGTGTCAGTGCAAGGAATACACACATGCATGTACATACGCCACCTCTGGTGAATAGTTGCTGGACACTATGTCCATTGCAAGTTGAAAGAACAGCCTCGTACACATGGACATGTCTCGATACTCGTGTTGTGACTGTTGTACTGTACACTGGCATTAGCACAGCACTCTTGTGCGGACACGAATGTTGCGACAGTAGGACGTAGCAATTTAGTAGACAGTTAAAGAGAGAACAAATCTCTTGTGTACGCACCGGGTTAAATGTCCCATGCAGAAACCCAACCTGTCATCTCTCAAGTGAAACACGGGAGTCGACAGCAAAACACAAACTTCATTTTAGGAGGGGGCTGTGCAATAAACACCCAACATTTTTTTCTACCATTATAATTATTATTTACAATTCACTCCTTACATTTTTTCTCTTTGTTCATGCATTGGCATGTGGCGATCACTTTACCCGTGATTTTCAGTGTACTGCTCCAAGCAGTCTCAGTACTACAAGATGAAAGCCCACCCCAAAAGTCTGCACATTCTAACACTTCAGCCCACCAAATTTCACACATTACCCCTCGCAACCACACACATAATTTGCGCAGTGTATCTTGGCGGATAATTGGAGAGAGCTGTGCTTTGTTTGTTTGCCCTCTTCAGGTCAGCACCACCCCAGAATGCCCAGAACCAGAGTTGTAGTTTTACAGAGTAGCATGCAGTTTGCACACACAGTACAGCACAATACTGTATGGATACAATGCTACCTGCGCTCCTCTGCACAAGCTAGCTGGCTGGCTGGCAGCCTGTTTGCAGCTACAAAAGATGCATTATTCTGTCCCCTGAACGCGCAGAGCTATAGAAAAGCAATGGTGAGTCTTTCCACGCACGACTTGCTTCCCCCAACACTTCGGAGCTGCTCAAAGCCCCCAAGCCAACAAAAGGCTTGTAACGTGTCTCGTCTGAGAATGACAACCCTTGCGCCGTTTGCGCGCAAGCAGGGCTGCAGTACTACGGGACTCACCAGTGGCTGAGGCTGACGGGTGGTCCTGGCCGTGGCTGTGGCTATGAGAGGGAGCACTCGGAGGTGGCGGTGGAGGCTGGTGAGGGTGCGGAGTCCCCTGATGGGAGCCCATGCTCGGCGGTCCAGGCGGCGGCATCCCGTGGCCCGGCGTGTGCGGAGGAGCGTGGCTGTGGCCGTGAGCTCCGTGGCCGTGGGCTCCGTGCCCTTGCCCGTGGGCTCCATGCCCGTGGCTGTGTCCATGCCCGGGGTGAGCGGCGTCTCTGGCGACGTGTCCGCCATCGGCCAGGGATTGCATGTTGACCGGGGCATAGCTGAAAGTGATTCTCGGGGCTAGGCTAGGACCCGCCACCCCGGGTACAGATACTAGGTCCATACTAGACCAATACTACAATGCTCTCAGTACGTGGTTGCTGGCTGCACGGATCTCGATATACTTTCAGTACTGCGAAATAATACACTGTACAAGAGCTCATATAGAAACACCCAGAATGGAATCCGCCTTATTGAGAGCTCAATTATCTGGTACACCACGTGATGTATTTCCGCTATGTTCACGCATGCGCATGGCACTTGGTGAAGAAATTCTCTCTCCGACATGACACACACACAATGAATGCAGACCTAGAGAACTGGAATGGAACTGACAGATTCCACTTCAACGCCATTGTATCTGACCAAGATTTTGCTGAGGTATAAATATTGATATGCTCATGACACTTTGATTTTTATCCTATCACAACAGACATATTTCCCTGCGTTTGAGTCATGTGTGCGAGTGGGTAAAGTGTCCAGTATCATGTGCAGCTACAACGCAGTCAACGGTGTCCCGAGCTGTGCCAACAATGTCATCCAGAACCAGATTGTACGGAATGAATGGGACTTTAGTGGATTCATTGTGAGTCGGTCTGCACCTTGGAATGAATTCCATTGTGACTAATTGACTATTAATTGATTGAGACAGTTGCTGGTAACTTTCCTATTATGCGTAGTGAAAAGCGTTTTAACATTATATTATGGTGACATGTTGCAAAGACTGCCGTTGCCCTAAGCTGTTCCCATACTCAGCTGTGTGTGTGTGAGTACACACACGTACTACATGTGATGCATGTTCATAAATAGACATTGGTGTGCATACAGTGTGCGAGCACTCAAGATGCTGAGCAACGGGATAATGACCCAGCCTATAGTTGGACCTCATCTGGGGCCATTATGCCAGATATTAGCTTGGCTCACACTCTGTACCAACCCACTGCGTAAGGTTATAATACCATCTTCATACGTACATAGAGAATTTCACGTGTGGTGTAGAGCACATACTACTTGTGTCAGAAAAGGGATTCGTGGGTGCTCGATGCAAATCCCACTCCTACACATTATGGGAGATCAATAGTGCCGTAGCTTGGCTTACAGTATATTTGGGACTAACTTATAACAATGACAAACAATAGGCAGTAAAAGACATGGCAGTGGCAGAAGGAGGGTATGGGCTTTCATTCATTCATATGCGTCCCTCAGTGCCTAGATACTAGGTTACTGGTCGCTACCTAGATTTGACCCTGGAGTGTTTCCCCCTTCTTAATACAGTTGGTGAATGTGTAGCAAGGCTTTCATGACAAAATGTCACGAAATTTATGAAATTGTGATTTGTGGCAGTGCCACAAAATGTTTGTTGTGTGGTGATGGTTGACTGCAATTGCATGTTGCTTTTATTTATCCCTGTATACCAGGTCAGTGACTGTGGAGCAATAAACACCATCATGGCTGATCACCAGTAAGTTCTTCAACATGAGAATTATGTACTGCATACCAATCCTGACCAGGTTTGCATGCAAGGTGGGTGGGGGGGGTGACTTTTGGGGGACTCAAGGTGGAGGGGAAATTCCCAGTGCCCTCCTTCCGTATGCAACCCTGTCAAATTAGTTTTTAGATTTGAAGATATCTGCACACATTTGTCAATGAAATCTGGTATGAAACAAGCAACCCACAAATTTTCTTACTGAATAATTTCTTCATCATTGGATTACAAGCCACGTGATAATTATAACTTCTACTAAACCAAGCAAATATTCTGTAGATGCCCAATATTCATTGTTAATGTGTATTCCGCTGTTTCCTTCTCCAGCTATACCAACACCACAGAGGAGACTGTTCAGGTTGCCCTGCGAGCTGGGACCAACCTCAACTGTGGAGGCTTCTACCAGAAATATGCAATGGTAAAAAATGCCACGGCAATTATATGTACTTTTCTTAGTTGACCTGAGGGATGACAGATGGTCGGGAAAGAGAAAGAACCAACTGCTGTCACGAGTCAAACTCTGGCATCATGACTAGAATTCTACTATGCACTAAACTCTTTCTCCCAAGAGAAGTTGGTTATTTCTCCTTCCCTCCTGGCCTGTGTATTCGGTGTATGCCTCTTGCATGGGAGGTCAGGGCTCAATTATGTGTGTGGGCATGTGTTGAGTGGGTGTACAAAAGTTGCTGTGCCCACTAGGAGATTGGTAAGGTGATATGATTAGCTAGCTGTCCTGTTCGTTAGTGCTGTTTGGTAGGAATGTCACTTCCCTGTTTAAGGTTTCGAGCACCGCACTCCAGTGGAGGGATACTTACAGCTTCCAATTATGCTAGGTTAGAAAAATGGATTGCATTAGGTGATCATTTGGGAGGGAGGGATGACTACGTTAGAGTTTGAGGGAAAGGGAAAACTAGTATTATATTTCCTGGGAGTGGTATATAGAGTGCTATATAGCTCACTTCGAGTACTCTTTGACTTTTAGTCACTGTAATAGTTACCCCCTGCCGCTTTGCCTGAGTTCACCCCTGTTATTATGTCTCGTCTGACCTCACACGATGACTACTGCTGTGTGTGGATAGCTCTCGTTGTGCAAATGTATCACACACAAACATTCTCAGACAACTCGTAATGAGTTTCTGATTATTGTCGAGACTGCATCCACCTATTCTATTGCCTGTTGCTGTTGCCATATTTGGCAGTTCTCGCATGAGGGCCACATACCTAGCCACCTGCCCAGTCTCGTCCCTGTCCAGGAGTGAACCTATTAGGAAAACCAGGAGCAGTGATGCAAGAATTTCCGGTGAATTTCCCTTGGACCGACGTTGGCTTGTGTTGTCCTGCGTTATGGCAGCGGTGGACTGGAGTAGATGTGGACGCACTATTCACTGCATGCCACAGTCGGCCACAGAATGAGATACGATTCTGGCATTATTATTGTCCTCCATTGTGCATACATACCTCACTGCCCCTGTTGGTAGACTGTCATTGGGTTGCGAGGTCCCTGAACAGAAGTCTGTAATGCAGGGAAGAGGGTGGGGTTCAGGGTACCCGCCCTGTTCTCCAGCCCTGCAGTTGTGGGCACCTTCTCTCAGCAGTTTATCAATATCTCCTGCACACCTCTGTGTAAACGGTTCAGTTAGACGTTAGATTTACTGTACACATATCATAAGTGTGAGATAAAATCACTCTCTCCCTCCCTATTTCTCCCACCTTTGTCTCTCCATCTCCCTCCTCTTTCTTCTCTCTCCTTCCTTCCTCTTTCCATCTCCCTTTTCCCCCCCTCTCTCTCTCTTGCCCCCCTCTCCCCCTTGTCCCCCCTCTCTCCCTTGTCCCCCCCTCTCTCCTTTTTCTCCTTCCCTTCCCGCTCTATTTCTCTCCCTCTCTCCTCCCTCACTCCTCCTCAGGAAGCGTATAACAAGAGCTACATCACGGAGGCAGATCTGGCCAATGCAGTAGGTCCCCTGTTTGGGCAAAGGTGAGTCCGTCATTTGTCTCCTAATCTTGTTATCCGGTGAATATTGAGTTGGCAATCGATTTCCCACGTTCTTCTGCTACATTTGTCCTGAAAAAATGCATAATGTGTTTAGTGGTGCCAATAATATTCGTAGGTGCCAGGCGGTTTAATTTTTCAAGCACTCTACAGCACCACTTGTAGCGCAAGTATAAACCCACACAGCATCAAGAACATATTTTAGTTTATGACACATTGATCAGACTCTGATAGGCTGATAAAAGAATTATGGGTCTTATTGAGAATGAGAGTGAAATTGTGTGACATAATGCTGCGCAACCGGGGTCATACCTACATACATGTACTCTGTAAGTGCATATGCACTATTACTTGGTGATTCATGGCAGGGTCCAACAAATTTGTGTAAGGCTCTTTTGGCACAGAGTCTAACTTGCGAGGCACTGCATGTTGTGTGATTGAAACTATTCTGTCATGAGCTTAGAACATGTGTGTCACATGTATATACTGTCCAGGCCTGCTGCACCACTGCACAAACTCACTCACGTATGTGTAGGTTATTATGGTGACAGTATGAAGACTATACCTGGGTACAGCAGCTGTGTACTATATATACACACATGCCAGGGCTGTGTACTGTCTGTCTTTGTATTCCAAAGCATAAACATAATAGTGAGGCGTGCATGCCAGGGATTCCTGTGGTTCCATAGCAGCCACCCACCTCCCCTGGTGGTGTATGTATGATGGAGGGTATGACATACTGAGCTGGAGTTATAGTCTCATGCCCAGACCCCGCCCTCTCTCGAGGAAAAGGCGGGGTCTGGGCATGAGACTAAGCTTGAGTAGCCTCGTCCCCAGGCTCTTCCCCTCCTCCATACGCGCAGTGGACATAATTGCTTGTGACCTTTGACCCCCTTGAAATTCATGTGTAGCGTCACTCGCAGAATCTTGTCCACGCGATGGAGGGAGAGCCATGCTGTCGGTCCTACATACATCCCAGACAGCACCCTCACTCACTCTCTTTCATCAGCGACACTCTGCAGTTCCCCTGACACAATCTGAGACTGGGACTGTTGTACGCTGCAGGATTACCCTAACCTATCTTAACTCCGAAGCATCTAAACTAAAACGTTTAATGAGGTGAAGCAGAGAACCCTCCCACAGCTAACTCTCTACCTGTAGGACTGTGAAGTGATAGTCTACAGACCTTCCACTGGAGCCTTGTACCATGCACACGTACTAACATTGTCATTTGCACCATGTCCACATGTATGCATACACACACCTATAATTATAAAATGCCTATACATCCATTTGTGATTGTGCAGCATATATAGTCTCTCAGTATCTAGTTAACCTGGAAGTAATGAATTTGGTATGAAACCTCTGAAAAAGGACTCTTGTCACCTCTGTTTAAACTAATATGTACCTCTCAATAAGGGGACGTCTATGTAATTTTGATGTCCCCAAGGTGCCCCCAACAATATTTAGATGTTTTACTGTATTATACACTGTTGTCGTCATCAGCACTATTACTGGGGGTCTGAACATGATGCAACCGCAAAATGATCGTTGGGTGTTGCGCAAAGCACACAAACGGACCTGAAACTCATTGCAGGTATGTCTGGTTGGCAGCAGCCAAGCCAGCCATCAGAGCTCGGTAATTCCAATTACAAGCGGTTAGAATCCAGGGCGCCTTCAGCCAAGGCTACCTAGCTGTGTAGCCATATACAGTAAGACGTGCACCACTAGCTGCCTTGTGTGTGTAAACATACCGTACTGCCAACTATGTGTCGACATATTCATGCGACATATTTATCATGCGAAAAACGATATTTTTGGGGTTAGTTGGTGGTGTTTACATGCACTGCAAGTCTTTTTATGTTCGCCGATGGAAATCGAGTCATTGTGGGAAGGAATGTGAGTGGGTAAAAGGCCGAGTCTAGTTGCGTCATGTTTTACACTGCACTACGCTTATTGCTGGGCATTTGCTTGCAGAAATGTGTGAACTCCATTTGTTTTTGGTACTGTATCTTGTATAGCTAATCAAGAAAGTCACAGGCACTCGTCCACGGTAGTTCCCATATAATCTCACAGGCATAAACGTGTGCAATTAGCTAAAGGCATAAAGTCACAGTGCAGTCAGGGTAGTATCTTTTGTCAGAGGCTGTCTCTCAAACTCCTACTCTGCTTCTCACTGAAGCTCCATCTTTATTGTGAGATAGTCATCAGCTGTATATACAAATCAGATCATGAGTGATTCAAGCTGTGTGGCACACATGGCAGTGTGTTTTAACAGGCAAAATTGCTGGCACATCAACTGCATGTTGTTATCGTCCTCCAGGATGGCTCTGGGGATGTTTGACCCCACCCACCTCCAGCCCTACCTCAACATCTCCACCGACCAGATTAACTCTCCTGCTCATCAAGTGAGTTAACCCCCCTCGTTAGCAATTTATAAGGCCTGGACATGAGATTTTCACTCCATAATCCCTATCTCTCCATTTCCCACCCGCCTGTCTTTTCCTTCTCTCTTCCCCTCCCTACCTCCCCTTCCCTCCTCCCCCTCCCCTCCCCCCTCTCTTATGCAGGCTCTAGCTCTGGATGCAGCCAGGGAAAGTATTGTCCTGCTTCAGAATGATGGTGAGCTATTGTGAGCCTGTGACTGATCTTGTCTCTTTCATAGCATCAGAACATCATCCTCTTCACTGTGGGCTTGTAGTACGCACGTACATGACACCAAGAATTAACATATGAAGGATCCCTAGGACACATATGAGTTACGTACCTCTCATAAGGGAATGCTTTCCCCCTCCTAAAGAGCTTCTTTTAACATGGGAAGTTATATGAGCACTAGGAAGGGCTTACCACAACCACACTATTGATTGGTAGAAGCATGCCCTAGGCGCAACGTCGTTGCAAGGAATTTTGATTAGATTTTTGGATTTACATGTGCAGTTGTTAAGCTACTCACATACGTACACCTCTGCTACTAACTATAGCCTGCATGTATACGTGCTGTGGAATTCATCAACCGTCAACTTTACATTATTCCATTGACTCGGTATACTAGGAATCTTACTCAAGTATGCATAGATCATCTACTGCACTGGTTCAAATTCGTATAGGTACACTTAGTGGTTTTTCTACTTTAATGGTGTGCGCATAATCACTACAAGCAAGCCTACGTATCACGCAGCACCTCTTCATCTGAAGAGGGTAGTTGTGGTGGGTGTAGGGTCCCCTGCACCAATTTATTAAGGGGTTACAATTACCCGGGATACAAAAATGACTGTCCGGTGTACGTATGTGTATCGTCTCCCTATTATACTGGTGGGTGAGTGTTTGACTGTTACTGTGACTGTGTGTGTGTGTGACTGTGTGTGTTGACTGTTGTACATAGGTTCTCTCCCTCTGTCTGCCGAGTCCAGTCTGAAAGTGGCAGTGATTGGCCCAAATTCAAACGCCACAGAAACCATGCAAGGAAACTACCACGTCAGTCCACTCACCCCCCCTCCCACACACACACACACACACACACTGCTCTATCATAGCAGCCTTCTTCAGTAAGAGTGCAGAACACACTAACCCCTTTAATAATGTGTAAATATTAATTCAACGACGAATTATTGATACATGTGGAGTTTGGACAGTAGTATATAAGAGTAGCTATATGTTTTGCAGGTGTACATGCACGACCTTACCTGCACATCTGTCTCTCTTTTCAGGGAGTTGCCCCCTACCTAATTAGTCCACTAATGGGGATACAGGATGCGGGAGTGACGTCGTCCTGGGCCTTTGGCTGTGACGTGGCGTGCTCAGACAGTGGTGGGTTCGCTGAGGCAGTGACGATAGCCAAAGGTGCAGACGTTGTGATTGTGGTGATGGGCCTGGACCACGGACAGGAAAGGTGGGACCCTGGTTGATATGGATGTAATTGGCTACATACCGTTCCACAGTACCAAATACATGTATCGTGTCATGGTAATGTAATTATACCCCTCACATGTACCTGTACATGTTTTTCCACAATGTTTTAAAGAAGGTGGAGTTTACTTTCTGCGATAGGTTTAGATGCACATAATTATGCACATAATACCTATGCACAGTGTAATTACGTTTCATACTAACATAATTATGTTGACTGTTATGTAAGAGGAAAGGTGCAGTTACATACTGTGGTGTACAGTGCAACATCAGGGGTGGTAGAGAGAGAGTTGTAAAAAGGGAGAGAGAGGGCCATCGTGGAAGGGAGATAAATATAGGAGTGAAAGAGATGATATCAAAGAAGGGAAGAGAGAGGAGATCCTGATTATGCGGTTGTGCTGTTCATGGATATCGACTAAGAAGTAAGATGAAACGGTAACTGTTGTTTGTGGTCCCATATGCAGGGAGGGTCATGACAGGAATGTGATCACTCTGCCAGGCATGCAGCTGGACCTGATGCAGGAGGTGCGGGAGGCAATTGGGGGCCGGCCCCTGGTCCTGGTCCTCATGTCTGGCGGTCCTGTCGACATCTCCTGGGCCAAGGTCAGCACATGTAGCTATACATACTCTACTGCTTACAGATTTAACTGAATGATCGTGGAAGATTTGATATGTAAACTGAGCAGCTCACACTTTTAAGAAGTAGGGAGAGGGGGGCTTTTAAGGGCTTCATGCATGGCCTTAATCAAAACACAGACACACAACACATACACACAAGGCACATACATACACAAAGAGACTATCTCCTGGCCCACAATGGTAGGAGCAAAACGTATGAACGAGAGAAGAACTGGATGTAAGAGGTTATACGTAGGTATACTGGTGGTCCACCCACTAAACCCAGAAATTAAGAAATGCCTTTCCTTCTCTCCGTTCTTCCTCTCCTTCACTTTCTTGTCTTGCCTCCTGTTCTACACACTCCCTCTTGCACTTTTCACCAAACTCTCCTTCCGTCCCCTGATCTCCAACAGTCTAATGCCAACGCCATACTGTGGACTGGCTACCCAGGTCAGTCAGGAGGGAAGGCCATTGCTGATGTCATCTTTGGCAAGTTCAACCCCTCAGGAAGACTCCCTGTCACTTACGTACGTATGTGAGCATGTTATTATCCTCACTAGTATGACGAGATTGTTAGTGAATAGCTTTACCGGGAATGGGAATGAACAACAGGACTCGTGCAGGAATGCTTCCATTATCTGTAACAGTTTCTAAATATGTATAATATGCTACATTCCCCTAACGTCTGAGGTATTGTTTCGTGGAAGTATTGGTCAACAACGACATTGACAATGTGGAGGGAGAAAAAGGTTGCAATTGTGTGTTATAATAACAGGGGCATCCCAATATCATGTATGTGTGTTAGTTGCTGCTGCTTGTTCTGTGTGTGTGTCCAGTATCCAGGAGACTATGTGAACCAGATCTCATTCTTCAACATGAGTATGAGGGACCCACCTGGGAGGACATACAAGTTCTATACCGGGACTCCAGTCTTTGAGTTTGGCCACGGACTCAGCTACATTTTTAAGTTAACAGGGAAAAAGCAAGTAGACAGGTAGAGGATGGACAGCAGTGGTGCACCTGTAAGGCTAGGAGTGCGAGAGTGGGGGTTTAAAATCTGGGTGATGGAATGTTTGAGAGGGTTAAATGGGACATATGTTGGGTAGGGAATGACGAAGGGAGGTGGAAATGCGGTGTGGGGGGATATGGGTGTTTGTGTAAATTTGGACGTTTTTCTTTCGGTGTTTTTTGACTTGTTTTTTAATGTAATGGTTTGTTTTTTGTACACTTTTTTAAAAAATTTTCTCATTCGTCTGCGTGAGACAACCAACCTTTTAATCACGCACGCCAGGGGTTAACCCACAAAAGCAATGTTTGCCGTTTCAAACCATGAAGTTTGCTTCGTGGTGTTCTCGTTACCCAGCTGACCAGTGGTCACAAAATGAGAAGACATGCAGACATGAAACGTACTTGGTCAGGTGACAACGTATTCTGGCACAGTGTACACAGACTATCAGACATTAGGGTTGAGTTTTCAATGTCAAATTACTTGCTTCGTGGTGTGACATTTCTTTCTCGTTACCCTGACCAGTGGTCACGTGCAGACATGAAACCCAAGCTGTAGCTCAATTCAACATGGTACATATCTTGCAGTTTTCAGAAACATTACTCTGCCAAGTGCGCTGTCAACATTGACACACAGTACAAGAAAGATACACACGTATGTATGTAGGCATTGTGTGTGTATGATATATTAGATAGTGCCTGAAGGGACATTATCTATGAGGGCCATGGATGAGCTAGTGCTTTATGCATCTCCTTCTCGCGTGTATGTTTAGGAGTGAGCTTCGGAAGGCTCTACTGATGAGGGGCTGACCCTGTCCTGTCAGAGCTGATTGAGAGAGGTCAGGTTGACTACAGAGTGGAGGTGACCAACACAGGGAAGATGGGAGGTGGAGTTTCTGCCCTCGCCTTCGTCTCCCCCGAGGTCAGTGTTTACATGTATACATAGTACACTGGCACAAAGCTCATTGTGAGTGTCATTGCCATCTCTAAAGTATACTCATGCGCTCATGCATGCCGATGTTGTATAACCCACGCAATTGTGAAAATGTGTTCCTAGTGATCAGATGGAAGGAGTGAAAATTGAGATTTATGTTTAGTTGTGGCCTCGACACTAAGGCATGTTTCCCTCCTGTGTGTATAACAGCTCCACAGTATGCCTGCAAATACAAAAGCAGTCGAAAACGCACATGTACCCCTAGACTCATGGAAAGAGCTGGCTTCTCTCTCTGCTCTTCCAGGCCTGTGTTTGCTGACTTTGAATGCGATATCTTCTGGCTTTGTACAATAAGGTAGCTTCTAAGGTAGCGCATGCAAGTGAACATCAAATGAATGACCCCACCAGGTTAAGGGAGGACCACTGAAGGAGTTGGTTGGGTTCCAGAAGGTGTTCCTGGAGCCTGGACAGTCTGTGGAGCTCTACTTCGCTGCCTTACTAAAGTCTTCCATCTGGTGGACAACCAGGTATGTACATAGGGTACATGAAATTTAATAGCACACTAGCCGAAAATAAGACAGAGAAAGGAAGACAAAAGGACTAAACACCCCACCCCCTCCACACATACACATGCACGTTACAGGGAAACTGAGGGCTTCCATAGGAAACCTCTGTGTTTCAATGAGAACAACACTCAGATTTTGCTTGCCCTGCTGTAAATTATACTATTGTGGAGAAGTTGGCCCTTGAACTGCAAAATTTTGCTAGTTATTTCCTTGGAAGTTCACCATAAAGATCGTGCTACATTATGTATAATTGGCAAGCAAAGCGAGCTTGCCTATAATAGTGGTCTAAATGCGGAAATTTTCCGTATGTAATGGTGTGTCGACCAACATACTGTAATGTTTATCGTGATTCTAAATACACGCAAATGCACGAAAATTGAACTGCTTACTTCGCTTGCCAAAAGGCGTTGCATTCTTACTAGTACTATACCCCATGTTTAACTCTGCAGTATAGACATTGTGTACTTTACCACTCATATCTTTACCATTCTTTCCCCTTTGTTGAGCAGGGGAGACGAACCCTGACCCCAGGTCGCTACTGGATATCGGTGGAGGACCAGAAACATGTGGTCACTCTGATCTGAACTGAGCCTACCCACTGACCTATACTAGTAGTACAAGACATGAACACACAGGTGTTTTATAAGTGACAGAAATTTGTACAGTGTTTTCGTATGACATTATGTGGTGTACACTAATATTATATGTACATTATACGGTGTACACTAATATTATATGTACATTATACGGTGTACACTAATATTATATGTACATTATACGGTGTACACTAATATTATATGTACATTATACGGTGTACACTAATATTATATGTACATTATACGGTGTACACTAATATTATATGTACATTATACGGTGTACACTAATATTATATGTACATTATACGGTGTACACTAATATTATATGTACGGTGTATAAATTATACATGCATAGTGCAAGGACTAAAAAGAGGGCAAAGAGCATAGCACCTGCAAGAAGCTCCACCCACTAATTCCCTGGACTCTACTACAATTCCTGGTGTCTGTTGGTCCTGAGTTTGGGACCTTTGATGTTCTTCATCTTCTCCTGCATGGCCTCTCTCTTACTCAGTATCTTCTCTTTCATGTTCTCCCCCTATTATAGCAGTGAGCAGGAGTAACATTAACAACCACAGTTGAGCCATCAGCATGTGTATAGCTACACAATAGGGTAGGTCCTGGTGTATCTAACATTGTCACTGGAAGACCAGAAACTGGGCTGGGCAGACTAAGTTTAAAGTGGAAGCCCTCTACTCCTGACACCAATGGGACAGAAGAAAGTGTCCATATCGGTGAGACTTATTTCTGGGAATTACATGTTCTTGGGGGAGAGAAAAGGTTTCCTTATTAGAGGGGTGTCCTCATGTGACCACTCATTATGCAATAGTGCTGGCCCACATGCCCCTTTCTCTCCTTTCTAATCCAGGGCACAACTAACCCGTGCATGACAAACGACTGCTATTTTCACCCCATTCGATTGCCACATGTCATAGTAGAGAAGATGACTATATTATATACCTCAGTCTTTCCTTGTTTTGTGCTGAATGGGTTGGCATAGTTGGGATCCTTTGGACCCATCCCCAGCTCTTGCATCATCTGATGAAGACACACTCAGTTGGGTTAACTATTACAGGACAGACAGTGGAACCCCTCTAATCTGGACACCAACGAACGTGACAAACTAAAGTGTCCACAGTTGAGCTTTTGAGGGACCAAATTGCATGCAAGAACTGTTCATAGGGGGAAAAGGTGTCCTTGATAGAGAGGTGTACTCATTTCAGGGGTGTCCTTATTATAGAGAGGTTGTTTCCACGGTATCATCTCTCTCACCAGATGTAGATGAGTGGCATAGGGTCCTGTAAAAATGTCGGTCGACTGCAAACAGAATTTGACGGCCCAGCGAAACACACCAGTCCACTCCTTATGTGCAACATACACCTACACAGACAACACAGACTGGAGTATGCATGTGTAACTATATAGTGTGAGAGTGAGTGTGTCAAATGAACCCAGGCGTGGAGGGAGTTTGAACAGACCCACTACAACTGTACACACCTACAGACATGTGGTATGTACGGCATTTCGTTAGAGGGCACACCTTTTTCGTGACCTCTGGCATTCGCAGAAGAAAGTCTCCAAACATCAGAACATTCTCATACACTTTACCCACCTCTACAAAAAGAAGCAACTACTATCTCAGTATAATATACTTCTAGTTTGTCCACATATGTACCTTCTTGTAGCTCCCTGCTCTCAGGAAAAGGCATGCCAGGTGAATATCTAGACTTCTCGATCTTGCCTAATGACTCCTCCACTTCCTGTATATAGAGATATGTGCACCATAGTGATGGATCACTATACAATGAAAGTACAGGGAGTATAGACCATTGGCTCACGTGGAAGAGTGTCTCCAGGAGCACGCCGATGGTCTTGTACTGCTTCCCGAAGTCCTGTAGGCTCAGAACTTTCTCTGCTGACTCCACCTGCTCCTTTCTCTTCAGTCGTAGCAGGTGAAGATCTACATAGCATGCAGTGAGTCAAGAAGACACATGTGGTGGCTTGGCACTAGGCCATAGATTGCAACACAGCTGGACAGGTGTGTTATACTATTATGAATGGAGTAGACATGAGCAGGATACAGAGCTGGAGGGGGCTGGCATTCTCCACTTTTGGCTCCTCGGCTACCTCTCTGTTCTGATCCTCCAGATATTCCTCCATCATTATCTGACTCAGGTGACCTCCGTCTCTGGTCGGGATCTTCCGTCTCCCCGTGCTGTCGGCTGTTACAGCCGCCAGAATCGCTACCAGGACGGAGAAGTAGAACAAGCCAAGATATTTTGCCGCCATCATGGCCAAACTCAATTCCAACGCATGCACACGCGCAGACGTTTGAGCTTGGTGGGTCACGCCCCCACATAAAAGTTCAGGGATCAGTTACACTACCACTGAGCCGAGCAACTATGGCAAAGGTAACCATGCTCTATAAGTTGTCTCTGCTTCGTAGCAAGTCGTCGTTACTGTATTCTTGTAATAAAGTTGCCTAGCCAGCCAGCAGAAGCTCTAGCTAGCTAGCTTTGGTGATGTACTGCAAAAAGTGGGCAGGGCTCACCTAGCTCGTGTACTATACAGACCGCGAGAGCTGCATCGATGTGGAGCAAGTCGAGGGAGAAAAAGGCAGCGAAAAAGTACCACACGAGGAACTTTGGTACTGGGCACGTGGAGGCAGACAGCCACTACCTGAGTAGAGTCGGCCTGAGGGGAAGGAAGAGATGGCTTCTGCTTTCTGCACTGGTATTCGGTTACCTCCTGGTCCTTGGACACCTAGCGGTCAGTGTGATGTAGTCTCCTGTTGCTTTTATGCGATCTTTCCTTCTCCTCCTCAGCTAACGTGTGTGATATTGGGGGTGCTACGTTTCAATCCCCACGGCCCACCATACTTTGTGTTCAACAGAGATGGGAGTCTGCGGTGGCCACAGGGGGCTGTCATCTCAGAGGTGTGGCTGGAGGGCTCACTACAGGCCTTCAGCAACCAATCTCTGGCAATCGTTGGAGACAATGACCAGCAGGTAAAGCAACACAGCTCAGCAAGGAGCACTTTGCCTAGACTAGACTCCTGGTTGTGCTTTTGGCAAAGAGTTGTCCTGCCTTTTTTTTGCCTTGCGACCTTGTGGCAATTTACAATCAGGCTGTCAAACATTGGGAGTGAAAGGGGGTGATTGCTCAACTCACTCTAATAATGGGTACATTCATAAACCATGGCTACTTTGCGTTCATGCTACTAGGTTATCTTCACATCTGGCAGCCAAAGATTCAGTCCTGCAGGAGACAATTTTGTCGACTCATCTCAAATCTCCTTCTCTCCCTCTGAAGCTAACTCAGTCCATTCAAGTCATTTTCAGTGTCCCACTCAAATCGCCAGTTGCTGTTTGCCAACTCTTCACTAGTGACTATGAACAGTCTGTCCAGCCTCCACCACTTGACTACCACCACTGGCTTCATAACTGACACAGTGAGTAGGCACATAATCTATTTGTACACTACGTATACTGCAGAACACAGCTTTTGTATTGGAGGAAAGCGTCCTTCCTCAGCTGTGAATTATATCAATGTGTGTATGCATGTCTGCAGGTCAGAGCCCCAGTGGATGGTGATCTGAGGGTAGGGACTGAGGCAGGATCACTGTCTTTACGTGGAGGGAATGGAGTGTCCCTGTCTGGAGACCATGTCAACATCAGCAGCTCCAGGAATCTGCAGCTTACTGCCCTCACAGTAAAGTTCATGTGGCGAGCAAAGCAAACGCACCTGCTTATCACAAATTAGTTTGTGTGTAGACGGCACTGTCCATAGTGTAATACTGCACGTAATTTATCAAACTGCTGACTTACTTTTCCTCACCAATATGTCTCAAAGCAGATTGCAGTGATATAATGCTTTTCTTTCCTGTATTTCAGGGCTCGCTTTTAGTTGGAGGTACAGAGGGAGTGGTACTGGAGGACCTGCCTTCCCAACCCCCCACTCCCAGCTCTGCCAGCTACCACCTGTGTGCCTGTACTGGCAGTGGAAGACTCTTCCTCGTCCCCTCAGGCCCTACGAGATGTGCTCTAGCAGCACAACAGGCTGAAAACATCTGTGACTCTTAGTGTAACTCAGCAATAACTCCTCCATATTGACTTTTCCCTCTCATTGATATAATACTTTGAATAGTCGTTTGCGATGAATCTTTACCAGTTAGCTCTTACAGCAATAACCATGGACATATAATGCTGCAGTGGATCAGCACTGCTACTAGACAGGGCACCTGATAGACACATATGGTTAATGCTTTGACCTCAGCTACCTGTTTCTGTGACCAATTCAAAGGGTCACATATTATGCTTTGACATTTGCATGCACAGAATTTGCTATCAGAGCAGTTGCGACAAGATTTTATGCAATTGTTACTGGTCATTATTTCTTGAAACGTTTCATCAACCGCAGACTTACAGTGAGCAGCACTACAATTTGTGAATTTCCTGAAATGTCACTGGCACATAGACTGCGTGCCAAAAGAGTTAGCTAAACGCAATATCAGAGCTGTGTCTTGTTTTTGGCACAGTTCCACCTCACCTGTACAGCTATCCCTGTTCCTCTCACCTCACAAACCTTACTCTTCCTTGATAAACACACACACTTGGGAGGCTAAACAAATTATTGATGGGGGAGTTGAACCAATAGTTAATTTCATATTCGGTTTTTGCATGATGAAAATCCCATAAGATGTGCATGAATAGGGCATAATTTCTAAAATAACACCCTTTTGGCCTGTATGAATAACTCTCCTGCCTGCTTTGGATTGGAGGAAACGCATGGTCTGTTTATGGTATGACAAAGACCTATATACAATCCTAGCCTCCATCTCCGCTATCTCTACAGCTATATATATCACCTGTTAGCTGAGCTAATTGCTAACTCAGGATCCTGGGCAAGTCTTTTACATAGATGTGTAATAGCTTTGTTCGCACCTAGCTATATACGTCCCAGCATACCCAAGCTAACCAGTATTCAAGAAGTCTCAGGTTCTGCGTCCCCAACAGGACTTCTGATTTTTCAAGGAATGAGTTGAAGTGCAGTGGAACAAATCCTTGTCCACTGCACCATTGGAGATGTGCTCTTACTAGAGCTGCACAAAGTTACGTCTAGTAAAAAGTATGAAAAACCATAAACTATGGTACATAGACTCCAGTTGCTGAGGTAATTCATCAGCGTTTGAGAAAAAACTCACATCATAATTTTTTTATACACACCAAGTAATAATATCCCTGCACACTTTGATGGTCAAATGTGGACTGTTTCATACACATTGTCAGCTGAAAAAGATGTTTACTCATAGATTAACCGGATGCTTTCACCATTATGCAAACCTCTTGTAGCGGGGAATGTTGACATTACTATGTCGGTCCTTCTGGTCGTTGCGTATGCCTCATTCCATTGGGTTTCAGGGAGAACAGTAGCATATGCCACATTCTTCTCAATTTCCATATCTCGGCACGGCAGTGACGGCACATCGTAAATGTGCTCTGTGCATGTAGTGTAAGTAAGAGCACACATGCTGCCATGTGTATAACAGTCATACCTTGTCTCTTTTCAGCTCTTCTCTTACATCCTATTAGAGGATGTAAAATTTTAATGCTGTACAATATTATATCGTTGACTTTAAACAAACCTTTACAAACCATGAAAGACAAAGAAGCTGTAATCAAGCTAACAGCAGTTAGGATTGTTAATCCAACAACAAGGAATCCTGTAGAATAATACATGTACAGCCCTATAATTATTATAATTATAGCTGTCCAGTTACCAATTATTGAATCTCTGTTGTTCTTTGTGCTGGTTAGACCTGGAGTTGATGTAGGGACTGAAGACAAACAGCGGTGGTTGTAACTGCTGCTGGTAAACGGATTTTGAAAGCTAGCCACAATAGTACTTGACAGCATTGCAGTGGGTGTCACTTTATTCAGCTGGTTTTCTATTCTTGCACTTTCCGTGGCAGGACCTAAATTCTCTGTAAACAGGACGACATAAGATGTCATAGTTAGCTACCCACAGCATTGCGGAAATTATGCCCACCAGCTATAATATTATTATCCACAATGATAATGTAGCCAGTTTTACTCCGAAAAACTTCCGTATCCAATGACAAAACACAAGACACGGAAACACCGTTCATTTGTCTGGTAACTTGCGGTATAACCAGGCCACTCGAGTTGGACCTGTAACCATATGGGACAGAAGTATAGGCGTATCGCGACCCATTGATCCTCCACGACGGCAGGTCTCTAGCCCCTCTGTATTCGCAAGGAAAATATGCAATTTCTCGTTCCATAACTGTAACATTCCTCGGTTCGTTCGTGAACTCAAACGCAAGAGCTGAGTGTAAATATACATTGATTTGTCATAGCTTAGCTATAAGCAAGGTATATACCTGCTGTTGCAAAGAAGAGTAGTCCCTGAACAGAAGGTTGAAGTTTCAGCATAGTGTAGTTTTGCATGGAGAGACTAACTGGGTAATTGTGGACTAATGGATCAGTGCAACGAACGTGAGTGAGTAAACACGCATGCGCAGAAGGCACTGCCTGCGTACGTACGTACGTACATACATACATGCATTTCTAACCACCATCAAAATCCCCAAGATGTTAACGCAGACAAACCAGGACAGAGAAAACCATACTTTTGTTGTCAGAGTCGAAGTATATACAGCGGGTTTATGTAATCATGTATACACGCATGTGTATATCCGGCCCAGTAGGCACATGCGCGTGGAAAATTCAAACTACAACCGCGCGCCGCCAGCAGCAGCGGAACACCGCTCCAGTAATGCGCATGCGCATCCCGCGCTTTTCGTTTTGCGGTTGGTGTGGTAAGATCTCAGAAAATCGCTATACATGGCGGCGCACAGCGCGCAGGTGCAGCGAGCGCGAGCGCCGCTGGTTCCAACGCTGCCGCTGATCAGTTCATTTGTGGCACAAAATGAGAGCGATAGCTCCAGTGCCAAGCGCTAGGAGAGTAGAATGGTCACTTTTTCACTCTTTGGCCAGTCGTGCTGTATCATAAATCATTGCTGATTAGTTCAAAGTTCAAACCCTCGGCGCGCATGCGCAGCGAGGGTTACGGTAGTTGGTCTGTCGTCGGTCTGTGTGTGTGTCGACGCTTATTCTGGCTACGAGGCGGCCAATTAGCGATACCAGCGGCTTCAGAACTACGCGAGCCTGAATATGAAAAGGGAGTTTTTCCTGAAACGACTGCGTTCGAGAGATATGCCGTGAAAACAAGCCAAAAAGCCAATATGCATAATCGCATTGGGCGTATATACTGCGACCTGATCCGCCCGCTCTGTGTACCCTGGAGGCTCAGGAAGTCACAGCGAAAGGCATGTATCACCTCCCGCATGCTATCTACTACCGCAGCTCGCCCGTGTCAGACTCTCCGCGCGCTACTAGCGGGAGACCACGAGTAAACGTATACTACTAATAGCCCAGCCCATCAATTAGCAGTATCGCGCATGCGCAGTTCGCCGAGGGTTTGCACTTTAGTGCTTTTCATTAGGATCCCGTGACGTCATGCGTTAGTCACGTGACAGTATCAACATCTAAAGGAAGGTCTTTGGAGAAACAGTTAGGCTGATTTTTACACAAACCTATGAGTTAAGAATCCAAACTTGATATGCTGCGTTATGCCGCAAAGGACGCTAGGAAATGTCTATATACCAGGTAGCTGCTTCCCTGCTTCATCGTAACAAAATGGACTAGCTATAGGTTCCAACCCCGTGCAGCTACGTAATAGTCTTGCTTATTAATCACACTATACGGAGCCAAGAAAGTGGGATGAGACTAAGCCACATCAGTTTTGTAAGTTTAGCTCTCGTGTCAGCCTCCTACATATGCAGCCTCAGGGGGGCATAATATTATATAGATTAGACAGTCCCACACTATATGTTTTTATAATCATAGATACTTAGCATTCTAATACAAATTTTGGTTCTCTTTATGTACACATGAGTTAGCCTCTAAGTGAAGCTTCCACATCCAACAGCGACTACCAGTAGCAACAGGCTCTGAATGTTGCTAACACAAACACTGGAGCCGTGGCCGGTTGACGTTGGTGGTGGTGTCATTGATAACCGAGTTGTAGCCAGTGTTGGAGTAGAGGTCGGATAAGTTAATGTTGGGGACGGGCATTGTTTATTAGCATCGGAATCACCTGCAGACAAAAGAACAGTCTGGCCACAGTCATTTAGGGTGGGTCATTTTAGCTAAAGTGATGGCTAAAGAATAGCCATGTATATATGTAGCTACCTTGAATTGGAACGTAGATGCTCCACAGAAGTTTTCTCTCTATATCGCAGAAATCAAGGTCAACATCTTCAGCTACATGCTGCTCTTTATATGCAAATATTGTAAAGCTCTCACTTTTCCCACTGAAATCAAAGCATGTCATGTTCTCACAGTCAGTTTGATTGTAGCATGCTAATGTTCCATCGTTATTATTGACTTGAATTTCAGTCAAATTGACTGTGAATAAATCTGGTGTAAATGCTTTCAGGCCAGAAACACGGTAAATGCCACAATTTTCAGTGGGCTTTGCCCTGAGGCCTGCAACATGACATAGCTATCAAATGTTCTCAAATTCTACTGCCAACTTACTTGCATTCCTGAAAAATGATGGCCCAATTGCCACACAATACATAGATTTGCTACTTTCTATAGCGAAGTAATAGATTTGATCATCATGAATTGGTAAATCCAAACTTTGGCCGTTCGCTAAATTCGCACTTCGAGCGGTTGTATTCTCTGTATCAGCATAGAAATACAATAACGTTCGTCCCTTGAGCCTCATCACCAACTCCAATTTCTATGTGTAACGTCTCATCACTCTCATTGTAGAGGAAACTGGTAAAGCCCAAATCGGCTTCATTGGCGTTGCACATCTCCGAGTAGGTGTGAACTAAGGAAAAATCTTTATCGAAACAGTACGTTCCTGTAGCTAGCTAACTACGTATAAAATAGTAACTCATACCTAATGGTAGCAGCAGGACGAGAGGAAGAAAGACCCTCATTGTAAACATGCCAGTTGTAGTCATCAACACCGATATTGCAGCCCAGACTCGTATTCGGAGATCGGACGCCGGTCGCATCCTTGGTGCCGCTTTATGCGCATGCGTATTTGTCGCACCCTTCCCCGGCCGGCCGCGCACATTATTACGCTGCTATTTCCCACTTTTTATGCAGCAGAAACCAAAAAGAAAATACAGGGGAAAACTACAAAGATGAATAAAATAATGCGAAAGCCTTACTCTGTGGAAAAAGAACGGGACTTGCTCTAGTGAGGTATATACATATTAAGTGTTAGCTACAGTTTGTTAGGGAACCAGGGCACGTATATATGCCCAGCCGTTGTTATGTGTGTGTCAAAACAGTTTAGATTAAATATGTGGGAGAAGCACAATGTAAACATGTAGCTATAGCCACATTGCAATAGCTGAGATTATTATTGATTTTGTGCCAGCACTTATAATACTTGCTCATGTAGCTTAGGTCTAATACATCTCCCTCCTCCAATAGCTATAGGCAATGAATTATGCAAACAGGGAATATGGGTGTATTGCTTTCTCCTGTGTGCTGCTTACTTTGATAGAAACTCCAAGAATGTGCCATTAGTATCTAATTCCTGCAGAATCCTCGCGATGAAGAGAAGAGGATCCAAAGGTTACCTAATGTCTTGCATATCTGCCAGTGTATCAATCTGTCTCTGTGTTTGTCTGTTTCAATTTTAGCGGGGAATATTGGTGCTATATATGCCCAACAGAAACAGAACTCTTCTTGTGGATTCAATGACAAAGATACAATTGGAGCAGTAACTTAATACATACTAATACAATGTGAACAGTATATACCTTAAATATTATGGACATACAAACCGAGAGAGGGAGAAGGTGGGCAGGGTCTGTTTGGACAAGCCTGGAACTCAGTGGCTCTTAGGGTAGCTACTCTTGATGGACAGAAACACATTGTATCTCCCTAGTCAGTTATGTTTGTGTCATAAGATCTCCTCCAGGAAAACCTACTTTGCCATTCACAATATGACATGCAATGATATTTTGGGGCATAGCTAAGCCCATAAAACAGATGCAATTTATTTAGTGACTATACAGTAGCTAAAGGCCACCGTGAATAGTTTTCCATCTCGGGGGAGGAGAAACAACAACAACATAAAGGGCCTGGGGAACGCGGCTTGCACGCAACCTGCGCAGCATTCTGTTGTGCGCCAGGAAACGCCCCTCTGCTAGCTGACATCGTTCAGAGTCTACAGTGCCGTGGAAGGGCTACAGGATCTACAGTAGCGATGTGCGACGGCAAGAAACGATCGCTTGGCGGCCATGCACACCTCCGTCGAATCTGGAGACGGTTGGTGAAAATTATAATCGCTTCAACTTGTTCCAGTATTAGGAGATAGCGGGTTGACTGAAATCTGAAATCTCGTGAAAGCAGCCGCGTATAATATGAGCGATTATCGCGTGGAGAACTGGAAAACGTTTGGGGTTATCTATATCCAGATATGGGCCCATAGACTATTGCTAGTGTGTTTCGAAGGCCTGGAAATTTATTCTCACCGGGTAGTTCCGTTTGAGGCGCAGATCACATGCTTCTGATCGATCGGCCGGCGCGTGCGTCAGTAAAATTCTCGACACACCCACTTTCATGCCGCGCACGCGCGCTAATGGCGATCTCTCTCTCCACAGCCTCTGTGCGTGCCTATCATCATGCTGAGACATTTATGATAAGTCTCACTCAATCCGGACCTTGCTGCTTTTTTTAAGGTGGTCCTGCAGGTGGCTTGCTATGAAGGGGGATTTCGGAACTCTTCATTGACATCTGGGAGTATTAATATTTTGAGCTGGCTAACATACGCCCACGCACAATCGTTGCTAATCAACCAGACCATACTGACGGTTACTCTACAGGCTCATGATCAGCCCACCCCACTCAAAGAACTGGATCTCCTGTGTGGCATCCTTACTTATTGGCTGATGTGAAATGCCTTGAGCCACTTCAGAGAAGGGCGACTAAGTTCATAGTGAATGATACTTCTATGGACTATCGAAATCATTTAATTCATCTTAAACTGTTACCTTTGATGATGGAACTAGAAATTGCTGACATAATATTTTTCATCACAATCTGTGAGGGTATCCATCGGACCACTCAACATTTCGATTTGTGCAGTTCAGTGCTCATCATACTCGCTCAAGCTCAATTTTAAGCTAAAACACACACAGTTGTCCAGGAACTATAATGAAAAATATTTTACTTCAATCGCATGCCTCGATTATGGAACTCTCTCCCTCCTCTGGATATTAGTCTTCATCTCTCTTCAATCCAAATCCAAACTTCACAATTACTTCTGGGACCATTTCATCTCCCATTTCAATCCCAATGACGAATGCTCCTAACTATCACTATTTATGTCTGTGTTACAAATGCTCTTCACTACCTGTCAACATGCACTTTAGCAGTAATTCATTATAATACACTAATGTATGTATTTGTGTGTTGGTTTTTTTTTCTCGGATGCTGGCTCTTTGCCTGCAGTCCCTCAACACAGTATTTACAATTATTCTCATTACCACTTTCTTTACATCGTCCTTGTAATAACTGTGTTGTCAAAGCATATAATAATAATAATAACATTCCCTCTATGTCGATACAGCAAACAGACGTGCTGTATATACCTGCTGGCAGGCTTGAGGATCTAATGAGATTCACAGGTATAGGAGAGGCTGAACAAGTGATTGACATGGTTGCCAGACCTTTCTTGTAATTGCAAACGCAAAACGCAACAATAATTTTTCCCTCAAAATTTCCCGCCATGGTAGCCTAGAGTGTGGCAGCCATAATTTTGTGACCTAAGTGGAACAATAGTTCATTTCCTAAAGAGGTAAGTTCTTGGCCAGCTCTTTTATTGGATAATGGATTATATGAGCATAGATTGCAAGGACTGTGGCCATTTATAGTGTGGTCATAAGTAATTGGCCCACAAAAGCCCTGAAAAGTATATTGTCTTATCCCCATATCTTTCCCCTGGGCCTAATCCATCTAGTGCGGTGAGGCACTAATGTGCCTGCTCAGTAATCTCGGTGCAGGGTCAGTGGCTGTATCTCTCTGGCTACCTCTTCCAATTGGCCAGCCTTGTAATTTAATGAGCAAGTAGCTATAAGGTATATAAATGGCAAATGCTGTGGTATCATATTATATAGCACTTGCGGTCACGATCTCTGAGCCCAACAGCCATGGTTTGCCTCCAAAACTAACTTTCTCAACCTTCATGGCTACCCTCAGAATGTATGTGTCAATAATGAGGTATTTGGCGTCTATGGTGGTGGTCTGCTCCCTTGCTACCATCACCAATAGAGCTGTATTGACCCTTAATTTTAGATTGGAACAATGTTCCCCAGAAGGGGATGGGCTACTCCTAGCAGCAGTGCAAGGCTAGGGTAACCCTGTGGAAGGGGCGAAGCAAGCTTCACTCCACCTTCCCAGCTTCAAAAATTGCGGTAATATCGAGCAGACAGTGTCTGCATACCAGATATTACACTGGTAAGAACAGAATTTCTAACTTGATCTTAGCCGATAGGCCGAGAAGCGATGACTGAAGGATTATCGACACTCCTTATATCTGGAGACTTGCACCCTAACACTTGTGGTTTTGTGACCACAGGCATTGTGTTAATGATATTCATAACCAGCTTGTGCTACATTCCTCAACTTGAAAACAATGCAGTTGAGGGTAGCCCCTTGTTCAAATCCTCCAGAACTTTGTATTGGGTATCTTACTACGTAATACTAGTGAGCGAAGGGAGCCCACCTAGGTCTTCGGAATAGCATGATTTACAACTGACTTAGTGCCACGAGTGAGATTATACTGTGCCATAGCGCATGCAGTGGTGGTGTGAGGTGTTCTTTGTGTTGTAGATTTGAACAACTACCAGCTGAGTTGCCCTGGTAGCTCAGTTGGTAGAGTGCTGGCCTAGAAAGCAGAGCGTCATGGATTCGAATCCCACCCAGGGCATCTGCTGTCCTGGGTGTAGTTGACTTGTTTGCTTTGCCTTGCCTTTCTACCTCGTAACCTCGTTGTTGACACATGCTAGTTAGCACTGGTAGGTCAGTGGAAGAATGTCCAGGTCTTGATCGTAACCCCCACTGTTATTTCTACCAGTATTTTTGCGGGATGAAAACAAACCACTCCGGTATTTGAATGGTATACTAGATTAAACTGACCGTGGCTTATCTCACCAACTGTTCTACATAAGCCCCCTTGATATTAATTTATGACAATAAGTTTCAAGCTCAATGTTGATTTTCATTTTCACAAACAGGTTTCACTTAACACCAGCTAACAACATGTTCACAGCTAGGAGCTAATAATGTCAGTTGAAAAATCCAAAAACCAAGAGCATACTTCCAGCAACAGTCATGATTGTGACCAGCTAGTAGTCACAGAGTACATTGACATGTGTGCTGCTCCGAATTTTGCCAGCCATAGCGAACCTAATGTCCCTCCCGAGAGAATGTTCATTAGTGGCCATTAGAAGAACACCATAGTTGGGTTCATCATTTTGCCAGTTGCGCATAGCCTCAGTGATATCAAACTCCACAAAACCAGCTGGCCTGGAATAATTTAAAACTGAGGTGAAAGTTTTACAAGTGAGAAGTGAATACAATACGAACCTCTCAGTGTAGATGGTGACTGGTTCACAGAGGAGACCATTGGGATCAGCATCAGTGCCATCCAAGGCCAGCTATGGTTGACTCCACTTCTCGCCACTGAGTCGGTGGGTGGAGGTGGCCTGAGTCTCCGACCACTCTTTCTCCACCTGCAGGGAATTTTAAAATAGCTATAACTCATTGCTTGTAACACAGTAGCTACGCATCCAAGAATTTACATGATGCACTTGCTGTGGTCGTGAAATAAATGATGCTTCTTTTGGTGACATGATCCAGCTTGGTTTGTGTGTGTATACATAGTAGACATACATCTTTGCCCACTTGATATGGCCACAAGAGTATGGGAACTGTAGCAGAGATCGTTTAAGGGGAGATCCCGAATGAGTGCCAACCAAAACGTATTCACCGTTGTAGTTCCATTGTCAATTGATTTTCAAGCTACGCATCCAAATCCATCACACAATTACTATAGTGCACGATAACGTTGCTTACCTGTGTTACAGGGACAAATACCCAACTCCAGTGTCAGTCATAGCTTAAATTCAAGTTGTAAGCATAAACGCAGCAAAAAAGCAACCTGCGACGAATCGACACATGGCGATATTGTTTGAGGTTCTCGGTCCTTCGAAAGAGAGCTTTGAAAAGTAGATATTTATCTGCATCGCGGCGGGCCTTTTATGCAGGGTCGGCTGGCTTCATTTCACCGGATCCAGATTTTTCTTCGCGCATCATGCGCGCGCCGGCGTCGGTGTCGCCGAGCTGACGCAGTTGCCGCTCTATATCTAGCCGGCCTTTTCCCTCCTCCACGCGCGCATGCTCCGTATATAGTAGGATGAGCTCGATAGTCTCTAACGCACGCGTGGGAGATTTTTACGGACAGAATAATCCCACGCGTAATTTTAACGTACGGACATTCGCTCGTGGAGGAGCCTGGTGGTTCCGAGGCTACAGAAGGCCTCGTCGGTCCAGCACCTCAGATTCATTCACCACCGCGGCCCGTCGCTGACGTACAGCCGGGTCAGAGGACTGCGGCGGAAAAACTGTCCGCCTACAGGGGTGGATACTCGATCAGCGGCGATGACAGACGGGGCGGATGATCGTCGGCGTGTGGTGTGCGGTTTTGATACTTTAACCATTATCCCATTACAGATCAAATCACTGCATTCCCTTGTTTCCAACAGTGACAATCTTGAGCCCTTAGCGCCCGCGCATGCGTCGTCGAAAGCCTACTGATGTGACAGGGTAGTGTAAGTGGTATACTTTTGTAAAGAACCATGCTTCATACATCCCATCCCTATCTTCAATCCTTCTGTTTACACCATCCCTATTTATGGCATGCAGGTGGTGGGTTGTTCAATGGTAGCTGCAATCCCACACAAAAACTAGAGAAGGCCTGCAACAGAGACAGCCAGTTACCTACATTGTGCCTGCTTCAACTACTCCCAAGACTTAACAAAAATCAACAACAGGCTGAGGAACCCTTTTTCAGCCTACACAGGTGGTCATGTTTTTCCATTGCACCAAACGTGTTGCCATTGGGCGGCTTTAGAGCCACACGTGTTTTGAATATTTGTAATAACTTTCAATACACACAATTCCCAGAGAAAGCATTTGAAAACAATTCTATACACAGTTTGTTCCCAAATCAGTGAGAGAGGATCGTGCAGGTGTATAGTAAATCACAGTGAAGTTTTTGACACATGGCGTCATTAGTCAGGCATGCCATAGGCCGAATGGCATCAAATGCTTCTTCCACCAGTAGTAGTAGTAGATCCAGGAAAAGCTCCAGCAGCTGGGGCAGGAGGAGACCAAGAGATTCCCTGGAGAAAATCAGAGAGAGGAAGGACAGCGTTCCTCACGTGTCTTGTCAACCTCTGCCCCAAATACGAAACTTCTCAGTCCAAGACAGCGACGGCACAGATGATGATGAACAGACTCTTTCTCTGCCAGTTCTGCGTCCTCCCATCAACCGTAATGTAGTCTGTGAGAGATATCCAAAGGGAAAGGCTTCGTTGCTCGTGTTTCTGTTGAATGTCATTGTCATATATGCTTACGGAGCAGCCATTACTGGTATTGTGGATATATTCCAAAAGGAGAACAATGAAGCCAATGGCAAAAAGCTTCCAATAGATAATACTTCACTCCATTTCATCAAGCTTCTCTTTGAGTACTGCATTAGTCGGATCTCTTTCCCAGTAACTGGGTTTATAGCCGATGTCTACATTGGAAGGTGGCGAATGATCTATCTCTCGCTCTTTCTCCTGCTCACTGGTTACGTCATCATAGCTGTGGGCTTTACTGTGGAAGGGCAGAGTAGTGTTGACACCCCCTTGTTGTTGAAAAATTTCATCAATGGAATTGGCTTTTTGTTTCTCTGCGTTGGTGGAGGGGCGTTCGAAGCTACTATCATCCCATTCGGTGTTGACCAGCTCCAGGGAGCGTCGTCTGCTGAAATCAGCTCCTACTTCTACTCCTTTTACTTCAGTCGAAACCTTGGAATGGGAAGTGGGCTGGTTGTATCTGCAATTCTCTCGTACGCGGGTAATACACTGATTGACATACAGGAGATACCTAAAGAGTTAGAGCAACTGTACAGGGTAGTTCAGCCACTGGTCACGACAGTCACACTGACTGTTGGACTCATTCTCATGATCTGTTTCCACCACTGGTTCTTCAAGAACACTCTGTGGGAGAACCCAGTCAAACTTATTGCCAGGGTCCTCTGCTATGCTGCCACAGTCAAACGCCACCTCCCAGTCCGCAACAGAGCCTTCAGGTATGGAGAAGAGAGGAAGAGGAGAATTGAGTTGGCAAAAATGACATACGACGGCAAGTTTCCTGACGAGAAAGTTGAGGATGTGAAGGCTTTCTGCCGCATTCTTCTCATACTACTCACACTCACACCTGCCATGTTCTCCATTAACGGAGTAAGTATACCATATCTCACCATGACAGTAACATTACTTCCTTGTGCAGTTTGATGTTCTCTTATCACAAGAAACTAACCAAACGTTGGTGAAGCTGTATAATTCGTCGTACGTGGAAACTGACCTCTTCCAAAACCTCTACTGGGGAGTGAACATAACTGCTATCCTGTTCACTCTGCCTGTGGTGAATTTCCTAGTCATCCCGTGTTTCCCAAAGCTCACAATTAGATCACGGATCGGAATTGGTTGTGTCCTGTATTGTATTGCAGGTCTGTGTCTTGTGGTAATTCATGCAGCTCCACTTGTCAACGGTAGCCAAAACAGTGAAGTCTCAGGTACTCAACTTGCTTTTGTCCTCATTCCTGCATTGATCATTGCCGTAGCAGAAGTTTTAACTACTGTCTCAGGTTAAGAACTCAATCGCCTATTATTTCAGTCTCATTAATTTATTGTCTTTGCCCCCAGTGTTAGAGTTCATATATGCCCAGTCTCCAGAGAGTATGAAAGGGCTATTAACCGGACTATATTTCCTATTCTTCGGGCTCTCCTCCATCCCTGCTACAGCTCTCTACTACCTCTTTAAGGATACCAAGGAAAACAGGGTTCTCCTCGCCTTTCATGCAGTGTTCACCATCCTAATGGTACCAACATACATGGTCATGTAACAAGTATGTACTTTCTTTGTGTGTGCAGGTGGTAGGTACAGTGTTCTACGTGGTGGCTGCAGCTCTTCACAGAAACAGACAGAGACACGATGAGGACAGCCTGCAGGAGAGACTTATCATTGAGAACCAGCTACACAGCACAATTACTGCATAACTCAATCCCTTAGTTTGCGCAAACACAGCAATTGTTCCCTAAGAGCAGCAATTTGTTTCAAAGGATGGTAGTGTTGTTTATAGCAAGATACTGAAAATAGCAAAGCAAGACGGAAAAGTATAAACCCTTGACGCAAAACAAACTCGTCTAACATAGTGCGCACATAAAGAAGGCATAAACCATGTAATTGTTATCGATGTCTGGGTCCTTTTTTGTACTCTGTTTCTCACGTTGTCTCTGTCTTATGGTTTTTGTTTTTCTATTGGCCTTATCCTGTCTGCCCTGTTCTCTCTCAAGGTGGTGGACAGAGCCAGTTTCTTGCTCTAAAACTGGCTATCTCTACCTGTGGCAACGCTTGACTGTAAACAAGTATACAAGTATACATGCTTCTGGGCGGGATGTACGCACGAAGGCCCATGCTCAAATGCTGAGAGTAGTTATAATTGTACATGTACATACATATTAATACCCAGACACATGCATAGAAAATATCTTCCTAAAAATTCCCATCATGGAATATTCTCAGTTTCCACAGGCTAGCCCAGCATCACCCTTTTATGCTTCAGTGAAAAGCCAACCATTCTAGCATTGTAACAAGTAGCTAGCTAACAAGTAAGGTTATAGTTTGGGACCTAGTCCCATCCCTACACAAAGATGTACAGGATTGGGCTTATGAATAACCTTCCGTCTCGGTGTAGGCAACTCCTTGACGTGACATCCCTACATCCCCCCCTCATTTATATACTGCCATCTTATGTATATCTTATATATACTTATAAAACTGCCTATAACAAACTTGATAGCTCGCAATTGAGCACACCAGTGGATAAAGCAGCTATTTTGCACTCATCTGGAAAACAATAGTTTTTGCTTGCAACCTTTAGTAAAAATAACACGTCCAATTTCAGCAATAAATAACAAAAATGACCCCCATAAATAAATATAAAATGTTTGTCATTTTCTTATTCGGAGTCCAATACCAGCAATGAAGAGAAACACGATGAACCAGGTGATGCCCAGAACAAATCCTCTCCACACCTCCTCATACTCCAGTCCCCAGCCTATGGATACACAGAGAGCGTGGTAGTGCTTGGGCAAATTCAGCCAGTTAACAGGCATGTGCAGTGAGGGTTACAGTTGGTTTGTGTGTCTGTCTGTCCCTTTTCTGTATTCTGGTACTACAGGTTACAAGGCGGTCAGTGAGCGATACTATCGGCATGAGTCCAAAAATGGATCTGTTTTTAGGTGTAATGGGCCATGTAACCATGACCATGATATTGGGTTTGTGAGCCATGGTATATACAGCGCTTCTGTGACCCTACAGATCACCTTAGTGAAAGGTGTTTGCAGCAATTGTTGTTCTTACCTCTTCCCATGGCAGCCCTCATGGCCTGTGCTGGGTATGTCATGGGTAAAGCAGATCCCAAGTATCTCAGTACAGTAGGCATCCCTTCTAGTGGCCAAAGAACACCTGCGTAATATATAGCACTACATCATAATCAGTGTCCAATTAACTGTCTTTTCGACTAATGTGCATGCACAGACTTGTTAAACACAGGCAAGTTTGGTTTGTACAATGGCCTTCTGTCAGGTGGTAAAATGCAAGTGTCTTAAAGTGACACCACGGGTACACAACAGTAAATGTCTCGATTTGTGTTAGTATTCGCATCTAGGATTCCAAAACATTACCGAAATATCTGAGTTTGTGTGATAAAAAGTTTAGAACATGCTTCCTTGGAACGATATGCTGGTGAGCACCTAGCTTTAACCAGTGGAGCTTCATATTTAATGCATGCGCATAATTATAACACAAAATAATGTGCCGAAAAAAATTAATAAAGTTCCAACTGACACTAATAAGGGAGGCTTACCACTAAGCACAAGTACAGGGTAGAAAGTAGCAATAGAAACCTGCAAGGCTGTATTCTCATCTCCACAAATGGCAGATATCACCAAACCTGTAAAAATCCATGAAGTAAACAAATAATCATAGCAAACATACACAGACCCACAAACTACCATACACATGTAGCTACACACACTATTTTGTTTAGTCATGTCAAAGACTGCAGTTCAACTCACCAAATGACATCCCTGTAGTAAAATAAAAACAATCAGTTATGATATGTAATAGCACGTGCAAACTGGCCATCACCTGTCATTCCCTGCAGCAATGCTAACACCATTAGGAGAGGAATGTTACCGGCAGACCTGTTGTACACCTATAATGTAAGAAATGGAGGTTCACAATAACTGGTAAGAGAAGCGAGCCTACCCATTAGTCTAAATTGCAACTGACATCCGACAATTCTCAAGCGGTATATAACATGACGTATATTTACAGTGGTCACAGATTTGCTTAAGATGCATTCGTTCTGCTAGTGATATCTACAGAGCATTGCCATATTTGAGATTTATGTACGCGTGTCTCCATGGCTTATGGGACAACCGACATGATGGCAAAATTATACATCAAGGGAAGCACACCAACTGAACCCCTACCTGAAAGACCCAGAGTACGAAGACGAGCATGAGGATGATCTGGACGAGGAGAATGAAGAACTGAGTGACCACCTGAGAGATGATGATCTCTGCCACGCTGACCCCGGCCACCCAGGTCCTGTCCATCAGCCCCTCCTTCCTCTCTTGGATCAGCACCACTGCCGTCAGTCCTATCGATATCCCCAGAGCTGTGCTACAGGACAAACACAAAGTGCATACAAGTAGTGGTCACACTGTAATATCACAATCAACTGGGATCACTTATCACAATGAAAAACACTAAAGTGCAAACCCTCGGCGAACTGCGCATGCGCGGTACCGCTAATTGATCAGCGCTACACTGGCTTGATTTTAAAAATGACGACTTTCGTAAAAGTGCCGCGTTCAGAAGTTATGGCGTGAAAACCAAGTGAACAAGCCAATATGCTAATTAGCACTAGCTTACCTCGACCTGATCCGCTTGCTCTGTGTACCTCGGAGGCACAAGAAATTACAATGAAGGGCGTGTATCGACTCCCGCATGCTATCTACTACTGCAGCCAGACTCTCCGCGAGCTACTAGCGGGAGATCACGAGTAAACACAGACTAATAAGCCCAGCCCATCAATTAGAGGTACCGCGCATGCGCAGTTCGCCGAGGGTTTGCACTTTATGAAGGTTAACGCGGCTGGCGTAATAGTGGGCGTGGTCAATTCGTTAGAGGGCCGGTAAGGCCGGCGATACGCGCAGCGTAGATCACGCCGCGCGCGCCCCTTGATTCGCCACACGGCAAAAAACAAAGCGTCGCAACAGTCAAGGCAGGAATTCAGTCATTAGCAACGCTCTGAAGCATCGCAGCCTTTGTCTGCTCTCTAGCTGTTTGCAATTCGTCCACATCTGTGTGATGGCTCTCGCCTATAAAGTCGTCGTCGGGCTGCAATTGTACCCTGCTCATAATCGTCTCCGACGGCACAGTGGCCTCGTCCGCCCCCGTCAGTTCTACGACTGCTGCGGGTCCGAGCGCTGTGTCCGCGGTCCAGGTCGATGATGTTGCTTCAAGGGGTGCTCCAGTCACTGCCTCTCCATTTGTTGGGGTCTTGGAGTAACTGTGCAGCATATGACTGAGGTTTAGAGTTGGAGAGTTTGTCGTTCTGTAATTTTTGGCTGCTGTTAGACTCATCACCGCTTCTTGAAAGCCACCACAGCATGTAGACTTTAGCTACAGTATTACTCCTACTTTAGTGTGTCAGGGCATCTATAGGATGCTACTCTCAAGGTGTCAATGTACAGTTACCTGCGCTTGACCTTACTTAGGGATAATATAGAGTAGCCACAATTGTGCGGACGCGTGAAAATCCAACGCGTTTTCGGTCAGTTCTGGAACTATTGACACAAATATTTAGCTTCTAGCATTCCGGGATTTTATTAACTAGCCATTGCCAGGAAACAAACAATCATAGTCGCTATTTTGCAGCGCAATGAAAAGCATCTTTTTGTGCAACGGTGGGGAAACAAACGTGAAGTGGTAATGCACAACACGGGCAAAACACAAAAGCATGTAGCCGGTAGCCAGCATCTGTTCTTACAGATGTTAAGGAAGGATACCAT